AGACGACATTCGGTCCGGCGCCTTGCAGCTACCTCGCGACGATATTCTTTCCATCCTCGGCTCGGCCGGTGCCCAAACTAGACTTATTCTGCAAGAGGATGCTCACGGACTGTCAAGGCTGCAACTACGGAACAGAGCCCGAAGGCAAGTGACATTGCTGTGTCGTATTGTTGGTTCAGCATTCTGCCTGGTGCAGCAAACGAGGATCGTGATGAGGGAGAGAGAGATTCAACAAGGAAGGTTACATACCGTTGGTGACGGACAGACTGTTGACATACGAGTGTATAACCAGTTTCTGGATAGCTTCGGGGAGAGTGCGGATGAATTCGAGGTCCGACACCGCTCCGTGGATAATCTGTGTCATGGTTGTTAGTAAGTATCAATCAGAGAAGGACAATACGACGAGAAACGGTGGAAACCCTCCCTCGTCCAGTTTCCCTGCCAGTTCTCACCTTGTCTGCATTATCAATCTCGCGAAGGTCTTGCTTCAAGAATGCGAGGAGGGACGTGTTGTGCAGCGCGTTGAACAAGTTCGCTGCCACCAGCATCCCGATATTCGCACTGAGGTACCAACTCATGCTCGCAATGGCAATCTCTTTACCCGTCAAAGAAGCTGCCAGATGGATAAACGACGAACTCTGCGTCATGCCCATACCAAAGCCTCCAAGAATCACAATCGCCGTGTCGTACCACGCCGTGCTTCCACGCCAGCGGATGAGAACCAACAAGTAACAGGTGCTCCCCAGTCCAACGGCAATCGTCGTTATCACCTTGTAATGTCTAGTGCGGCTGATCAGGTGGCCAGCCACGATTCCGCCGACCATGTTTCCTACAACCATAAGAATGAGACGACTGCCTGCCGCAGCCGCGGACATGCCAGTGATAACCTGGAAGTAGATTGGGGTAGTATAGAATATCTATCGCATCAAGTAGAATGTTTATGTCAGTTCATCATAAGATATAGTATCTAGGCAGGCATAGAAAAGAGCTCACCGTGAACTGTGCCGCAAGTTGCAACCCAGCCAGCGCATTTGCAGTCAAAACATCTCTCTTGAAGACAATACTCAAAGGAAACACCGGCTCAACTGCCTTGTAATTCTCCACGTAGAGAAAGAGCAGAGTCAAAACCAAGGAGAGGCCGGCCAGCGGTGCAATGTAAAACCACTGGTAAGACTTGCCCACAAAGTCAAGCGCGACGAAGAACGCAATAAGGGCGCTCGGTAGGAGGGCCGCGCCGAGGAAGTCGATTCGCCTTAGTCGGTCCTTGAAGGTCTCCTTTCGCTGCTCCTGGTCCTGCGAATCTAACGGGGTTGTCAAATTTGGTAATCTCCAGGCGACGAGAAGGATCGAAACCGCAGAGATTGGGCATTGGCCAAGGAATATCCTGATTCACGATGCGTGTTAGAGTCGTTCAACATCATTTACTGATCCGCTTACCATCGCCAGCCGGTTGTATCAACTAGCCACCCACCAAGGGGGCCACCGCAAGATCGACCGACGGTAGAGACGACATTAACATAACTCCTCCATTTGGCGACTTCGCGGATTGGTAGCATATCTGAGCAATAGTAGTTAGCTATAGCTCACTAGCATTAGACACGGCGACAGCGTCTTACCAGCAATAATTACGCTCACGAGACCGTTCATTCCCGCACCCCCAACACCGCTTATCGCGCGGCCAGCAATTACTTGCCAGTATGTCTGGCCTATTCCGCTGTAAAAGAAAATAGACATTAGCTTCAAAGTTGTGAGTATTGGCCAGGCAGAGTTGAACATACCATAGTCCGCAGCCAATCAGAAACACAATGTACGAGAAGACAAGAACGCTTCTCCTCCCAAATATATCGCTGAGCTTGCCATACTAACGACGCAAAATATTGTTAACTTGAGGTCCCGTACTTCTGACCTGCCATGGGAAATGCACTCACCAGCGGCTGGCAAGCACATTGAGCGAGCGAGTACGAAGTCACCAACCACGATGCTTCTGAAAATCGGTTAAATTCGGACGCAATCTGTGAGCTGGTGGCGATTACAATTGAAGAGTCCGCCGAGGCGATAAAAACGCCTGTATTCAACTGAAATTAATACATTTCTTCAATAGTATCGAAGCGATCACCTACCCAGCATCAGCGTAGACAAAATGCCGACGATGGTCGCCCTGGAGGTGGGAAGAACATCACTTTGCCCGTTCTCGATTGCGGTATCGGCTTCGTCGGTCTTCGTCTGTGCGTGGGTGCCATTGACCAAAGGAGTTCTCTCATCCGCTTCCACCACGTCGGAGTCGCTTGTTGAAGGTACTCTCGTCATTTTGCGTCGGCCTCAATTGCCCCCGTAGAGCAATCAATCATCAGCACGCGTCTTCTGGTCGTGATCAAGGGAAAGAATTTTTCAGATTAAAAAAAATCAAAGGGGTCAGCTCAATTGAACCGGCTCTAGTTCAATATTCATGACATACTCTGCATGTGTTCGCCGGTGGGACTTGAGGCCATCCACCACTCACAACAAGAGCCAGAAAGCACGTCATTGGCCTGGGACCCAGAATGCCGCAGATTGTCGCCATTCTGCGAGCACGCCATCGAGCTTGGCAAGCATCTTATCGTGATAAACGGCGCGCTTTGCCTACGTGAGTCTTATTGCCGAAGGGCACACTGTTGCGAGCCGAGATGGGGGATTGGTACTGCAATTGTGTTCAGTGTTCTGCAACAAACGAGATGGAACTAAATGTGGCATCGTGTCTAGCCAGTTGCTCAATTGACTCTGTTCTCGGCGACGCCTGATGGCCTATACAAAAGTGATTCTACGTCCAGTCGCTCCAACGTGTGCCTTCCCAGTAGACGTTGCCGTCATGCTCAAACTGCGGTCCCTCGGCCGAGATGATTTGTCCCATTTCGCAGTGTGAAAATTCTACGCGGGCTTGTTCCTCGTAGAAGCTGTCGAAACGCGACGACAGTGCGTCGCGCAGGCTTGTGACATCGCCTTCAGGATGCAATGATCGCCAGGGTTGAGAACATGTTGAGCCCTTGCATGACTTAAGGACCAGGAGCAGAGCTACCAGCCTCGGGATGACCTCGTCTAAGGTATAGCCTAGTATTCGGCTAGTTGCCTTGGATGCAGCTTCGTCGGCATGGAGAAGATTCGTGAGCTGGCCAGGGTCGGTCTAGAAAAAAAGAAACATTAATTTCAACGGCTTCGCTGTGTGCGTGGACGAGTCACTTACAGTCATGTCATAAAGCTCATGCTCGTTGGTACACCAAACAGAGTAATACAGGTTGTAGTCGTCGCCGACCACCCTCAGAGCCTTGTAGGTATTGTTCACAATCCTGCCGCCGACAGTTCCGGTCAGGTCGTAGTTGGCCTCGCCTCCCGCGAATCCCCAGTATTCAACATTCACGTGCTCACGATGGCCGGGAGCATCCTGTAGCTGCTTCGTAGAGAGGGGGATGGGAGCGCCGTCGAGGTCCGCGCGCAGGGGCGCCCCAGCCAGTGACAAAAAGGTCGGGACCAAGTCCACATGTGCAGTAACGGCCTTGGAAACGGCACCTTTGGGTACGCCCGGTCCTCGCACAATGAGCGGGACGTTGATGTCCTCCTCGTACCCACACTCCTTCCCAGGTGGGAGCCGGTGCTGGCTGATGTGGTAGCCGTTATCGGCGCTGTAAAAGATGTAAGTGTTGTCTAGGATTCCTTGGGCCTCAAGTCTGTCCACCACAGCGTCGACCAACTCATCTACGGCTTGGAGGGCTTGCAGGCGGCCGCGGTAGAACCGATCGTTGTACGCGATCCGCTCATCGGTCAGCTGTGGTTGGCGGCGGATCCAATCAGCTCCAGACGGCTTATCTGGGTTAAAGTTGTCGGTCCTGGGGACCTTGGCATCAGGAAACAGATGTGCATGACGTGGTGCCGGTTCGGGAGGTGTCATCCGTAGTCCCTCGGCGGAGCCGAAGTAGTCAATAGAATCCGGGGATGGGGGACGGATCAGGAGGGAGCTGTTGATATTACTGTGAGGGGCGATGGGCGCAATGGCAAGGAAGAATGGTTTGTCAGGCGTGGCGAGGGCTTCTTCGAGAAAGCCAAGGGCCTTGCCGGCAATGAGATCTGTGGAATATTCCCCGGGATGGTTTACGGGGACATCGTGATCACGCTGAAACGTGGCGTTCCAATAGTCGTATGTATTTGGGTCCAGAAGGAAGTCGGAGCTGCTCCAGCCTTTTAGATGGGGGTTGCCGTAGTTCCAGACGGTGTGCGCGTTGAACATCTTGCCCGTGTAAAAGGTGCTGTACCCGGCGTCCTGCAGCCAGACTGGGAGATAATTCTCATTGTGGCCATTTTTCACGAAGATCGGGAAGCCACCTACAAAGCAATGTGCAAATCTCGGTCAGCACTACCCAAACATGCGTGGTGGCTGCACAATAGCGCCAGCGTTGTTCTCTCACATGAACGCAGAGTCGATACAGCGAGGCCGGAGTAGGCTGAGACAAGGGGAGGACCAAGTGATAGAGGAAGGAGGGGGATTTTCAGATAACGAGTACGTACCATAGGGAGGATTCAGATCAGTCACATTCGTATTGTGCGCCAGCTTTCCGGTCCAAAGACTGGCGCGCGAGGGACAGCACACGGCGGTGGTGCAGTAGTGGCGCTGGTACAATGTCCCTTGGTCAATGAGCCGCTTCTTGATGAGAGGAGTGTGGTCTAGGGAGCCTAGATGCAGGTCTTGGTCATCGGTGAGCACGAAGACGATGTTGGGCCGTTTCGATGAGGAGGAGGGCGATGATCCAAGTCCGCCGAGACCAGACAGGGGCTTCTGTGTGCCATCATCTGCCTGCACAATGGACAGTGTGCCCAGGATCAAGCCCAGCCCGATTCCAATTCTCATTGTTGTGCTTTCTTTTCCCGGTGTGACTGGCGTGCTGTAGCGCAAATGCAGTGGCGGAATATGTGAGACACACCCTTCCAGCAGACTCAGAAAGATGTGTTGAGCGCCGTGCTGATTGGCTGATGCAATGCTTCAGCTCGCTGCGAGGCCTCACTCTCTCAGACCGGTGTGGTGGATCGGTATGGGCGCCTGCAAAGGTCTGGGCTTGGACCAAGGATGCGGCGTGCGCAGCACAGTAAAAGAGGTATGTGATATGTGATTGAGTAGAACGTCAGCCAGGCTGCCCGGGTTGGAGCATCACGGGAAGAAGGGAGGTTGTGGGCGGAGAAATGCGATGAGCAGGTCGGACTGCTCGAAGTTCCGGTCGACAGCCGCAACATCAGCGATGGCGCAATAGCGGATGTCCCTGTCGGTTCTCGTGGGAGGGATCCAGCTTTGGTGCGATCATGGAGGGCACATCGAGTGCCGTCTCACTGTGTTGCTTGCACCGTGACCCGGGTCTAGGAGCATCCATTCCCATCACAGACTTCTCCCTCGCTGCAGGCTGATGCATGGATGCAGACGCCACGAAAAAGCAAGAAAGAGGAGGGCGAAGGGCGTGCAGCTGGTTGGTGATGAGGAGAAAAAGGATGTGGTAATTTGGCAGTCATCGTGCAGCAGCTGAGGCTCTGGCTTGCACGCCAAGGCCCTGCCGTGCCCACTGGAGCTGAAAACTACAGGGGCCTGTCCGCTGGAAAGATACTTGGCCCCTCTGTACCAGCGGCCCCTTGTACCTAAAGGCAGTACCAAGACAGCACATCCAGCACTGCGGGGCCCCTATGCTCCCCGCCTGTACCCCAGAAGAACCTCCGGTTGCCGGCGTCTCCCCACTGGAGGTACCTGCCGTGCAAGCTGACAGGACACTCGTCCGCACTTTCCTCGCAAAAGGTGACAAGTGATACGAAAACTGACAGCTTCGATTTCTCTCTCCTCCTCCTCGGTATCTCTCTTCCCACCTTGCTTGCTTGCTTTTTCTGAGTGCTCATTCGAGGCCAAGCTATTGTCATGTGTGGCTGCCTGCAGTCAGCTCGTCTAAAAGTAGATAGTTGGTTGATTGCCCAGAGTGTTCAGCCCTCCACGTCTGAAATGGCTGTCCAGTGTGACAGGCTCGCTCCAGCCCTTTGTACGCGGTAAGAGTCGTCTACTTAATGCAGCCCCTCGAGACGCTTCTTCCCATTGACACGGCCGGAGTAAAGAGCCATGCAAAGAGCTCCCAGAGGCTCTTTTCTTTAGCCCTGCCCCCATCCCATCACCACGTCTCACACCTAGATGGGACGCCATGGCATCTCCTCCCTCCATCATCGCTTCTGTTGAAGACGTGACCACGCCTATGCGTCTGCTCTGCAAAGACATTGTGGATGGCGTGATTGACTCAACCTTCGCTCAAATGGTCACCCAGGAGGGCCCGCTGCGACACTTGATGGACAGCCAAGGACGCCTCCCAGTGTTGGCAAATGTCAGTCATCGCCCTCTGTTCACCCTACTTGCTCCCCGAGCTGACCGATGACCAACCGTTCATAGGGTATCTGGCGTCGAGTCTTCACACCTCGCCACGGCCCAGCTTGGAACTCGAGCCTCCCCATCCCCGACCTTGACCTCCCAAAACTCCTGCCGTCTGATCTCCGTATCCAGGCTGGCACTTTGCTGGTCGACGCAGCTCCCGCCGACACGAACCGCCGCTTCTTCCCTTGGAATGTCCGCCTCCTCGACCCTCCTCCCAAGCGAGCTCGCCGCTGTGGCCAGGACGTCTTCCTTGAGCCGCGACACGATCCCGAGAGCGAAGATAGGGTCCAGTGGTTTTGGAGCGACCTAGACGGCAAAGCCGTCGACCCTCGAGTCACCTTGGTCCATGTCATCAACCGGGAGGATGTGCTTATGAAATTTCGCCGGGCTGCCGTCGCGTCAAGAGACGGAACCATGTTCAGGCATGCTTTCAACCACAACCTCGAGTTGGGCATATACCGGATCAGGTGCCGGCTGACTGCCTTCATAGCCTCAAGTTTCTCCCAGGAACTGATGCCTCCGTTGAGTGATGGCGAAGAATTCTTCAGCCCGACGTACATGGCAGCAGCCTTTCGCCGCGAGCTGTCAGCCAGCTCTGACCCTGACCCGGATGCTGAGGCACGGGCGAGGACTAATGCCACCCAGGTGGTGATGCTATACAAGTATTACTATGAGGGGAAAGAAATGTTATGGCTCTGAATGTAATTACAGCAGAGATCACTGGCTTTGCTCCTCGTTTGCTTGCCAGTCTGTCCTGCCGGTTGAATGGATCTTGTCACTTAAAGAACCACCACAGTGCTCAATAAATCATGTCAACAATCAATCAACTCGTTCTTTCTACTTCAAAGCGTGCATGTACGCCGGTTGTCTCCTGTGCTCGACTTAATCCTGTTGCTTCTGGCTGCGAAACTCGCCCTTGACCACTCGCTCCCCAAGCTCTTTCAGCACCTTGGCTAGCCACTCGTAGTCCTCCATCTCCAGATACACCTGCGCGCTGATGCGCACCCAGAACCTATCCCACCGCACATACAAGGCCACAAACGTCTTGTACTCGTCCATGAGCGCCTTTGCCATGAAGTTAAACGCCGTATTTGCCTCCTTCCGCGACAGCACCAGCCCCTTGCCCCCTCCCTCCGTCACCCTCTCCCCTTCCTCCTTCCCCTCCTCCTCCTTGGCCACCCACAGCGGTAGCCCAACATTCCCCATCCCGCAGTTCGTCATCGTCCCCGTCTTATTATCCAAATACTCCGTCCCCAGCACCTCAGCAACGTGCCTAATGCCCCGCTTGTTCAGATCCCACAGGTACGCCAGGATCCTCTCCTCCCCGCCCAGCACGTCCCGCCGCCACGCGATGGCGTCCTTGACGCACATGTACGGCGAGTCGTCCCGCGTGCCCACCCACCCAAAGTTGAACGCCAGGTGTCCCTCCTCTTCATAGTCGGGCAGCGGCTGCGTCCGCAGCGCCCTCCCGCCTTCCTGGGGGATGTACCCCCTCGAGGTGGCCAGCGACGAGGGGATCAGCTTGTGGTTCCGCTCAGGAACGTAGAACACCGCGCACCCTCTCGGCACGTGCAGCCACTTGTGGCAGTTGCTCACGAAGAAGTCGGGGTCCGTCTTCTTCAAGTCTAAATGCACCATGCCGATGCCCTGCGCGCCGTCCACGAGGCTCAGCACCCCGAGCTCGCGGCACGCCGCCGTCATCGCCTCCCACGGGAACACGGCTCCCGGGTTCGACGACACGACATCGAAGACGGCCACCCTCGCCCGCTTCCCCTCCGCCTCGATCCCCCGCACCGTCTCGCGGAACAGTCGGAGGATCTCGTCGTCCTCGACCGGGTACGTGAGCAAGATGTCCCTGGCGACGACTTGACCCTTGAAATAGTCGACGACAAAGTCCTCCGCGCGCGCCATGGCGTCGTAGATGGTCCCGAAGCTGATGATGACGTCGCGCCCGTCCGGGTTCCAGTGCAGGTTCCGCAGCACCGTGTTGACGCCCTCGGTCGCGTTGCCCACGAAGACGACGTCCCGGAGAGGCGCGTTGACCAGCTGCGCCACGGCCGCGCGGGACTCGTTGACGAGGGTGGCCACGTCCCGGCGGATGAAGACGTCCGGGCGCGCCTCGTACCGGTCCAGGTACTCGCGGCGCTTCTGGCTGACGGCTTTGGGGATGGTGCCGTAGGAGCCTTGAGAGGTTCAGTCATTTTCTTTGACCGACCGTGAAGCAGGAGAGCTGTGAATACGCACCGTGGTTCAGGTTTCTCCAGCCTTCATCGAACTGAAACTCCTTCAGAAGGCCATGGCCCAGCTCTGCGGGAGCTTTGGGGCTGCTTGTATCACCAGCGCTGAGTTTCTGGCCCATCTTGTATCGCGCTCTCTATGTAATCTACAGTATGTGAAACGGAGTCTATCGCCGCAAGTGTGAGATATGGATGAATTCAATAACGATCAGTGAAGCTTGTGTCTCGATGACACTAAGAAATAGCCCAAGGTTTCGGGTCATCTGGATCTTCCCCGCACCCGCGTTGCTCTCCGTCCATCGCCCGTGTTCCGCATTCGGGGAGCACTTAGATTGGAAGGTCAGCCTGCATTTCACATGTCCACTGCGGATATCGGAGGCACAGGCCGATCAGTCTGACAGATTGGCATAGATACTTGCCTGCCAAATGTAGAGGCCAACAGGACAGCAAGTGGGGGGAGAGGAGAACTCGGGCGGGCCATTCGGATCGCCACGTCCATCGACGCAGCGCGGCCGATTCGCCGATGGCAGACACGCACCTAAGTTGAAGATCAGTGATTTCTCGGCTTCGAAACTCACCCACAAAGACAAAATAGCCATCGCCGGCTCAAGACAAGCACCGGGAGAGAAGACGGGGAATCAGGATCGCTTGTCGCCATTCAAGACTACTAGAACCTAGGTATGTAGATGGACCTTCTATGATCAGCCTTGAGCCGGACTCCCAAGCCCGGCTCCGAAGGAAACATTGCCATTTCCCCCCAAATAGAATTCATGTAAACCCAGGGAAAGAACGCCGTCGACATAAATGTGTATATGAAAAAAACAAAGATGGTGGTGTGGAAACCAGTCGTTGGTAAAGCCCTCTGCCTGCCTCGATGCAATCATTCGCTGTCTAAGAAAAAGAAAAAAGAAAGTGCAATCGCAGTGATCATCAGCGACACCGGTTTGGCGACACATGCCACGAATCCCCCCACTGCCTCAGTGCTGATACCTTAAGGCCTACCAGCGCCAGGGCTACGTCCTTCTCCTTCTCATTATGCTCTCGTTCTCGTCTTGCCAACTCCTCTCGCTGTTGTCGTGACAGTCTAAACTGCTCCTGTCGTTGCTGCGCCTCCCACTGACCGCTCACGCTTTCGTGTCCACCCATCCAATTTTGCTGCTGATCGTTCCACTGGCCTCGGGCAGGTTTAATCTGTGTCTGGTTCTTAATCATCGCTTCCTGGATGGCCAGTGATTGTGATCGCAGTTGTCTAACGTTCGCGTGGAGGGTGGGCTGAGGGCCTTGGGGTGGGCTCTGGGGTTCCAGTGGCCGAGGTCGCCGGTCGAGCTGTTCAGGTGAGGCGGCGCCTATCACTCTCAGCGGCGGCAGTGTGAGCGCTGGTTCGGACTTGGGGGCAGGCCTGCTGCCGGTGCTGCTCCTCCTACTGCTGTCTTCGCTTCCGCCGCCTACGTGCTGAGGAGGCGACGATAGGACCTCTTCCTCGCCATAGATCTTCTTGCGCTTACGGAGGCGAGGGTTTGCCTTGACGGAGTTCAAGATTGAGCTGCTGGCAGGCGGCGGTGCCTCTATCTTGAGCGGCTGCATCACGACGGTGGGTTGATTAGACTCCATCACCATTTTCTCCGGCTCTGGTTCCAGCACCTGTTCCAGCACTTGATCCAGAACTTGCTCCGGCACTTGTTCTGGCACTTGTTCCGGCTCTGGCTCTTGTTTGAGGGCTCTGCCATGGTTCGGATTCAGTGTTGAGGGTGGCTTCCTCTTCTCTGCACGTTCCATCGCGGCCGGTGCGGATTTCCGTGTCCGCCTCGGCCTTAACCTTAGAGCATTCTGAGCAGCACTAGGCTTCACCGATGCCTTAGGTAGTGACTCGGGCTGTGGAGGTGGAGGTTGCACAGGGGGGGCTGGCTCCGAGGGTGGTGGTGATGGCGTTGCGGCGCTAGATGCTTGGACAGCGATTGCCTCTTCGGTCTCTTGTTGCTGGTGCAGGTTCGATTCAACGGTGATCGACATTTCGGCCACCACTGAATCAGATATTAGAGATGAGGACGGTAGCGTGGAAGGGTCGTTGAGCTCTGTTATTCGTCGGAGCTCGCCGATGATCTTCTGTGTCCAATATGCGCCAGTCACCTTGGTATCGCGCAGTGCCATGGGGTTTTTCGCCGGCTGCTTCTCCTTGGGCTCCTCCCAGAGCTTTGGGACACGATTCTGGAGGTCGGAGACCCATGCATCACAATCCCATTGCACCCAGTAGTCGATGATATCTCCCCATGAACTCTCTGGTGGCTTGGTGAAGTTGACAAACACGACCGTGCCGCCCCGGCTGTGAATGGACTTTGCAAATTCACGAACCAGTATTTTCAGGCCGTGTACGCGCAAACTTGTACCCAAAATCAGGAGCATATCCGGACACAAGGCCAGGTCATGCGTGACAATCGGGCTTATTAGATGCGCGTTGGGGTGCTCCTCACCATAAAGGACGATGTCAGGTCTGAGTTTGCCGACACCCAGCGCCCTCTTCCCTCGCTCTTCCCTGGCAGCCGTCGCTCCAACACAGTGAGGGCACTCGGGCTGCTGTCCGGACATGGTTTCCGACTCTCGGATACCATCCCAACAAGTGACGCGCCCGCAAAGGAAGCATCTCAGGCTTTCTAAAGACCCGTGAAGAAAGACGCATTCCACTCCAGACGACCGGATTGTTTCCAATTTGGGAGGAGCCTTGGGTTGGTCGCCAACAGATGCCTCCGACTCTGTGATGGGAGTCTTGGGTATTTCGATCTCGTCTGTCGGATGCTGGGTCGAGAGCGGAGGATGGCTCTCGCCAACGGGGGTCGGGGGTTCAGCAGCAGCATCTTCCACCATTTTGCTCAGCTGGGCACCATTGGCCGTTGAGCGTCTAGAGAATCGACCACGGCTTCCCGGGCCCTCCTCAAGACTGGTAGAAAGTCCAACCTTCTCTTCAATTCGGTCGATGTTCTGGGTGTAGCATCGTACAAGCTTTTTCCGGTCTCTCAGGTGGCTAATGAACCGATGTGAGCTGGTGGGTTCGCAATCCTTGACCTTCTGTCTGAGGGATGTCGCGAAGGTATAAAAGACGGATGTTCTTAGGGGGTCCGACCATATCGAGGCGTCAAAGAGATCTTTCCCCTTCATGTTAGGTAAGCTGTTGCGGCCAGAAGAAGATTGAGACGCGCTGAGCGAGTGGGAGGTCAAGTCCATTTCGCATTGTGACGTACTGCTCCTTCGGCTCGAGCTGGTGATTGAGGGAGAGGGAGGGTGTGGTTCAAATAATATAGGTGGCGGTGAGGAGAGGGGCGATGAGCTGGCGGGGATGGCAATGTCCAAAAGATTACGACGCGACCGAAGGGAACGAGTTTGGATGATAGGTTCGGGCGAGGTGGGGAGGACAATTTCCTCAAGGGGTGGCGAAGAGAGCGGCGAGGTCGTCGGCATGTCTGCACGATCGGGCGTGCGCATAACTTTGGGCGTAGATATTTCAATCGCGTTTCCTGTCGTTCGGGTGGGGGAGGAGGGGAGGTTGAGGTCGTCATCGCTCGGAGGTTTGGCATCGTCTTGAACTTGGGTCTCGGCAGGTTCTTCCGGGGCCACGGCGTCCTCGGTTTCTTTCTGGTCTACTCGCTCCTGTCTGTTGAAAATGATGGGGCCGCAGGAAAGCCTTCTCCGCTTGGGAGCAGGTCCCTCTTGAAAATCGCGTTCGTTGTCGCCTTCATTCGTATCGCTGTCTCCTTGTGAAGTAGTGTCTGGGGATGCGTTATTGCGTGCTAGCTCGAAATGAGCCTGAATCAGAGAGTAGAGACCATTCTCAGATCGAAAATCCTGCAGTCCATTGATCAGCCCAGGCTCATTCACCGTCATGGGCCGCGTCGGGTAAAGAGAAAGCGGGGGAAAGGCGCGTTATGCAACATACCGGAATGCCTGAATTGGTACTGATGCCAGCACCAGTTACCACGACCACTTTGCGCGCCTTGAGCAGGGTATTTGCCACGGCCTGGAGCAGCTCGTCGGAGCTCGGGTCGACGTGTTGGGTAGGCATGGCGGTAGCGGAATAGAAGCAACAGGCAGCAGATGGTGCGCGCGCTCAGCACACAAACGGGCAGTCCACGACGCGCTTTCTGCAGCCTGAGTCTCGTCTCACAGTGGAAGCTCAGTTGTAAGGTGACAACAAGGGGCGATCGTCATCGTGGTCGGTGTCGAAGCTGGGGGATCGTGCGGAGGTGACGCTGCTGGGCCAGTTCACGATATGTGCGGTTGGAGCAGCAGTTCGAACGCGGTTGGGTGGTGGAGGATTTGGGAGGAAGTGGTGGGTGCGCGCGGTCGCGGGCATGCGTCGGTGGAGATGATTGTGTGCGCTGAGGCGGGTGCAGACAATCACAGGAGCAGCGGGGGTTCCGGCCAGCGAGACTCCAAGAAACGTCCGGCGGCTGGACGAGGAGAGGCGAGGTCAACAACGAGCAAGGCCTGAATGCTGAATGAGCTGAGAGTCGCTCCGGACCGAGAGGTGAGGAGACGAACCAGCCTCTTTCCTATCTGGGCCGCCGACACGCGCCTTCCTCAATGGCTGGAGGATCAATGTTGTTGCCCCAATTTAGAGGTGGAGGCGCCTCGGTGAGCTAGACCGGACGCAGCAGGGCCCTGAACCCCAGTAAACCGCCCTGGGAGCGCTATCGATAAGCCTTTCAGCGGACACGCCACTGAACCTTCTTCTGTCGGATCTCAAGGTCTGAATCATCGTTTTCATTAGAACACAGCTGCAACGATTGACATTGGATGTGAGTGTATGACCATGCCGCAATTAATCAGTATTCATATTGTGAAACAATCAGTTTTCCCGACAACCGTATCCAAGTCATAGATTCATTTGCCCATCTCAGAACAGTAAACAACAATGCCCTACCCGAAGCCAAAGCTTATCATCTATTGTATTGTCCTTCAACTGTCTCCTATTGTCGTCAAGTTGGGACGATATATTATCAATCCGACTCGATTTTAACCATGAATTCTTCATTGCCTCAAGCCATGCATCACCCTGGTCGCTTACTCCCAAGGCTTACTGATAAAGACAGAATCTGCATGTGGTACCTATCGTCCAAATTAAACCTACGCCCAGCATCTACATCCCATTCCATTACAGCAAGTCGCCGATGGAGCTACTTCACGCTTCCAAGGCAAGTCCAATTCGCTTTGAACAAGTAATCATCCATGATGAACTGACCATGCCTATGTCAATCACTACAAGATAGGCAATCTTGTAACACCGTTCTCCTCGCCCCTCGGCTTTCTTCTAGGTTTCTTCCATGTAGGATGGTAAAACTGGCCTAATTATAGAAATTCTGCGCGGGCTAGGAATGAAGAAAACTCTAGGTCAGCCTAAGTTAAGTACTACAAAACATTTAGACCTATATAAGTTCCTGCAACCTCAATATAGGTAGTTAGACAAACAAAAGAATTTCTAAGCATTATCCTACAATTTCAATCAATATAAATTTCACGCCCAAATTTTATTATCACAGCTACAGCCCTTAAGTCCTCTCACAGCTGTAACTACTTGGATAGAGATAGGACCAGAAAAGATAGAAGATAACGCTAAGGTTATAGCCCAAAGCGAGAGGCTTTTGCTATAACTCTGAAATCCGTTCGTAAGAATATATATAAAATTTAGATAATCTCTTCTCGAACGGATACAGTGATATATATACTAAAGTATCCTCGAAGAAGAACTACCCCAATGATATACGCTTGTTTATCTTATAATTCTGAGTTACCGCTACTGTAACCAGCCCACTGATATATTGCCACCGTCCAGTTGGCAAATACAACCAAACTCGAAATATATAATTACGATCTTGTCACTAATGATAAATCTAGTTTTTCCTCATATGCTTGTACTTGATTCCTAGTGCGCTAGTTACAGTCTTTACTTCTCTATCAGTCTATTCAGGTAAAATTATCTCCGAACAAACACTTCTCGATATACCTGACGCTCACAACACAGAGACCGCTACCCAACACCTAATCAACTATAACTATAAATTCAACTTGGTCTGTTTCCAACGAGTCAATACCTGATGGTTTTATTATGCAGCGGCGATATATAACTCTACCGTATAGGGCGTCAGCACTAGACTCCACAGCATCACCTCAGTCGAAGCCAAGATCATATATCTAAGTAGAAACTCTACATCTGCAAGTATAATCCTAAGAAGACTACTTCTACGAGTGCCTAAATTACGCTGGTCAAATCGTCCACGACGAAGACGAAGCCAACATGACGGAAGCGATGAATACAGCTTCGCTCTTACTTGGGCGAACCATGATAGCTTCCCCGGCGTCTGCATGATAGTTGCAAAAACCCTAAGTAGTGTTGAATTCTTTTCATAAATCTATTCCTAATTCTAGGTAAGAACTACCTCTGTTTAGGAAGTAGTCTACATTAAAACCGCCGAATAATCATAAGGATTATCTGATTTTACTGGAAAAGTTCAACCTCTAGACTTCAAGCACTCTATTTCTATGATACATGCCAGGGCCGCAGAAGCAATGCCTTCCTCCCGTCTATTACTTAAATAGCCACCAGAAACTTCAAAAACTCTGAAAAATCATTAGGAACCCCCAACCCAGTCACAGCATCCCACCCCTCAGCAGCCAGCCACCCTCCCGGCCCTCCATCCTCATCAAACGGACACGACGTGCTCTCCCCCGCGATCGTATCCTGGAACACCCCCTTAGCCTGCCTCCCATACAGATGCTGGTTAATCCATCCCAAGGGTTCCTTCCCTCTCTTCGCCCGCTCATGGTCCGCCACGGCAATCAACGACGCCAGCAACGGCGCACTCGCGCTCGTCCCGTCCACGTACGTCACCCTCCCACCAACGACAATCTCAAACCGCGACGCAACAGCCGAGATGTCGGGTACCGCGCGCATGGAACTGTTATAATACCCTGCCAGGTGCCCATCCAGCCTCTCAACGTACCCGGCCACCGCATCCCTCTGCCACTCCTCCATGGGGAAGAACTGCGAGAACCCGCCGCCGCTGAAATCCGCCCCCTCGGGTGGCTCGTACATGTTGGACACGCCCCCGATGGACGTCACCCAGGGACACGTGGCCGGGAACACGGCCATGGTGACCTTCTTCCCATCGGGAGTTACGCAGTTGGACCTGCGCGACCCTCTTGCGCCGCCATCCCCCGACGAGCTGAGGATGGTCGTGCCCCTCGCCGTGAGTATCCCCATCATGTTGCAGATCCGCTCGGCGTACGCCCTCGGCACGGAAAGCTCGTCGTCGCCGTACGAGAACGACAGCACATGCGGCATGTCGTCCGTCGGCTTCGCGAGAAGGTACTCCAAGAACTCAAGGTACGGCTCGTTATCCACCAGCTCCCCAGCGAGCGGCTCACCATTATCACCTAGCTTGACGCCCCTCCCGCCGGTATAATAATACGTGAGCTGGGCCGGGTGCGCCAGCGCCAGCGCGTACTGTATGTCCAGCGCGGCCTCGAGCCCGGACTTTGACGGGTCCTGCGGGTTCTCGCCGCCGTTGATGAGCTCAACGGAGAAGTTGTACCCAGTGCTCGCAACGTCCGGGGCGAGCCTGTCCAGGAACTGGGCCGCGTCGGCGTAGTTGGCGTACTCCTCAAGGAAGCCGGCGATGCCCAGGCGGATGGTCGAGTTCTCGCTGGGGCCGGCGGGGGGAAGCTTGTAGAGCTCGCGGATGCAGCCGGGCGTCACTTTACCGCGGCAGGGACTGACAGTGCCCTGGCGCTTCGATATATCGTCCTCAGGCTGCGCCGGGGAGGGTCGCGTCAGTTCGTTCCGGGGCTCCATGAAGTTGGCGATGGGGTGGACGAAGCTGATGGCGTCCCTGAGCGCGTCCGGGACCGCGTACTCGGTCGTGCGGAGGGCCTGCAGCCCGTTCTCGAACTCGTAGCGATGCAGCTTCATCGCCAGCAGCGGCTCGGCGGCCGCGACCGTGGTGCGCACGTGGATCCAGTCATTCTCCTGCCTGGCGTCCTTGATGCCATTCTCAGCGAGCCAGTTCTGGACGGCGTCGACGTCTTGCTGGTCGGGCTGGCGAATCAGGCGGGCCTCCTCGTCCGACAGGTGCTTGTTTTGCCCTGAGACAAGGCGTGTTCGCAGCTCTGCGATATTGGGTTCACGCAGGGCAAACGAGAGCCACAGAGACTGGTCGGGGCTGACCTCGTCGCGAAGCTGTGTCCATCCACTCGGAACCTCCGACACTTGTTCGACGAGCGTCGCGCATGAGCCCAGACTGACAAGTCCAAGGAGGGCTACCACTGAGAAGGCCATAATGGTGTCCGTAAGAGGTAATATGGTCCTCTATAGCAGACGAGAGAAAGACCAGGGAGCCAAGGGCCCATTGATGCCTCTTTAAATGCCATCTCCCTGCTGGAAATCGTCGCCCTGATGACAAAAATGTCTTGGTCCCTGCCGATTGTGACACCAAACCCCTCAAAGTTCACCGGCTGTTGCATTCCCTCGATCCATGTTTGACTGCCGCGATGTCTCAGGGTCGGGTATTGAGTGGTGGTTCGGCAAGGGCAGATGATCTTGTCTCAGTCCCTGACGTGCGGATGAGGGACATGATCAAGGTTTTGGGTGGTGTTAGTGGGAGAGGCGGAGCGAATCGTGTCAAGTGTTAGAGATCTTAAGCCGTCAAGTCGTTGATGGGTCGCCCAGATCAGGCGTTTGAAATCATGCTCTCCAATAATGATAATGAAGAATGTGTAATCTGGTGAGACGGATGGGCCCAGTCGAATTATCAATGTGCCACATCAGCATCAGGGCGCCCACCATCAATTCCAATAGAGCCTTGGCAACAATCCACACCGTCCAATCTTCAATTATGCTTCTTCATCGCTCCCGGCACCAGTGACAAGCCATCTCATCTCGACTATCAAAACGCTGCATAGACACCAGCCATACCCGCAGCTGGCATTACCAACTGCTTATCACCAACCCTCGACCCTGTCCGCTGGTCACACTATGTACCAACCCTTGCACCCTCTTCCCCGTCCCATCGCATCTGGACCGCCGCAGTGGATATGGCGAAGATCTGGAACCGGCTAATCGGTCGCTGCCCCCTCGCAGCTGAACAATATTCCACCGCCGCGTGGCTCAGGTCAGCGACTCGCGGAACCAATAGCCTCTGGGTCGATGTTTCGCTAGTTTCTCATATCCTCTCTCACCATTCCAGTAATTCCCTTCCGTCTCCCGAGCTTCAGCTGACTATTGCCCGCCTCGGACGTGAGGTGATGTGATGGCTGCCCGCCGCAAACATGTGCATGACCTATATAGTTACAAGGAAGCCACTTGACCCATCTTCAAAATATCTCTGGCCAAATAAATAATATAGACCTTCTCTTGTTTAGTCCCTCCAAGTTATTCATCATTATACATGGCCCTGCCACCGCCCACCTCACAGGGTGACTCCCACTCCCCCAGCCGCACATCCTTCCCCTTCCGTCAGCGCCTCTGGCCCTTCTCCCACGCCAAACCGCCCAGCAGCGAATCCCACCCAAAAGCACCTGTCCGCACTGCATACGTCCCGCAGCACGCCGCCGCAGACTTCCTCCGGACCACGACGCCCAGGCCTCGGGTCTTGTCAATCCACCAAGAGGGGAGCTCACAGCAAGAAGAGTCTTCACGTCAGTCAAGGAACCAGGGCGGGGTGGTGAGAAGAATTGCGGATTATGTCAAGCCACCCACGGACGGGTGAGCCGGAAAGCAATCACTGCATAATTGTACAAACGTGGTAATGAGGGGGGCGGTGCTGGATTGATCTCATCTTATCTCATCATGGAGTCTCGGTTGGAGCCGGTTTTTACGCGTCATGATACCCATGCCCTTGATTCTCGGTCATTTCGAATAACTCGTTGTCTTTCTTTCTTTGCCTCGCTGTTGAGGAAAAGTATGTAATACTACCCATGATGCAGTAACGCGCTGTCTCCAGAATGCTCAAGTCCCTCCTCTTGGAACGTCGCCCAAGGCGCGAGCCAGAGCGACCGTAACCAGACCATGCATGCTTCCTAATAAATAAAACCCACAATCTGTAAACAAAAAACACATCCCAATGGCCCATTTATCGGTACAATGCCCCTTCTCAAACACAGATAGATGTGAGGTCGGGGCTGGGAAGAAAACAAAAAACGCCGCCCGATCAGTATCTCATAAGGGGACATATCGCCAACGCCCAGAGTCAGATAGATCAGTGATGCCCTTCAGTACGCCAAGATGGATTTGAACCAAAAAAAAAAAAAAAAAAAAAAAAAAGAGAGAAAGAAATGTGACAAAAGTCAAACACCCACCGCCCCATTCCAGGATATTGACGAAGCAAAAGTATCGCTGTGCTGTAGAAATACTGACGTCGTAGGTTCGAGGACTAGGACCGAGAGCAGACAAAGGTACCCGCGAAAATGGAAGAAATATGGCAAAGCCATCAGTCACTATGAGTGAAACCTAGCCCGTGTAAAGCCCGAGGACGCAAGTCCACAGAAAAGATGAAAATTCGCTTGCAATGCAATGAAGAGTGCCACAATCACAAGTGTCGACTAACAAAATCCAGAAGAGTGATGGGTGTTCCAGAAAAGACATATCCCCCAGACCAAGGAGCGCCCATGACGGAACGTGTGGCGTATGGGAGAAAGTCGCGGATTCGCCTCACGCTATGAGGGACTGATTCCGGCTCCATTTCTTCGACAAGGGATTTCAATGTCACCCTCGTCGTCAGAGCTGAGGCACATGTCGTCCGTGTTTCGATCCAGCATCTTCAGCACGTCCTCCTCAGACAGCGGTTTCCGTCGAGGTTTACTGGTCCAACCCAAGGGACTTGGAAGAGACAACGCGCCCCTCACATGCCCGGTTTCCCCGTTGAAACGACTCCTAGGTGTGCCTCGATAGGGTGAGTTTTGGGAATGCGGTGAATCCAGAACCATGGGGGAGCTCTGGATGCTAGACATGTTAGAAGAGGCCCTGTACAGAGCTTTCCGCGCTGATACGTCTGGACGATGGGTAGGCAGCGCTTTCCGCGGCCCGCTAGGCAAGGCATGGCGACCATTGGAACTTCGAGGGGTGTCTTGACTAGCGAAAGGCCCAGGAGAATGTGAGGGCGAAATGTCATGCTTCAAATTGGCTGAATTGTTGGGGCTGCTGAGAAACATGAGGGTCTCCACGGCATCCTTTTCTCTGTTGTTGTGGTGCGCAGAGAAGACACCACCCTCGGCCATGGCAAGTGTTCTCGACTGGCCACCCAGCGGTGACGGCTGGGCCGGCGTTCGTGGAGAGGCTTGGTGAGATGCAGTGAGGAAGGTCGGCATGTATTGTGGGTTGGAATTCCGACGTGGGTTAGGCCGCGGCGCGTGGGACGAAATGGAGGGCCGGATCGGAGCCGGAGGCGCAAGAGCTATGGGTTTGGCCGAGGAGGATGTTAAGGAGGTATTTGAGACGTGTTGATGTTGCTGCTCCATGATGTCTTTGGCGAAGTGAACCCGCATCTGCGGGTTAAGACCAGCGAGTACAGGTCGGGTTCGGGTCGTCGATATGGTGGAAACCGGGGAGCTTGATTGAGAGGACATGATGGTCTCAAGTTCGTCAATAGACTTCTCCTCCAGACCATTCTTGTACTTGTACATGGCCCATGATAACCGGCTCTTCAATGTTTGAGCCATCTGCACCACGAGGTTAGCGAAACGAAAAACAGGAGGCACTTGCAACAGGGAACACCAACATCGCCGACGGTGCTGGCCGTCGAGACTGCGCTGACGGCACTCGCGTTCCTCGAATGGCTCTTGTAGGGGCTCTTCAATTCGCCATCCGCCATGCGTTTCCGCGGGGTGGGAGCACTGTCAGTCCGTAATCGCTGCCTCCCGGCTGCCAATTCTGACAGTTGCAACAGCTGGTCGTCCTGGCTGGAGGCGATCACCTGCTGCATGGGATCGGAATCGGCGCTATTCTGGATGCTGCTGGGCTGTGTCGGGGTGAAGATTTGGTCGGATACGCTGGTGACATTCGACTCCTGTGACCCGGCTATGGAACGCGGGTCGCTCTGGGAATGATCCCCGTCCGCGCGGGAGGGCAGATCAGTGTCGTGTCGGTCGAGGACCTTGCCGTGGGAGAAGACGCCCTTGATGTAGCTGGCTGAGGCACGCGCTTCGGGGATCGCGGTAGGTGGCGAAACTGCGTGGTCACCGCGAATAAATGCAGACGCGACGGAGGGGTCCATTTGTCGGGTGTCGAGAGAAACAAAGCTCCCCAACGGCGCGACCGCATCGATGCGGTCGGGGGCCATGGCGGTCATGGGGATGTCGTGTATGGCGTCAGGACTCTCGGGTGGTAGTATGGAGGTGTATTGTGGAAGGGGGGAGGGGCAGACAATTCGCGGGTGGGTTGGAGGAGTGTGTGGTGGTGTCTGTCGCTGGCGCTGGGCCTGTCATCAGTGACGAGACTAGAGGCGTCACGACGGTAGGCAGACGGATTAATTCTGGCGTCAGCACCGACTGTGAAAACGATACAGAGTCAAGCAGAGCACTCAATCAATTGCAGAAGGGCAATGCCTGTCTCCTCTCCACCAGCCTCGGGGATGGATGGAGACGGCTCAGGCCACACAAAAAGACCAAAAGACCCCGAAAAGACGGGCTACTGGCCTTAACCTTGGCGGACAGGAGCGAGGATCACACTTTCTTCTGTAGTGCTGGTTTGGCGTCCACACGCGCGGTCAGGCGTGACGCATGCGGGAGTCCCACCTTCCCCAACTCAGCCAGTGGGCAATCCACCGATCCACACCGTACGAGGTACTTGACGCGACTCTTCAGCACTTCAGTCTCTGTGCTGCTGCCAGGGCATTGAACCTCTAGAGCGCTGTAATCATTGGAACATTGAAGTCAAGTTATCGTTAAGACTACAGCTGCTGGTCTTGATCTCATTGATAATTGCTACAGAGTAGTTCCAATGCCTTCGGCTAGATATCTTCATTCGCTATTAACCAAGCTAAGCGCCAAATCCTCCAGGCCCCGTGACAACCCTGATGAGATATTTTGTCAGCGGTCCTCTCAATGGCGTCGTATCACTGCAAGGTTTCCCAGCCACCCCAGAGACGCGGCGCAGGCCAATCCAGTCGGCAAGAAACCACGCACCGCAGACTGCAAATATGCTTTTCGAGATTTGTGCGTCTCTGCTCCGTACGCGAAGCATTCTTGGCAAACTCTGGCATGCAATATAGCCCTCGGCTCTCCCCTATGTGGTGGCGAAAAGAGAAGAGATTTCAGCCTTCCTGCATGTACCTTGCCATGTACTCGTACCGTGCGAGTATCATATCTTCAACACCACATCCCACCGACTGGCCACTACCCCCATCACCACAGCCCAAAGCCCCATCGCTCGAAAACAAGAAAAAAAAACCTCTCTCCAGCGCACAGTCTGGCATGTGCGCTGTCGGATATCTGTCAGGCGAGGGCTTGCGGGGGCTCCAACTCAGCGCCCGGGCGAACTCTGGTGAATCCCTGCGCAGGCCTCCGCTCCGTCCGAAACGCGTAGATGATCAGTAAACCCCCATGTGCCTCGCACTGACAGGGCAGGGAGGGACGGGAGGCTGGCTCGCTGCAGACGCACAAGCCAATCGCCTCAAGTGGCTGCAGCGCGCGCGGGGCCGTCGATGACACGAAATCACGTGCCTTCGCAATTGGAGGGGCACCTGTGCGTGTGAGTGTCTGTCGGTGAGAGTGTTTTTGTTATTTTATTTACTTTCTTCAGCAAACCCAACCGCTCATCCAACGGCCAATGGGACGGCCCCGACACGCAGCATGCTGACTCACTTATCTGCACCACGCCAAAGTCGCCGATCCATCCATTCATCCATGTGAGCGGGACACGGCAAGACTCCTGAACGTTGGAGAGCCGCCCAGGATCAGAATGTCACCGCTGTAACCGTAGTCGGGACCCCAGTATGAGCCTAAAGCTTCACAGTCCCAACTGAACTCCATGGAATCATCACAGGGAGGACATTGACCTTCAATTTGACTGTGCCGTGCCTGTAGGTTTGTTTTAACGTGAAAGATTCACATTACTCATTGCGTCAGACCAGGCGTTTATACTCCAGATACTTTATGGCTCTACGGAGGGCGACAAAATTCAGGCGTGGTCAAAGTACCGGCCGGGTGCGCTACCCTATAGCCGCGAACCACAATCCAAACTCATTGACCACCAATCCTTTGGCCAGGCTATTACACGCATTTTGAAACGCGAGCCCCGTTTCTAGGCTTGATATTTTGAACTGATTGAAAGACGATGGCGAATCCAAGAGTCCAAGCCTGCGTAGTTGGATGTTGATCCCTGACCCAACCCTCTTTCATGCTCCCGTGGAACTCGGATCGCCGATGTCCCTCATCGCACTAATGACTGATACCGGGAAAGTGAATGGAACCATTTCCTATTAATCATTATAACAACGCCGGTTAAGTTTCTTACCCCGCGTATATGCAAATTGTTAGATCAGTTGAAGCCAAATCTAAAGAGGAATGCTTTTCCAGTTGTGTATATATCTTGTTGCTACCTACCTGTAATCTAGTTGCGCTATTCGCTCGCTTTATAAAGGCGCTACTTTCGGGTTACCTTGCAGTCTCAGTAAGGCAAATAACACCTGACGCTTGCGTTGTTGGACTGCGTATTATCTGCGTCGATAAGCACCTTGCAGCTCGGTGGGTTGGCTGCTGGTTCGGCATTCATGGTCACGATGTGCTTATGGAGCCCCCGTTTCCTCAGTTTTGCGCATTTAATTACTGATTCGCTATAGATATATATTCTCAACTGGTATAATGGCGTCTTTTGCACATTTCCCCTCCGAATATATCCATCACATTTTCAGCTTCCTCTCTGAGCCTGATCTTGCCACTTTGTGATATCATTTGTTGAGACTTGCCCTACAAGACTGCCGCGGCTACAATCTGTACGTATTTTCGTTGACATCGAGGAGCATAAGTATTCACACCTCGGGTGGAAAAGGAGAAGCTTTCTCTTGGTGTTGATGTGAGGATTCTTGATGACAATCGATAGTAATTTGATCGTTGCATGGGACTATGATCAGTTATTTGAGGGCATCCCGATACGCCTTCGTCTCGAAAAAATGACAAGGTAGGGATTTAGTCACTGGAAATAAAGAAAACGAAATGATGCCTTTACTTCCTAAAATTGGGACAGCTGGGGGCTAGGGCTGTCTTTAAAGCCTTCGTCTAAGTCTAGCCGGACTACTTTTTATCTTTGATCGACTGAGTATCTTTGATGACGCAGAGTTTTCCTTCTACGTGTCTGCAGCCCCGGGCTAGCAGATTCGATAATACAGCCTTCAGGGTCTACCTGGGCGACTTTTTCTTTCCTGGATCTGCGTTCTGGCCAACCTGTATCTTAGGTCCTGCCGTCTTTCTCTTGCCAGGCTTATTCTTGCTGCTGGCAGCCTTCTTGGGCCTATTTCTCTTCAGATTCTTGCCTTTGTCATTTTAAGTTTTCTTACCTGATCTAGCAAGCTTCTTTGAAGTAGGAAAAAGGTGCATAGCTTGTGTTGCGGGCTGTAGAAATAGGAGTCGATGAGAAGAGCACATAGTTGTTTCTGGCTGAGTTGTCCGGTAACTTGGCATGTATATGATTGTTTGTGGCTTTAGCTAGTAATAATTAAAAAAGGGCTCCATCAAAGACAAATTCCTCGATCACCAAGTGCCAGTCTTAACCGATGTTATACATCGCAATCTGGTTGAAGTGTCTCGAAACTTCGGGGAAATTCTGGAAAATGGGATGATAGGAGCACATTGCTAAAGGAACTTTACTTCATGGTATGTTCAACTTAACCCTACGAGGGGAGAGGCTTGCAATTATGGAGGGCTGTGCCTCCTAAACAGCCCAAAAATAGATTGTCTAGACGGCATAGCCTAGTGAGTCTGCATTTAGATTTAGGTATAAACTGCCAAGCTTCTGCTAAGACTGGCCTCAAGGGTGGCTCGCGTTGCTCGCACTCACCATAAGCCTGCTGGACCAGGGTAGTGAGCGAAGTTAAGGTTATTCTTGTGAGCTGATTAGTCTGCTTATGCCAATATTGACCCTCCGGGGTAGACGAGGGCAAAGATGGGGCGAAAGAACGAAAGTGCCAATATGTCAATTGCCGAGGTGTCCAGTGCATGATAAGGTTATTTTGGACAACTTAGATCTTCTCCCTGTAAGAGGGAACCTCATCTTTCATCAAGCTGGAACTACACGTGTCCCACCACCTGTTTCCCAAGTGCCTCCTTTACGCCAGCGCAAAGTGAAGTACGTCTGCTCGTTGAGTGACCGCAGCATAGGCCGCGAGTACCCCGATCCACCCCATTCAAAGTCAAGACCGCGCTTCTCAGCCTCCGCGCAGATAAACTTGCGAACATCCTCATGTGTCTCATCTACAGCGTGCTCCAGCTCTATGTACCCCTCCCTGTCAAGCGGCTTCTTGGTGCTCTCATCCAGTGACTTCAGCTCGTCGAGAAGTTGCTCGACGACGGACTTGGCCTTGTCCGCTGTGTCCTCGCGGACATTTCGCAAGTGCAACAGGCGCACGGTGGACTCATCAACCGAGGCGCAGAGCATCATGTCGCGGTCGGACATATCGAGTCTGATCTTTTGCTGGCCAGGGCCACCCAAGACCAGCGTGTGTGAGTCGCTGGCGAAAGGGCCGGTATCATTGTTATGATAGCGATCCGTAGATCGGCCATCCTTCGCAGCGTTTTCGGTAGCCATGTTGCGAGCTGTAGGGCAAGTTTGGAGGAAAGTATATGGTCTGAGATAAAATACGCGCCTGGTTAGCACTGGTCTAGCGAATGAATATAGAGGCAAATGAATAGTCATGGTATGAATACCGTTTGAGGTTGTTGAAATACACCAGCTTTCAATGGTGGCGACGAGTGAATTGAAACGCTGTAACGCTGGCACGAGAATCGGCGAGTGTGGCTTGGTTCTTTATATGAGAGTAACTCAAATCCTGGATTAGTCATAAGGTCCCCCAGAATCATGCATACATGAATGAATGAATGCAGTGTAGCAGCTTGTCACACCGTGAGCTCTCTCTCCTCGAACTTGAGCCCTCTAATACGAGCGTGGCCGAACGGTTCCGTCCTTTCTCAACCGCAGCTCTGAAAAAGACGAGCAGCTCTGTATTCATTACGGCTCATCTGTTCATGCTTGATATTGATTCAGTTCGGCACTCCAGGAAATCTTGGCTCTCCGAGGCGGATTTAGAACCCTGGCTACTGATGTGAGCCAGGGCTGACCACCACATTCACTATTATGGTTATCTAACAACAAGCCATATCCCTGTTTCATCCACTTATTTTCCTGGAGCAAGTGGAAATCGTAGGAAAAGCGGGGGTTTTGCGAATTGTGCCACGAATGATCTAATAGTGTGAGATAATACAACATTGTGTGCCTCGAAGCTCACCATTCTGTGGCGGGGCGTTTTTTACACCAAGAAGGACTTTCGTGCATTACGAAGTACGAAGATGCAGCCAGATCCTGCCAGAGTAATGCGGCCTAAAAAAAGACGCGCATGTCGCCCGAGCCGAGAGCCTTGGGGGCGGTTTCGCTTGGATGTAACCCTCATGCACCGGCTCGGCACCGTTGAATTATCGGGACCGACTCGATGTCTCTTAGGGAGGCTGACATGAATCTCAAATTTGGAGGTCTTGTGTGAGGTCTCGGCAGCGTGATGGGGCGGAAGGGGGGGAGATGTCGTGAAGCTGAACGAGGTAGAAAAGGCTGTGTGATTCCGGCCTGTTGAGTTATGTAGAATCAATCAACTGCTCGCCATCCTCTTTCCCTTTGTTTTCTTTTCTTTTTATCGCAATCTTTATATATTTCCTCAATGGATAGGACCGACATTACCAGCCGATAATGTATCTTCCTACGCTTATATATACCATTTTCTGCTTGGCCCTGGCGGTCGAAGCAGGAAAGGGAGGTAAGTACAAAGCCATCGTTAAACACTGCACCTTCTAACACTAACATGAGAAAAAGCCGATGTTCTTGGGCAGTCAAAAAAGAATGCCAAGGGGGTTAGTGGTGCAACACACCAGGAAGGGAAGCAACCATCAATCGCAACTGTAAGATGCCTCTTCAGGAAATCTGTAGACGAGATACCTCGGAAATCGAAGCTCACAGGTGGCAGTTGAGCAAGGCCAGTGTTGAGACCGAGAAAACAGGCGCTCCGCAGATCAATGTTCGACAGCCAGGCCTTCTTGGTAAAATTGGCAAGGTTGCTTCTGCTGTGAAGAAGGTCGCCGCCCCAGCAAAGAAGGCTGCTTCTGCCGCGAAGAAAGTCGCTGGCTCAGCAAAGAAGGCTTCCCCTATCAAGAAGATTGCTTCTGCCGCGAAGAAGGCTGCTGCCCCAGCAAAGAAGGCCAAAGCAGCTGTGAAGAAGACTGCGAAAAAGATCACACCGAAGAAGTCTACTCCGAAGAAGTCCACACCAAAGAAGTCTACTCCCAAGAAGTCCACGCCAAAGAAATCTTCACCAAAGAAGTCTACACCTAAGAAATCTACTCCTAAGAAGTCTGCTCCTAAGAAGTCTACTCCGAAGAAGTCTACATCAAAGAAGTCTTCTCTAAAGGCTAAGGGTGGTGCTGCGAACAAGGGAAAAGCTCCCTCAAAGAGCAAGGCCACAGCTAAAGGGAAGGCCAGTTCCAAGGGCAAGGCTGCTGCCAAGGGAAAGGCCACTCCCAAGGCCAGCAAGAAGAACACCAAGGCTAGCAAGAAGACTCCTGCTAAGGCCGGGAAGAAGTCACCCACTAGAGCTGGCAAGAAGTCTACTGCAAAGGCTGGAAAGAAGACACCTTCCAAGGGTGGAAAAAAATCCCCCTCCAAGGCTGGCAAGTCTAGCAAAAACACCAAAGCTGGAAAGAAGACTCCGGCCAAGGGTGGAAAGAAGACTCCCTCCAAGGCTAATAAGAAGTCTCCCGCTAAGGCTGGCAAGAAATCCCCTGCCAAGGCTGGCAAGAAGCCTCCTGCTAAGGGTGGAAAAAAGTCTCCCGCTAAAGCTGGGAAGAAATCCCCTGCTAAGGCTGGGAAGAAGTCTCCTTCTAAGCCTGGAAAGAAGACTCCTACCAAGGCGAGCAAGTCTAGTAAGAACACCAAGGCTGGAAAGAAGAATCCTGCAAAGTCTGGGAAGAAGACTCCCGCCAAGGGTGGGAAGAAAGCCCCTGCTAAGGCTGGGAAGAAAACCCCTGCTAAGGCTGGGAAGAACGCTAAAGCCGGAAAGAAGACTCCCGCTCGTGCTGGCAAGAAGAATACCAAGACCAGCAAGAAGACTCCCGCTAAGAGTGGAAAGAAGAACGGCAAAGCTGGAAAGAAGACCCCCGCCAAGGCTGGCAAGTCTAGCAAGAGCACCAAGGCTGGGAAGAAGTCTCCCACTAAGGCTGGCAAGAAAACTCCTGCAAAGGCTGGGAAGAAGAACACTAAGGCCGGAGCCAGAGCCGGTAAGAAGTCCCCTGCTAAGGCTGGAAAGAAATCTCCCGGTAAGACTGGGAACAAGAACACCAAAGCTGGAGCCAGAGGCAAGAAGAGCCCTTCTAAGGCTGGGAAAAAGACTCCTACCAAGACTGGCAGCAAGAAGACTCAATCTGGAAAGAAGTCCCCAGCCAAGGCTGGAAAGAAGAACACCAAAGCTGGAGCCAGAGGCAAGAAGAGCCCTTCTAAGGCTGGGAAAAAGACTCCTACCAAAGCTGGCAAGAAGGCTTCTACCAAAGCCGGTAAGAAGAACACCAAGGCTGGAGCCAGGGGCAAAAACACTCCCACAAAGGGTGGGAAGAAGAACCCTGGTAAGGCTGGAGCCAGGGGCAAAAAGACGCCTAGCAAGGCTGGCACCAAGGGAACAAAGGGAAAAACTGCTGCCAAAGGAAAGAGTAGCCAGGATACGTGCGCATTGAAGCGATCTTTGGGCTTGAGGTGTCCGACAAGCGCTGGTAGCCCATCGACGTCTGGTAACCAACCTGCGCAGAAGAAGAAAGGCAAGGGGAAGAAAAAGAACGATCTCGACAAGGTTCCACTGGACCCGAATCGCGCAAATAAGCACCAGGACGATGCCGGCATGTATATGGGTGTTTCGCCAGATCCACAGAAGTTTATGCCAGTCCAGAACGCCCATACCAAGCAGTGGACGTATGACCGGAAGACGGGTGACGGAGTCAATGTGGACAACAGGATCAAGGACTATCCCGGACACAATTCGAATGCGAGATTTGCAATAAGCAAAGGCCAAGAAGAAAAGAATGGTCCCGCAGGCATTGGTCCAGGCCGCCATGACGAAAACACCATGATGAAGAAGACCAAAGACCAAGAGAGGAAGCAGAGGAAAGCTGCTGAAAAGGCCGCAAGAAATGGAAAACAAGTTAACGCAACTGGGAGACCCAAAGGTGAGATCTCTGCCTATATAAATCTGGCGTATCTGCATGCTAACATCTCTCGCTTTTTTTTGCAGATGCTGTTGAGTGGTGGAGAATTTCCACTAAATCACAGAAGCAACTCGACTACGAACACAAGAAGAACGGAGGCACAGGACCTTCGCCCCTGACAGCCTGGGACGGCGACAAGCTCCGAGAAAACATGTAAGACCCTATTTTCACGTGTGGAAGACTGTTTCCCAGGACATCGGGCTGATTTGAATATTAGGAACGCACAACACGGAGAATTCAAAAATCACAAGGCTGGAGACATGAACGACAAATATGCAGGGCATGTGACAGAGATGAATAAGTACACCAACTCTAAACAGCGCTTCAGCAAACCCCAAACTGTTCAACGCCGTGCCATCTCCATAGAGCCTTACATGTTGGTTATTTAGGAGAAGGTTATATTGGGATGTTTTTTTCTTTCTCTTTTCTTTCTAGGGTTTTAAGGTGTTCACATAACTGTTTTTTTCTTCATAAAATATTTTGTTCCCTTCTTCTTGTCATACATCACAGAACTAGCAGCATCAGCATCCAGTCCAGGTGCTCATCTGCTCGCGTTAGAACTTGAATTATTCAACTTATCCTCATTTCGAAATCTTCAATACTTTTGGTCTCCATAGCAGGATTATATTTTCGCTTCGAATTGTCGTCAATTGGGAGAGATTAATGATAGCTGCCACAAAGATAAGGATAGCTTAGAGTTGAGTGTTTTCTCGTTATAATAGTGAATTTTATGAAAAAATTCTTTCCAAGTCTATATAAGTAACTTAATTTGAGTTAAAATTTTATGGATATTCCTAAGAGAAAGCTATACTAGGTATAATGCTTCTTGGACTCAGCCGTTAAACATATCAAGAATAATATAGTAACTATCGATTCATTCTTGGTCTAATGACCGGAAAAGCCATCCTTTACCAAATAAAAATATCATCAAATTGGAAAAGTTTCCGACGCAGAGTCCATGGCATGATTTAGTTTCATGGCATGTAAAGTGAGTGGTTTTGCCACAATAACATGATTAGAGCTAAAAAACGTAGACCAATTTAATAAAAAGTCGGTTTATAAAGGCGTATCTCATCGCGTATCTGCTCTTGGTGGCTGCAGCTCCAACGACCCTTCTGTGCTGCGAGCTGTTGCTGATCGCCTGGATACATTTCCAAGCTCTATCTCCACCGAGGTAGTCCGTGAAGTACTCGGCCGGAAAAGACTTGCTGATTCTGGCTCTCCTTCTGCGGATGAAATTTCTGACTCGCGTTCTTTCTGCTCGTTGTTGTCGCAATGATGATCGAATCTATTTCGCAGAGTCTGGGCCGTTCCAGCTGCAGAGGAGATCAGTCGATGTCACAACAGATAATTGGCAAGAATATACTTACTGATATTAATCGAAATGAACTTAAAAATGACCGGAAACCATACTGCCACAGCAATAAGCTGGCCAAATGACCATTTGGTGATATTGACGTCGCTGGGCTCCTCTGGGTCAATGTTCCCATCTGGTCTTCTCAAAAACCCCAGAAAACGGGAAAACTCCCAAATGCCCACGAGGCACATAGAAAAAGTAAAAAGTTCCAGGACGGCCCAGTAGACTTGCCAGAGCTTAATGAGTCGGTTCGATGTCAGGAAATGCAGGATAGTTGGAGGAGGAGATCGTGCATTCCGCTTGGAAACTTCTTGACGCAATATGTGAACAATCCAGTCAAGAACGAGCAATACTGAGACTACATATAGAGGCTGGGGGTACCGAGAATTAAAGTCGAAAAATAACGTCGGACTGCTGATGGGATTTACAGAGTCAGCAGCAGGAACCGGATTGTCCGCAGCTCTGTTGAGCGTCTGGCAAAACGTCATTGGACCTGGATTGCCACCACAGCTTGCCAAACCAACAGTGTCTTGGAAATGGGCTATGAGCGTGTCCAGCCTTACCCGCTGAGGCTGTGCGAGTACGATGACAAAGACCAGGTTGATGATAATGAACAGTAGAGTATACCACCAGCGCTTACCCGCACGATGCAAGATGAGCTGGATGAGAAGAAGCGGATACGACCCCGCGGCTATCATTCCTCTAAGAACGATACTGTTCGAGAGCCAAGATAAAAGTGATTGGATATTTCCAAGTCCTGTTCCATTATCTCCTGTGAACGTGATGACACTCGCAGCAGCAACTGTTACGAGGAAAAGCGCTTGGGTCTCTTGTAGATCGATTAGCGATGATGAGATGGACTCAGCTAATTGGGATTCCGAAGCTGCTTCTTGACGCCTAGATGCTTCTTTTGACGCTAATGGTACGCCGTAGAATGGTGCTAACACAATTGCAATCGTTCTTTTTAGCCATAATGTCGTAAATTTGAAGGAGAGAGTGAAGAGGACGACCAGAATGAATTGGATGAAATATGATATGATGATCTAAATTCATTTATTAGACCCAGATGAGTAGAGCAAAGGATATATGGAAAAGACCATTATACGTACGCCAGGACCTGCGATATCATAATCAATGCCAGGGTCTGCGCTTCGACAGTATTGGTGGCTCATGAGGTTGGCGAGTTCCCTAATTGTGTCTTTTGTCACGAATCCACATTGAAACTTGGGAAGCTTTAGGGGGCATCCTCCAAATCGCGAGTCTGAACAAGAACTCAAGGCGCATTCTCGGTAGTGTCGAAACACGCCCACATCCACAAACTTGTCCAAGCTTCCAGAATGAAAATCATTGAGGGCTATGTCTTCGCCCTGTTGGTCCAATGTGTCGGGGCCACCATTAGTCGTCATCATTGCCACTGTTGAGATGGTGACACAGTTCCATAGAGTATCGGGAGAGCCGAAGAGGGATGTTAGATTGCCACATGCTGCAGAGCAATTTCTTCCCATATGTTCTGTCTGGCACCCACTGGAGATGAGTCTAGCTGCAACTCTTGGGTTATCAAGGATAGATGTCATGCGGTATAGGTATGCAGTTTCCCAGAATACCCAAGCGCTGGGGAGTGTATACTGCTGATACGTTTGTGGCTTAAACATGCCACTATCGATGACCTGAAAGCTTCTCGTCACCATTGCTGCTGCTTGTTTGCCGTTGAAGAAGGCTTCTAGAATAACCAGGTTTGCAGATGACGTTGGCTGAAGGATACGACTATGAAGGCATATAAAAGGCGGGGTGAAGATTTTTTGAATATTTAAATCTTGGATGTGAGACTGTTCTGCATGGTTATGTCATGCTGAAAATCCATGTGTAAGTGGCGGACAGTTGATGGTGTCCATGTCAGATGATTGGCATAAATAGACCAATCACTCATAGCAGTCCTAGGCAGCCATAGGAGTGTTACATGACATATCAAAAGATCATTTTTCTGCCTTCCCAAACCAACGATAAGCCAATACGTACTTCTACTAGCACCGATCATCGGTTAAAGATCAATCAGTCAAGGACAGGATTCTGGGATCTGCGTCATCTCTTCCGCTCAAGTATTTTTTTTTTCTACGACCCTGGTACCCATGAACATAGCAACGTCTGCCATCACTGTTGTATTGACACCATACTATCATCAGCTTATTCAATGAACCTTATTCAACAGTGTCGGAGACTGGGGATACTATCTTAATTGCTTAAAAAAGGCTGAATAATGATATACAGTATCATTCTATAATTTCAATAAGCTCATCATATATCCTTGTTTGCTGGAATGGAGATAATAACTTTGAGATAATATTATACTACTTCATTGAGCAGTTTGATCCAGGGGGTATCAAGAACATTTAAGAGATCCGAGCTTGCGTTTAACGAGATGACTCCTAACATTCAAGTATGGACATCACTAAATTGTAATTGAATACTCGGGAAATTAAACCACATTGTTTATCAGCGAAAGAAATAAACTTAATATAATACAGTCCCTTCCTAAGGCATTGACTCTGCCTTTTCAGCCCCATCCACGCCGTGAACCCAGCTTACTCGGTCTTTGGTAAACAGCTCCAATTGTGGCCTCAGCTTTGTCTCATGGAGGCTGAAATCATCAACAGTGCCAATCCGGAGAATGCTCTGTTCAGGCCAAGCCTCGCCGACACGATACATGAGCGTGCCACAGGTGGAACAAAAGTGATTCGCCATGGATCTCTTCTTAAGGATCGTCTCAGACTGGCTGAATACTTTGAGATTCTCTTGACCGCGGATATGTCTCAAATGCGAATCCCTGACGATAAAGTTGGAGGCGAACATGGATGCAGTAATCTTGCGGCAGTCGCTGCAATTACAGACAAAGGTTTGGACTAATCCTGGACCTTGAGTGGGCTACAAGACGAGTCAATGTTTTGGCCTTGACTAGGACATGGGAAATGCTCATCATCCATCACTTACAAATGCTAATTGAACAGCGCCACAAAAGCAAGTAGCTGTTGCTTCCTCATCTGTCGACCATCCGTCACGAGCCAGACTGGCGAGTGGAATATAGGGCTTCGAGGTATCTGCGGAGGCGGCCATGTTGATAGATCGTTCTAGGTAAGTCTGCGATGGATGAATAATGAGATAGCAGTCAGTATGATGATCTGGAGGAGTTTCGGATATTGAATAGAACGCGACATGACGTTTATATACCTGGATCTTAAACTCAATCACCACGCCGGACCGCTTAGTGAACTTCGGAGATGCGGAGCCGAGGTTGCTTCAACCAGTCAATCAGATCATCGCATTCATCTCCGTCACCATCTCCGTCATTCCGCTGAATCCATCAAGCTAGCCGTCGGAATCCACGGAGTAGAAGAAACGTACACGAATTATTGTATCCAACAATGAGACCAGCCATAGAAGAATGTATTTATAAGCTCAATGTTCAAGACATGATTATATAATTAAGGATTAGTCAAATGGGAGTTCCGTGGATGAATTGATAGTGTGAGTCGAGTTGCAAATCAATTAGTCTGTATATATAGCCTCAAGAAGACTACACGCTGCGATCATTACGTTTAGTAAAAGGTGAGAGTGTATGAATGCCAAGTCTTAAATTAGCTATTCGAGTACTAATTTGGTTCTGAACAAATTGACAAATAAACGCCTTGGATTTCGTTACAATGATAGTGGCCCCTGATATGTGTGCCGCTCTGGTTGGCCAAGGTGCGTCACTGTGCCATTCAGTCTTCCAGTGTTAATTTGGCTTGTGCAAATCGGCAGTCAGCCTAGCTGTCTGCCTTAAGGCTGCCTCGAGGCACTCATAGCTATAAGTTGAAATGGTCAATAAGCGGTGTTTGATTTTAGTCACTACAACGGTTCACTTGTCATCATTTGAAACAGACACGATTATGACAATGAAGATTAAATACCGTCCCCTCGATCGCGATAAACAAGAGATCAGGCTCTTGGAGCTCTTACCTGGAAGCCGCGACAGAAAGCGGAAACTCTTTCCTACTTGTCGCATCTTCCATGCTTGTCTTCCCGCTAGACCACACTTCACAGCATTATCATATGTTTGGGGAGATGTCAAGAACAAGCAAGTCATACTTGTTGACAATTCGCCAGTGCTCGTAACAAAGAATCTTTATGAAGCAATGATGGCGCTTCGTCCGATCAATGAGCCCCTGATAATATGGATTGACGCACTCTGCATTAATCAAGCCGACGATGATGAGAAAAGCTGGCAAGTTGGTTTGATGCAAGAAATCTATCGCCAATCACATCAGGTACTTGCTTGGCTCGGGTGTGCAGAGAATCAAAGCGATTCCGTCATTGAACATTTGGATTACCTTGGAGGAAAGGCCGAACTCTTGACTTCCGAGATTCCAAGTCCATGGGAATATGCCCGGCAGAACCTACCTCTTGTGCTTGACTGTTTACTTCGTGGAGACATTTCGACTGCCGAAATGATGAAGCAATTGGGAGGTGCAAGAACTCTGACTCGTGAAGACTACATGCCATTCTTTGGCTTCATCGATGCGTACTATGAGCAGAACGGGCTGGAAAGGATCAGAGCATTGAAAGACTTCATTACTCGGCCTTGGTGGGGACGTATTTGGGTTCTTCAAGAAATAGCTCTGCCAAAGAATGCTCGGTTTGTTTGCGGAACCAAGACGCTTTCCCGAGATCGTTGCGCCGCAGCCATAAGGACTTATAGGATGTGGTGGGGGAATATCGCGGAGAAAGCTACGGCCGGCAACCTGCTCTCGCTCCGGCTCTACCAGCAACAAGCCATGATACAGCTGCCATTACACAGGCCTACTGTTATGCTGTCTGTACGAAACTTGTACAAGGATGACCAATTTACGTTGGCTGCCCTCCTTCGTGCAACTTGCGTCGGGAGCCACAGCCTCCGACTTCATGGACCGCATCACATGGAAGCTACAGACCCAAGAGATAAAATATATGCTCTCTTGGGTTTAGCATCCGATAGTGAGGAGTTGAAGAACAAAGGCATCATTCCGAACTACTCAAAGTCATACACCTATGAGGACTTGTACTCTTCAGTCATGGTAGCCTTGATCCAAGCGGGATATATTTCTCTTCTTTCTCTTTGCCAGAACGCAGAATCTCGTACATCCCTACCTTCATGGGTTCCAGACTGGTCAAGGTCAGTAACTCATATGTTGCAAGATGTAAAAGACGATCATGTCACCATTTATCCTACGTTTTCTGCTTCTGGCAAGAGCCTGGACTACCCGGACGTTTGCGTCACAAGAAACGATGGAACAATTAAAGGGATTTCATTAAAGGGTCATGTCTATGATGAGATTTCTCATGCCGGATCGTTCCCTGAAAGAGTTTCGAGTCATGAAGTACCACTCTCTGAAACATTCACATGGCCTAGTCGATGGCTTGCCGAGTTTCTTCTTCTTACATATCACAATCGACAGGCCTACACGGATTTTGAGGACCGACTGCGAGCAGCAGCTAGATCCTCAATAGGCGGAGTAGGTTGGGGTGAAGAGGGGCGCCAAGCAAGAATTGGGGATAACCGTTTCGATGATGCGGTAATTCTCATACGCAATGGTCTCAAATATATACGCAAATCCCGCATAAAATTGGAGGTCGAGCGATTCCTAGCCGAGAAGGCTAATAGAAAAGACATCAAGGCCAGCCCTTATATGGAAATTAGACTGACTAACGAGATTATGGGCCAGAGCTTAGGGAGACTTCCATTTATCACCAGGAAAGGTCACTTGGTCTTGAGCTATGACAGTGTGAGGAAGGGAGATATGATTGCGTTGATCAAGGGAACTCAAGTCCCCTTTGTCCTGCGTCGACAGGATGAGAAATCGTATCTACTCATTGGCGAGGCGTATGTCGATGGTATCATGGATGGTGAAGCAGTAGAAAACTCGAGTTTCGGTGATATACATTTAGTTTAGTAGTGTTGATTCACATCCATATTTCTATTGAAAAAGTCGAAATCGGTGTCCAGCATAAACTCGCTCAGGTCGATTTCCATTGGCATCTGCCTTGGGGCCATGAAACCGTTTGAAACTCTCACTGTAGGTGCTCCATGACCAATGCTTCCGTTAGCCTCCCCAGGATGGGTGGTTTCATGGCTATAATCATGTGACGGTAAATCTGATGAGGCTGAGCCCAAGGGTGCCAAGCTAAGTTGCGAGAGATAGCTGACGCAGCGTTCTACAACACGATTTCCACGATCTAGATTCTGTAACGCTTCGATGGCCATGTTGAAGTACGGCAGGGACTTTTCGACAAACTTCCAACGAGAAAATCGCTCCGTGTCGGTTTTGCAATCATCATGCGCGACATGTGTTGCGGCGAATATCACTAAGCCGGCATTGAATGCTTCGTACATTGTTAGCCATTTTGTCGTCAAGAGGATTATGAATTATAGAGCAATGTCATCAAGGCAACTAGAACTTGGTTTCCTTGCTGATAAAGTAGGACCTGGATTGAACTTACTATAGAATAGAGAGTAGTTCCAAGCGCCAAGCAGGTCACGCCGCCAACCACTGGACATCACTACCGTACGAACCATGGATATAACAATCATGGCCGACGTGATGCATGTCTCGATACTGCTGATGCCGAGCTGCTGCACCATACTGCGATCTGCGCTGGACTTGGAGTTATTGCTTGCTGATACACGCCCGCAGTCGTCCAGAAACTTCTCCAAGAGAGGCCGATGAAGTAGAATCTGAAGGTTATGATAACGCACGGACAGGACTATCACGAACCTCTCCATGAGCTTGTTATCCTCGTCCATGTTCTCAAGGTCATGGGGGCCGAGAGGTGTGTTGTACACTGACATCTGCAGTGGCCCAAGTGATGACTGCCATTCGTCAAGTTGTTCTTCTCCCTTGAGTGTGAGGGTGACTAGATCGGAGTCGGTGCGGAACTCTTCCAATCCAAGGTTCTGGCCATAGCAGGAGTCGATGATTTTGTACATTATATTGTACAGTGTTCTGATAGTATGCTTAGCATTTGACGCTGATAGATCATGTCTTGGGACGTTGCTAGTGAATGTTTCCTTACATTGTGGCAGTAAAGAACATGGCGTCCATTTGAGGAGCAGGAGTAGGTTGTGGTGTTTGACCCATGACTTGTAGAGTAGGAGCCGGTAGCTCAAGCCTCAAGTAGCCCTCGGGTATCATGGAAGGGCGTCCAAATGTCATACTAAGAGTGCTTCAATGACAGAAAGCGGAAATTGTCAGCCGAGAGGTTGCAAACCAAAAGTTTTTCGTCTACCATAGACTTTGTTGAGTTGGAGTATCAACCATACCGATCTAAAAGAATACATCCAAACCAGACACGCTTTCGTATTTCGCTTTCAAGGGGAGGAAATCGGTTGTTGGTTTTGGGAGAGTGGAGGCCCAACTGAAAAGCGGTAGTTATTGCCAATCCATGGACAGTCCATGCTTGAACAGACTTTTGCGTTCCTTGTAGGTATTGTCCCAAGATGAGGAGGTATTGTACTATACACAATTAGATCCTTGTCTGAGGCCCTGAGATAGAGTAAGAGGGGTTGTAAACCTAGTTCCACGCTGATATTGCGCCGTGACTCTTTATCGCAAAGTCCGTTGGCTCTTTGGTAATACACATCGGACTCTTCGATTCTTTCTTCTGCAGATACATTTGACTCTACGAAAAGGGTGGCGGCCATAGCCATGATGATGTTGAGCAGCCCAAGCCACGTCCGGCGGGCCATGGTGAAGTTGTTCCTCTTCATCTCAAAATAAGTGGCACAAAACCACTCTTCGTGGATGAATGGTAGTAGCTGACCAGTCTTCTGGAAGTATTCGCGTATCAGGCTCCACGTGCGGGCCTCGGAGGGCAAAGCATAGATGTTGACCCCTGCGCGGGCACGGTACTGTCGCCTCTCGGCTGCTTCATCGTCGGCGGCTTGATGTGGACGTGACACGCTCATCCCTCCCGAAACTTCTCGGGCTTGATTTGAAGGTGAAGGGAAAGCCTCGCGCCAGTTGCCAATGCGAGCCATGCCCAGCGAGATATGGCGGAGAAAAGCAATGTTAGATGAGGGCCCTTGTGCAAAACGGTGTCAGCATAGGCTTTCCTTGATATCAGGGACCAGAAGCTGGAAAGCTAGAAATTGACAGGGACTCAAGACGAACCAAAATATCCCCAATCTTCTTCATCGGTGAACTTGATTGCCCCCATACCATCTATAGAATCCTCGGCGTTGTCGATCTCTCCAATCCCGCCATTGTTGGGGTAGATGAGATGGTCTGAAGCCGCTTGGTTCATGGTTTCTTCGTCCTCCTCCTCTTCATCCTGACCGCGGACCTGGCCATCTCTTACTCGATCATCCGCTGTGGACGACGAAGCATCGCCCGAGACCGATTTCTGACCGCGCTGAACTTCCTGCAAGGTGGACTCTATGTCCTTTAGTCGGTTTTCCAAACGTTCGAGATAGCTGTTCTATTAATTAGAGTCTTTGGAACAGGCTTTCCTCTTTCAACAAGTGACATACCTTCTGCCGACAGTAAGACTAGTAGCAACGCCAGCCTGTTCATACAAGCACTCGCAACCTAGTTCGCTACACAACGAACACTTTGGTCGGCTGCCATCACACTAAAAGACGTCAAAGGCACTCGTTAGCATGTGAAACGTGTACAAGCCTCTGATTCCATCTCTGACAGAGCACATACCCGCGTTTTCCGATGCCGGCAGTTGCTGCAAGCCAGTGCAACTCTGCGCCTCTTGTTTGGGCCACCACCTTCACCCGCACTGGTTCTTGTGGATGATCCCCAGCTTTCTTGTGGGTCAGTTCGGCTCGTAGCTGACATGGTCCACGGAAGCGAGCGGGATTTCTGTCTTGCCCTGGTCAGTTAAGAAGGCGCAAAGTAGGGAAGAGAAGGTTGCTTCGTGCCGGGAGAACTGGCGTGATTGAGGCCGGCTTCTAACCGACAGAATCAACGATTCTCTCCCGGTGGAGGACGGGAGGGAGTCTATTACTACCTCCCCCGAGCTCCCCGACAAGAAGACACACGTGAATCAAAGTATAAACCCTTTTGCGGGGGAAGCTAATGGAAATAAGACCGGAAACTTGATGAGGCTGGGGAAATGCGGAGTTGGTGGATTGAGACCCCATACGCTATTCCTTGATAGATCTCGCTTGTATAATGAAAACCTTGGCTTCGGGGAGTTAGGGATTGTTCGAGTTGGGCGTGGATTAATGACTGACCTGCACGTGTCTCCGTAAACTGAGGGGATGGGTCAATATACCGCATTACGAGGAGTGATATCTACGGTTGCTAAGAGGATATCGAAATAACAAGGCATTCAGATGCGCGTTTGAGTACAGATAAGCCCTCAAACTACATTCCTCGTAAAAATTCTTGCCCTGATATACATCCTTGTACTATGGGGAAACATCATCTCCACTCGTGTATATTAATTTGAAAACAGGTCTTGAAGACGGAGTATGTTAAAGTACAGACTTTCTCCCTTTGCTCCACTTAGAGATAAATTCAAGGAGCTCGCGCTGAATCTTTTCTCCATGCGTAGACCCTAGAAAATGGACTCCTCCCTTACATGTGACAAGCTTAGCTTCAGCAGAGTTGGTAAAAAGCTTGATATCCTCCTCAGCCTGGCGCACACTAAATACCACATCGTCGGTTCCCTGCGAGGTTTGTTAAGATCTCAGATTTGACGAACGGTATTTGAATCGTGAACTAGTAGAAGAAAAACAAATATCCGACGTACCTGGAACCAGAGAACAGGGCACCTGATGTAGGGAAGACGCCCTCTCAGCCCATCCCTCTCTGCAAGGCTCACAGCGGCCATGCAGATCCGCTTCTTTCCTTCATCTCCACTGTAGTTCTTTTTAAGGCTGGTGGCCCAGAACTCCCGGATCTCTGGAGTGACGGCCGCACCGTAACCAATCTTCATCAGAAAATCACAGTAACCGTCTTCAGGCTCAAAGTCATGAGCTGGCGCCGGGTCCCCTGCGATACCGACCAAGCCAGAGCAGGCATCTGGCCCGTCCCAGCATCCGAGGTCTCGGCTCTGAGGCGATTCAGAGTCCATGCTGCTTCCAATAGGGATGATCCCTTTGACCTAGGGGAGTGTTAGCTCACTCCTTTGACAGCGTAGAAGGATGTCTCAGACCCTGTCAGGTGCTAGCAAAGCCATTCTCGTGGCAATCCACCCGCCCTGCGAGGTCCCTGAGGTGAAGACTTTGTCAATTCCGAGAGCATCGAGCAGTTGTAGGCTCATGATTGCAGAGTCCCAGTAGGTGAAGGATTCTGTCTTCTTGGGCTGGGTCATTCCATGCCCGAGGGGCTCAATGGCGACTAAGTTCAGCGCATCTGTGAGAGCTTTATCCTCGAATTGGGGCAGGTAATAATCCGCGGTAGTGGTGAATGGGTTGAATAGGATCAGGGTCGGCTTCGTTGGATCAAGGACAGGCGCAGAAAGTCGATGGCATACATGGATGCCGCCCAAATGAGGGACTAAAAGTGTCTTGGCAGGCTCAATCATGATTCTGATCTGTTTGGGTCTTTGTGAAAACGTAGTTGGTGAAATTTCGGGTTTGCAATTGGGGGTTGATATTGGGAAAATGAGGGTAGAGACGTATCCTGATGTGGTTACATATGGCAAAATCGACCTTGGCACATCAGGTCACGCTCATCTAGACAAAGCTGTATGGGCATTGCAAACGTCAAATGACCGAAGTGTGTTGTGCAGATCGTGCTTGGGTAGATCCCTAACTCCCCGAAGGCTATCCGGTTTGTTGTTTGCACGACTCGTCCCAGTTTTTCTACATCACGACTGCTGCAAGCGCCGTGGATATAAGGGCATGTCTGCATTTTCAATCATCATCAATTTTGTTTTTGAGCATCAGAATATTTCAGCAAACGACGTCTTCACGGTGCAAGAGAAGCCTACAGAGATATCGTTCATATCGTCAGAAACAAAATGGTCAGCAATCTATCCAATTAACGATCATGACATTGAACTAAGCTTACCAATAAATGAACAGTCTTCTCAAAAGAAGGATCTGCATGTTGGCATCGTCGGCGCAGGCATTGGCGGCCTGGCCACAGCCATTTCCATGCGAAGGGCAGGAGCTCGTGTGACTGTCTTGGAGTCTGCAGAGCAGCTTGGTGAGGTTTGTATCTCCCTCAGATTGAAGTTGAGTAGGCTCGACAGCTAACTGTTACGAAGATTGGCGCTGGTATCCAGATGACACCCAATGTCTCGGTGTTGCTGCAACGCTGGGGAGTGGACAAGATCATCGGCGATAACTTGGTGCAGTTTGAAGAGCTCAACATGCGCCGTAAGGACGGAACGCGGGTAGGATACACCAAAATCGCTACTCTGGAAGAGTCTCTCGGAAGACCCTGGTGGGTTGTTCACCGCGCCCATCTTCACGAGGGACTGGTGGCAGTCGCGGAGAAACTGGGCGCCAAGATCCATATCAACTCTGCCGTCGCCCAAATCGACTTTGAGAGCCTGGAGGGAGTAACGGCCGTAACTCACCGAGGCCAGAGCTACCACTTTGACTTCCTAGTTGGTGCAGACGGCATCAACAGCATCACTAGGAAGTCTCTCTTCCCCCAGGTCGCCCCTGAGCCGCCAACCACCAACTGTGCCTACCGCGCTCTTGTCCCCTATGACCAGATCCGCAAGGATCCGGTGGCCAAGGAGCTCATAGAGAAGCTCACCATGGAGGTGTGGATGGCCGAGAATGCCTACATCATCACCTATCCCATCAGTGCCGGAAAAGTCTTCAACCTGGTCCTCTCTCATCACCGCCCCGAGAAGGTCCGCAACACTGAACTCAACGTTCCCATTGAGGAGATGCGCAACGAGTACAAGGATTTTGATCCACGCATCAAGAGGATCGTCGACATGATCGATAGCACAGTAAGTCCTCCAGCCCAAACCTACATTTAGATGCCTTAGTATACTGATACTTGATTCCTAGTCCCGATGGCCCTTGATGGTCACCGGTCCAATGAAATCATGGTCATCTCGGCGCAAGAATGCAGTACTCATCGGCGATGCGGCCCATTCCATGGTGAATCACATGGCCCAGGGCGCTGCTACATCCATGGAGGACGGTGCTTTCCTAGGCAGGTGTATCGCCAAGGTTGTGGAAGGCCGTGTTAGACTAGACGAGGCTGTTCGCATCTACGAGCAAGAGCGCATGCCAAAGGCCTACGAGAAGCAGCAGGTTTCCTTCATCAACGGCGCCATCTGGCATTTGCCCGACGGCCCCGAGCAGCAGGCCCGCGACAAGGCGATGTCGGCAGAGCTGCAGGGCAAGTACTATGTTCGCAGCAGCAACCTCTACGGTGACCCCCAAACTGTCCTCGCTGTGTATGGATATGATGCTGAGGAGCATGCCGAGACGGCCTTGTCGACGTACCTGAATGGGGAGCGAGAGCCGTTCCATGTAGACACCGGGGTTACTGGCAGCCTCCAGAAGAAGTACATGGACTGGTTCCGGCCTACTGAGCAAGCCAAGCTCTAGATGACTTCTTAGAGAATACCTGAGAGACAACGTATATACGCAACATGATCATTAGAAACGTACTGCAAGAGTTTCATTAATCGAGTGATTGCCGCAGAATATCTTCGAATACTGTCATTGATATTTAAATTAATCGATTTTAACTTAAAGAGCTATTCAATTGGTAATTATGCGAAAATCATCATGCTAAAGAATACGGGCAACTGATATTATGCGCAAATCATCTTCATGTTCAGAGTTCGCAGCTATCATATAGAACACAACACCTACAGCAAATTATTATCAACGAGGATCACATGTAATATTTAAGCGAACCATAGTCTAAGATTATAGGAAATGATTGTCAGGGAGGAATGTCACCAGAAATGTCTTCCATCCCAAATCCGGTCTTTAGCGCAAAACCATAAGGATAACCGAGAACGCATAGAGTCGGATGTTATACTCTTTATCTTGACAAAATGGTCATCAGAGGCCAATAAATCATCTCTACAAGCTCAAGGCTGCAGCTTGGTCAAGGCCATTCCCGCTATCCAATCATCTGCGATGCCGTCGACCGTCGGGAAAAAGCCGATGAACCCGGTTATCGGAGATGGTCATGACTCAAGGCCCACGCAACATCAACGGACTAGTGAACGGTCTAGATGTTTGATAATTTGGTCAGGTATAATCGTGGGGCTCCGTGAGACTAATAAAGTCTTTGCGGGGCCCGGGTAGATAGGGAATTTTTCTGAAAAAGATTTCCCCGCTGAGAGGATACGCGAGGTCAGATCCATCCTGTCCGTAGCTTGTGATGCCAGTCAGAACCCGGGGTAATCTGGGGTCGATTGGTCACTCGCATGCTTTATACTGTACCAGACTATTGGGTCTGACAAGGGTGCTGGTGTTGAGACGCGTTGGTCTTTCTGAGACATAAAGAGGCTGAGATCCTGTCCTTGATCTTGTTCCAAAGACGACACCCATCTACCGGACTGAACAGATCTGTCTCCTCTTCTTCTCATTTTAAACTCGGCTTCAGTCTGCCTCTAATCCTTCAATCGACTTCACCCGGTCGAGAAACCGATTCAAGCATCCGCCATGACGCCGGAGAAATTGCAAGTTGAGCATGACGATAGAGCTTCAGCCACCGACGGAACCCACGAGATGACCATTGATCATCAGGCCGAGAGGAATCTCGTCCGCAAGCTGGACAGATGCATTGTGCCCACCGTCATGATCGCCTACCTCTTATGCTTCCTCGACAGAACCAACATTGGAAACGCCCGTCTCTTTGGTCTTGAGCAAGAGCTCGGGCTGGTTGGCTCCCAATACCAAGTGGCTGTGGCAATCCTATTTGTTCCCTATGTCCTCGTTGAAGTCCCTAGCAACCTAATCCTCAAGAAGTTTACTCCCTCAAAGTGGCTCGCTTTCATCACGGTCGGCTGGGGCATCGTGTCTACTTTAACCGGAGTCGTACACAGCTATGCAGGACTTCTTGTGGTTCGTGTGCTACTGGGCCTGTTGGAAGGTGGCCTTTTTCCCGGCCTTACAGTTTATTTGACTCTTTTCTACACCAAGAAAGAAATCGCTCTCAGAATTGGTTATCTGTTTGTCAGTTCTGCCTTGGCCGGGGCCTGCGGTGGCCTTCTGGCTTATGGGATAGGTTTCATGGATGGAGTCGCAGGCCAATCCGGATGGCGTTGGGTGTTCATCCTAGAAGGTAAGCGACCTTTTCAAACAACCGCCAGACCCTTTGATAGAGGCTGATTTATCAAAAATCTAGGCGTGCCTACGGTGGCTTTTGGGGTTGCCTTGTACTTTGTCCTTGCTGACGATCCCCATACTGCATGGTTTCTCAACGAGGATGAGAGACAGCTTCTTGTGGCTAGACTGCAGCGTCAGACCGGTTTCAGCGAGGAGTTTGATAAGAAGGATGCTATCCTGGCGGTCAAGGATTGGAAGACCTGGCTGTTTGCAGCCGGCCAGTTTGGTGTGAACTCCATGCTGTATAGCTACTCTGTCTTCCTTCCCTCTATTATCCGAGGTACAAACTTCTAATCCCCCTTTCAAAAGATGAGTGTCGAGTTTACTAACAAACCGAACAGGCCTTGGACAATGGACCGCCCCTCAAGCTCAGGCTCTGACTGTTCCTTGCTATGCTCTGGGCGCCATAAGCTACCTGATTGTAGCCTGGGTCTCCGACCGCCATCAGCTCCGCGGGCTGTACCAGGTTATATTCGCCTCGATATGCATTATTGGCTACGGTGTATCTATCGCAGATGTTGGTTCTGCAGCACACTATGCGGCGACTTTCATCATCTCTTTGGGTCTATTCGTCGCTGTTGGGCTGCCTTTGGCCTGGTTGCCTTCCAACAATCCCCGATATGGCAAACGTACGACTGCGTCGGCAATTCAAATCACGATTTGCAATTGCTCTGGAATATTAGCACCATTTGTAAGAGCAAAAAGACACCCTTCTTCCACCAAACGATTTCAACTTCAATAGAGGCTAACAGATCGCATTTAGTTGTACCCTACGAAGGACGCGCCTCGATACACGATGGGCTACGCCGTGTCTATCGGGCTGCTGGGTTACGGAATCTTCATCTATGGTTTCATGTCGCTCTACCTTAACCACGTGAATAAGAGACGCAAGGCCGGAAAAGAGGACCACAAAATCGCCGGCATGTCCGAAGAGGAGATCAATGCTCTCGGTGACCGAAGCCCGAGATTTATGTATACGATTTAAATTGTTACTCAACGGGGTCTTTGTACGTAAGGCCACGCAACGCGCTCCCTGGCAACTCATAATATATTCTAGCTGTTTCTTTATCTGTATCACCCGTGCCTGTTGAACAGTATATAGCCCCATCCGAATCCACGCCAAGATCGTGTGAGGTTATGCTTCATCAAGGCACTCTCTAATAGTTCCATTTCAAGTGTTCCCAGAGTGCCTTTGGCCTATTCCAAAGCCATCAATAGGCACAATCAGTATATCCCCAAATAAAATAGGCCCCTTCATGGATGGTGTTTCCTTCCATAAGATTTCCAAACCCAACTAAGACCCTCAGATCACACACATATAGTGCCTACTTTTTGCCAGGTTTATCTGATATAGGCTAGTTTTGCAACCTCCCGCGCTGCAATGTCGCGTCCCTTCTCCCTTGATCTAACCTTGTCTCCTAGCTGCTTCGCAGTCTCACGTATTCTAATGCCTGTGTCGTCGTTGCCGATAACTTTCAGCATCGAGGCACTGAGATCCTCCACTGTCCACTCTGGGCTGGTTTTCTTGCAGCCCCAAACCCCGACTCCAGCCATTTCGGTCAAGGAAGCAAAGTTGTAAGTGTCATACCACATCGGCAGAACAACCTGGGCCACACCAGCGCTAGATCCACGTCAGAAGAGTCGTATTCGAGTCGGAGGAGCTCAGACTTACGCTATAGCTTCATGGTAACAGTTTGAGCCTCCATGATGGACTGAGGCGATGATGTCTCCAGTCTGGAGAATGGAATAGAGGTCTGCGGTGAGCCAATTCGTCACCCGGACCCGGCCCTCGTCGATGTACGGCTGCAGTGGCTTCAGAAAGTCGTCCGAATATTCACCTCGCTTCTTTATTTTCCATATGATTTGAACTTGAGTCTTTGCTAGGACGTCCGCCAGGGCAGTGGCAATAACCCAAGCGCGCTCCTCTTCGACCTAGTAGCCACCGAAGTCAGACGTCAGCGTGCCAATGAGTAAGAGGACAATCTATGACAGCAAACAGAGATAGAGCAGAGGTTATGTGACTCACGCGAAAATAGCTACCAGGGCTGAAAAGAATTGTCGGTGCCTGCTTGAGCCATTGCGCCAACTCTGGGTCCTGCTCTGAAACAGGCGCGTTATCTATCAGGATTGGCCCTGCGCGAGTGACATTGGTCGGGATGAAGTCAACTGGGATGGCTGCGCCCTCTGTGTCCATGGTGATCCACGGAACATCAGGTCGGTGAAGGTCGAGGAAATTGATCGGTTCCTTGAGGCCCTTCTCTCTGAGTGCAGCCTTCTTGGCAGAGATTCCGGGTGTGTACAAAATGGAGCTGATCATGCGGATATTGAGGTAGATGTTCTCCGGTATCCTGCGTAGGGGCACAGGAAATTCGATTCCTGATGACTGGCTGTTCCTCCAAGTTAGCAAGGCAGCATTTGATCGATATCCAAGGCTGGGACTCACGCAGGGAATTTCCAGAGAGAACTACCGTGCGGCTGATCTCCCACAAAGTTATCTAGGACAGTATTCGGGGTGATTACAGCATGCTGTCGGTTCTTGTCTCTCGTTGCGTCAAACGCCGGTCGCATAAACACCTCGTTTACAATAACTGCGGGATCAACCTCATCAATCACACGTCCAATCTCTTCATATAGGGCCAGGTGTTCCTCAACAGTCCACGGCGAAATCAACCACTGGAAATCCCGAGTCATCTTCTGAATGCCAGCAAGCCCCGGCGGTCCCATCATGACATCCTGAGACTCCCAGCCGGGATACCTGGCCGCCGACTCCCTCTCGGCTGAGTCGGCAAAGGATATTCCCTTCAAGCTGTGGAAGGTGATATCCCGAGCTGCCGGAGTCTTGGCCCTGGCAGATGATGAGATGCGTTCAATCGTGCTGCGGAGCTTTGGGAAAGAGGCGAAATGGACATCGAGGTCTGGAAATTGCTCAAGCAGCGCGTAGGCGGTCGCCATGTGTGCGTTGGAAAACCCGTGATGTTCATTGGCGAGAAACAAGACGGTCTTGTTCTTGCCCTGGATGTAGGGGGGACGTTGAGGGAGATCTGTGCCTCCCGAGAGGAAGTAGGCCAGTGAGGCGATCAGCACCGCGCCGGCGATCAGAATTCTAGCAAACATGATGGCATCGGTGTCAAGATCAACTGAGAGGGCAGATGCCTCGAGAAAGGAGGGGATTTTTAGGTTGAGGCGGTGGGGAAAGAGTAAGCAAGCTTACATACCTAGTCAAAACGCATGGAATAGGCGGTATTATTTTCCATGCCCGAGGTGGAACGATCACTGTGCCGTACGAGCAAAGTCTGGGGCACAGTATCGATAATCCTTGCCATGTCCAAGCACCCTGGTCTTTGGAGTGAAGAATCCTAACTTCGTGAGACCGATTTCCGAGCTTGAAGCAGCATAAGTCATCAGACTGCAGCATCTTCTGTCAGAAACTTGTCTTCCAATTATATCCAAAGCCCCCCAAATCAGGTTGTACTTCAAGCTAACCTTTCTCTTTCATAGTGCCTTCAAAGAGCCAGGGTCATGTGGAGCAGCTACAAACGGGGATGGAGTCCTCGAGAGCACCAACGTTAGGCGAGCCTTATACTTAACATGAGGAGAGGGATGAATGAGTCTTTCCGTGTAAATTTATTGCTACTCTTTTCAATTTCAAGCGCATAATAGCAAGGCTTCCTCGTAACAAGGAGTTTATACAGCTTAGATCTGTCTGTTTCATGTCAAACTCTGACGCCACAATGTAACATCACCAGCCGCGGCTGTACTGGTGTGAGACATCTTGAGGTATATTGATAATATTGACAGCTGAGGCGTTTCAACAGGCGCTCTGCTTACTAAGTATTTGGGTATCATTGGGTTACAGTTGGGTAGTGATCATGCCATCACCTTACGTATCTTCCAGCTTCAACATTACCCCGCGTCTTGATCGAAAGGCATTCAGAAGCAGACGTCTTGATCTTGTTACTATCCTCAGCATTCTGATTCCTTAAAGACGCGATTGGCCATTCGGGCTTTCTCATTTCGTTAGCAATCGCCTAACCATGGCGTCTCCAGCAATGGCACAAGCTGTGGCCATGCCAGAGATCTTAGAGTGCGTCTTCAACTCCATTGAAACAGATCATCTAGCACTGTGGGCAGCTTTGCAGGTGAACAAGCTGTGGTTCGATTGCGCAACAGATTCCTTATGGAAGTGCGCCCCCCTCATCGAGCTCGCTGAGGTTTCCAAGGATCGTCAACAGATATATGCAGCCAAGATAGAGACGGCCAAGATTGACCCCTCGGACGAGGATTTTCACCTGGTCTTCAAGGATCTAAGCTTTGATAAACTGATAGCCGTGGAAATAGATTCTAAGGGGCAAAAGGAATTGCCTCTCCAACAATATTTCCGGCCAAGATTCGAAACCCTCCTCCTCCACCGGGGACTGTTGACAGGCGACACATTGTCACATATACAAGCTACGTGCTGGCGTCTGAAGGAAGTCTCTATATCATGTCCTGGCCCTCAGATAACCTCTGAGATGATGGCCGACTTCATCTCAGGGTGCAAGTCACTCGAGTTCGTCAGATTGGGCAATGAAACCAGTAATCTGACCTCAAACAAACTCCTTCACCATCTCGCCAGCCACCCAAACCTGATAGAACTGTCATTTAATAGGTCGTTGGAACCCGCACTCATCTCAGAGATCGCAGAGGCCACTTCTGGTCATCCCTTTCCCGCCCTTCGTTCACTTACCATCAATAAACCTCTGCCTTCCGCGTCCGGGGTGTTGCTTTCTGGGCTGCTGCCACAAATCCAAATCCTCGCTTTGGGCTTCAATGACAGCAAAAATGAAGTTCTTGGCTCCACCGCATCAATCCGAGACTTGCGCCATATGAACTTCATATTCCACAATGAAGCGACATTTTCCCCAGGACAGCTGTTGTCGCTCAAATCACATCGCAATCTGGAGACACTCAATCTCAGGCCACATGAGGGGAAAATATATGCCCCTGAATTCGCCGACGCTGAATTTAAACAGCTCGCATACCATTTGCCGAAACTCAGAAATCTGTGGTTCGAGGTCGAGTGCGACTTGACCACCGCCTCGCTGGCATTCTTGTCGAACCAATGCCGGGCAATCGAGCAGATTGATCTGCCACAACAGTTCAACTGGGACACGTTGTTGTCTATGGCGGATCCTAACTCTACCCTTTTTCCAAAGTTGACACACCTAATACTCGGCGGAATGATATCCGACGACCGAACGTGAGAAACCCGTCCCCAAGAGAGATTCACACACGTAACAGCTAACGTACGTTTAGATTTATTCGTCCTCCGAGAATGGCCGTCATTGCCAAGAACCATATTCCCACCTTGAAACGCGCCAAATTCGATTGGATTCAATATGATATGTCGGGGCAACATAATACGCGCTCAGAAACAAGCCTACCTCAAACTCCTAGAAGACGGGCGTCGGCAATAAGTGAAAGTCCATTTGCTTCCAGGCGTACAAATATCTGGAGGGGGCATCAGTTCGGGATCAACAGGCATGAGGCCGAATAGTTGTCTGCATCGTCTACTATAAATGCATACAGGCGCAAAAATCGATTCATGCCTGTTATCGGTTTGAAAGCTTCAGGTGGAGAGCAGTGTGAGTAGGTATCACTTGACGGATCTGTCTTTGGAGCAGGCCTGCCGTGGGCTACTTTCTCACGGTTAGAAGGAACAGCTCGCTCGGTATGTGGTGGCAGGATATGCGGCGGCAGGATTCGCGGGGTGGTTTGGAGAAGCCATCTGGCTTCAATAGTCCTTCTTTTAACTCGCCCTCCAAGATTGTATGGTGGCGTAGGGCATAATGATTATGAGTGTTACAAGTCATGAGTTCCATGGCACAGGTATTACCAGATCGAATCTACCTAAGAGAAAACAAGAAAATCGAAACTAAAATGCAAGACAATGATCGTAAATAGGCCGTTGTTTGAACCAAACTCTGAGAATTGCAATGGCTTTCTCAGTATAACACTTGATAAGGGAAGGGATGGACATGAACACCGTTGAGGGCACTCTTGAGGCCAGAGTAAACAATAAATGAACGTTTTCCAAGAACAAAGTACTTTCCTCTCATACCTATATCAATCTACTAAGATGACTCGAATAGTTCGTATCGAGAATTGTATCTGTCAGAGACCTATCGCCTTCACTAGCTGCTGATCACATGACGTGTATCTATGCAAGTATTATCTCGCCATGCTTAACAATTCCAGAAGCTGGACTAGGCAATCAAGTGCAACTCGAAGGGTGTAAGAGGATTAGAACCATGCATTACTCAAATGAGGGATTTTATTTCAGAATGTCGGTGAGAAGCGCGGAGGTTAGCGAATACAATGTGTGGGTTGAGCATGCACATCTATTATAAACTCGGGAATAAATTAGGCTTTAGTATTCAACTCTTCCGTGTAGTTGACCAGGTCACTGTCATTCACTTAGTCTTCTCTCTGCCATCTGCATTTCCAGTTTCCCATCACATCGACTACCCACGTTCATCCATACATATTTTGCTTCGACAATGTCTCTCGAGAGCCTCCCACCAGAACTACAATCCAAAATCTATAGTTACATGGTGACATCATTTGGGCCCTCGTCAATCCATGCGTTGCTCAGAATATCCAAACAACTGCACGCCGTGGCTCTTCCGTTATCTGTGCAAATCTTCCGAAATACGGCACCTTTGAAAATAGGCAAAGGACCTTGCTCGGTAGCCCGCAATGCCCAGTTCTTGCGTTACATCCTCGTCTCCAGACCAGAGCTAGCAAATAAAGTCGATACTGTCATTTTAGGTGGCTTTGCGGCTAGAAGTAGTGAATCAAATCCACATGCCAGCAGCCCAGAAGAACTGGAGACCTATGAGCAGCTCATCATCGATAGTTTAGGTCCAACACTTTCAAAGGTCGATGTGGAACGCCGCGATAAATGGATATTTCATCTGAAAAGGGGCTATTCTGATGCACAGATCTCGCTGATTCTGCTTGCTTGCCCGAATATCAAGAGACTCTATTTTGAAGACTTCCAAGAGCCATCGAATGAGGAGGTTTTCGAAAAGCCACCTTCTTTCATGTTTTTGCTTGAGATGGCTCAGATCCTGTCAGCATCAGGCGGATCTGAATCCAAGGCCCTTCCACTAGGGAACGTCAAGCATGTTCATGTGCAATCTCAATATGGGAACACTTGCGGCTGGGAACAGGCCATCCGCCTCTTGGCACTACCCAAGTTACAGACTTACGAATCCCTCAACGCCACCTACCAAGGCAAAGTTCCAGGAGACTCGTTCGTCATGGCTCAACTGCCCAAGTCCTCTGTGCGGTCTGTCGCTTTTCACCAGTCACACGCGCCTGCATCAGAAGTCAAGTTTGTATTGGACGCTTGTGATAACCTGACGAGCTTCGAGTACATCAGTGCAATGTGGATGCCGATTGATGGGAGTCTTCCCCGGGACATTATGAGGGCTGTTCTGCCTCATGCCGAAACTCTCACGCGTCTGTATCTCGACTTCCAGGACGACTGTGAAAGGGAAGATTGGAGAGAAAACCCACACGGGTTGTACTTGGGTCGCGAACTTGCCCAGATGACAGCACTGAGGTACCTGAATATAGGGATGCAGGCTCTCATCGGGATGTTCGACCCTATAGCAATAAAGCGACAAGACTTGCCACTGCAGATTGAAGGCGCCCCTAGGATCGTCGAATGCCTTCCTGAAAAACTACAGGAACTGAGAATACGCGAATGCGGCAAGGCAATTGTCGGCCAAGCAGCAGAGTTGCTTGATACGATTGAGAAAGGGCAACGCTTCCAAAATCTGCAGTGCATCGTGTTAATGTTCAAGCATGAGAACATTGAGATTGAAGACATCCAGCAAGGTTTTCCTGAGCTCACAATTGAAAGCACTCGATACAGTCTTGCCGTAAGCTTTCAAAACCGTAAGATGCGCTGGCTTGACTCTGGTAGAGGCAAGACTTTTGAGGGAATTCGCGCCATCCCGAGTCTCTGCTCTCGTATATTTGCCGACGATCTTCGGAGAGACTGGATTGATTTTCGTGGACTGTCAGCGGTACATACCAGTGTGTATGGCAGATCAGATTCCACATGTTTTCACGCTCATAGAGTAGATCCGGGTTTGAGAATACAGAGGCTGCTGCTTCAAAAGCCACCACATGAGTTTGGACTTGACGATTAATTGCACAGGTCCTAGATTAGGAACAATGATCACTCCTACTATCAAATAACGGTTACATTTCATATTAAGTTCAATCCCTTTCAGACTGTATTGAGGATTTTGAAAAACAAGACAGTAATGAAGATATTGATTCGGAATGTTGGCCTGTCTCTATGCTGCACACCTCCAGGCAGTTTAATTTTCTAATAACCCAAATAACGCCGCGCTATGCACAATATCGTCGTAAAATGTGAAAGTAAAAACAAATCATGAGAAGATTTGAGAACCTGACTCAACACTTGCTGTGCCTCTTATTGCGATGCCTAGAAAGTTGGGTTAGCTTGGAGTCCTCTAACATACAATATCACTCCATGGATGCTCCTGAAAACTTACTTCTTCAGCTTGTTCTCGAGGAAATTGGCACCGATGGCACCAGCGGCAGCACTGGCAAGACTGCCGAGCATCCCCGAACCGGACTTGTGGGCAGCCCAGCCGGCCGCGCCGCCGCCTACAACCGTTGCACCGAGACCTCGCTCGCCATCAGGACCAGTCATTTCATTTTGGCCGTGATAGTAGCTGTGAGTTGCGCTGCGAGAGTAGTCGGCCTGGTCGTGGTAAGGAGGAATATAGCCTCCCTGGCCGTGGCTGTACGGGTTGTTTCCCAGAGAGTGCTGGGTTCTATGAGAATACTGAGGCTGGCGGAGAAAATGTCAGCGGACGAGGGGAGAAGTGGTAAGTTAAGTAATTCCCACCTGTGAAGGATACGCTTGGGTGTTGGTATGTACGTAGAAGCTCTGGGTAGACATGATGAATTATATTGATAGATGATGGCTGTAAGCGAAGATCGTAGGCAGAGGGCAGCTGATGAGTAGTGCCGGAAGGTGGTCAGAGTAGTAGAGCCGTTGTAGTTGTGGTTGAGGTTGTGACTGAGACTGTGATGACCAAGACTGGAAAACGAACGGAACAAGAAAGAGGTGATATTTATCATTTGTCCATCATTGTTGCCACTCAAGAGGTCAAGGAGAGATGAATCGTCCGGACCTCAGATCCGGAAGTGATGAGAGCATCCACATACCGGGCTCCTGGCTGCTTGAGTGGCGCAGTGGGCACAGCGCTGACGACTTCGAGGCCGTTGATTGCTCAGCTCTTTGAAGTCCCTGGAAACTACCCACAGTTCCTGGGCTGAGCCCCTGGCGCTATTTCATCAGCAAACGTCACTAGCCTGTCCACAGGGTTCTCGCCGACTTTACGGAGTACTGATGTGGCCGATCAAAGCCGATTATCTAATGGAAGTCTGGTAGTGACCAAGGACCTGAATGAATAACTACTTCTCATTGGCACTTCCCTGGGATTTCCACGCGAGCTGACAACTCACTGCCCTTCCAGGACCCTGGCTTCGTGTTCGCCACCTATGTAGTCTACTTCTAGCCATGCAAGACAAAGGTGTATGTAAAGTCAGTCCAAATCCATGGAAGTGTCAATGTCACTCATAATCGTTGCTTTAAAACGAGATCGTGTTATGTAGCCATGCCAAACATTATGGAGAATTGTGCACCTAGCACAGCGCGGTCCCGTACAAGCGGGTTTCCACGCAATATGCCACGAATCACTTCAATTAAGCTCCCTCCCTGCACTACCGTTTCAAATAAATTCAATCTATAGAGGTACGCAAAAAGGGGCTACAGAAATTGACTTTGATCATTTTGATTTGCGGAAAAGAGAAGCCGCGGTGCACACCAGGATACAGAACGGTTCATAGTACAGGGCAGATATTACTTTTCACTTGACTGTTCCATTGCCCGCTGAGACTCAGTGGCCATTAGCTGCATCGAGTCATTGACGGCTACTTTCAAAGAAACGTAGCCCTCACAAGCAACACAGCTCATCAGATATCGCAACCTATACACGCGGTGTCGCTGGCTCGCTTGGTCCTGCTACCAACAGTAAAGCTGCCGTTTACTTAACTCCGCTAGAAGGGAATTCATCCAGTCTGGGGCATTACGCACGCGTGAAGCCACTAAGGAAGTTCGGCAATGCGCAAATCCCTCAGTTCCTAGTCACTGATTAGAAAGAAGATCCGGCACTAACGACTGACGAGCGGCAGTCACTACCGAAGTCTTCTTAGCCGCGCGTAAGGTTTACAGAAAGTACTCAGACAAAAAATACTCCAGCCAATGTTAGAGTAATAGCCGCATGGGCGGTGAACAAGTTTCCACCACTGTGTACACATTGGGGCGACGGGTATGATGAAATGCGTCGGCCGACCTTGGAGATATTGTCGAGAGTTGAGCAGAGAATTCAACCGCCCAGGTTATGCGGCAATGAGTTTCACGAGGCTTGGTCCAATAATTCGGTTTTCTCTTGGACTCGTAACACTTCGTAGCCGATAGAATTCTAGGCTAGGTAGGTTTCAAAAGGGCAGCGATGTGATTGAAGGTAGAGATAGAAATCCAAGATGGTGGCCTACTTTTTATGCCCCTCAAAGTTCCTACACGGCACTAAGATCAACAATGAAACGCATTCAGGGCTAACCTACCACTGGGGTGAGTTAGGAAGAAGCCTCGGGTGATGCTCTGCCGCATTAATGAATCTCCTCTCCTATATACACGCCTCACCAACTCCCCCCCAAGGCAGCCCACGTGTCCTTTCGCAGACAGATATCATCCCGCTGGTTGCCAGAGGCTCCTTGCGAAGCTCTCTCGAGGACGCTTTGCCGCACATGGATGTTCTCGTGCTGGATCAATTGATTGCAGTGGCTGGTTGCACCAAATAGTTTCTCGTTGTGGTATTACTGTCGCTTTACACCATGGCCAACAATGCGCTTAGCACGCTCTGCGAGAGTTGTGCATGATCGCTGCTTACTACTTTGTTGATCAAAGACTTCTCTTCTGAATTTAGAGAAGAAGGTACTGGTTTATTGGGGTGAAGTCATAAGATTATCGCTAACAGAGTTACCGGAGGCTGCTATGTCTACAAACTTGTCTGGAAAGATATGAAGTTGGAAAACTTCAAGTTAATAGATGGCAACAAGTCCAGTGCGTAGCGTCTATTACGCTCTTTTGAACGCGCAGTTCAGGTGGATGGTAGTTTCTTGCTAAAAGTCACCATCCTCATTCCGGTTCCATCGTTGTCCAATGATGTCCATCAAACCTGGTTTCGTCTTCTTCTGTGCACAGGCAATAATCTCATAAGCAACACTCCTCCATTCACGCTGCTCCAAGGCACTTCATCGTCTGAACCTACTCTTAGATTGACCTTCGATTGGTATCAGCATCGCCAGCGCAAGCAAATAGGTTGCAACATCTCCAAAAATTCGAGAAATACGAAAGGACGGCTACCAACACGGCTTCTCGAGACTACCGAGGATTGTCAAACATCCCGGCTAATCATGAGCGAGGACTAAGCCTACTCTACCAACCCTCCTGCCTACTCGACTCTGAGATACAGATGGGGTGAGAAGCCCCAGAAGCTTCTACTAAGTCCTTGAATATCCAAGAATTTCGCTGTGGTTTAAAGCTGCAAGATCTTCCAAGAACATTCCAAGACCTTTCCTCCCTCTCGTGGCGATTCTCTATACCATGATTTTCGAATGATGCTCTCGGTATCATGCAAGACTCCGCAAAGGACTAGGATATTGAACCTTCACTAATAGGATACGTATACGACAACTCTGCCTGTAACATCATGGCGTGTGCCTCTGACGATTCGCAAGGAGGGTTATTCCACGACAGAGATAACGCTGATCCCACCCTCATGCCAGGTATTGTCGCGAAGCCCATCCTAGCCACCAAGAGAAGGAATCACTTCATATTTGATAAAGAGCTTGGGAACAAGCGAGTTCGGCACGGTTCTCTCTACAACAGAGGCTAGAATTTCCAGGAACGTCTTCTCGCGCCGCGGGTACTCCATTTTACTGAAGATCAGGTCATGTGGGAATGTCTATGCGAAACCAAGTGTGAAACCTTCCCCGAGGGCATCTCATATAACAAATCTCTCAAGATGCTCCACGTGTTGTAGCATGAGTACAACTCAGACGATAGCAACGTCCAGGACAACATGCGCCTATTAACAGCCTAGAATAAGCTTGTCAAAGAGTATTCGCAATGAACCTTTACCGTCACCAGTGACAAGCTAGCCGCATTTTCAGGCGTGTCTCGATTATTTGGCGATGTCTCCGGTGATGAGTATTTGGCTGGGCTTTGGAAGACTCATTTACGTGAACAAGTAGACTGGCGTGTTTATTCGCCGATTCGACGCGGCTCGTCTGAGTACAGAGCTCCTTCCTGGTCGTGGGCGGCTGTGGATGGCCAAGTGACACACACGGGGTGACGAATGATGCAGAGTTTCTAGTGACCCTTCAGGATGTCAGCGTCAAATACGATGGAATCAACTGCCCCGGGAAATTGGCTTCCGGCAAACTTTGTGTCAATGGGGCACTACTCGCGGCATCCGTTGTTCAGCATGAGCCTGATGTTCCCCGCGGATGTTTCATCGCCGACAATCTCGCTCGCAGGCCAAGATGTCGAGTTCATGGCCAATTCTTCAGAGATAGCTTGTCTATTGACATTGATATCGGAAAGATAGTTTCTCTCCTCCCTATCAAGTCTGATCTCGGACTAGGTGGTGATGAAGTCGTGGTTTGCTTAGTGTTGGAGGTTGTTCTTGTGCCAAACTTGCAGATGTTTCGTCGAATTGGTCTGGTCATTATTTCCGATTAGGAGGTTATGGCCGGCGGTGATGCTGCGACTGCTTGGAAAGAAAGCCCAAGGAGATTCCGGAAACTCGTATTGGAAACCATACGAATGAGGGCTGCGGACGTACATATTATATATTTTGTTTCTATTCGACCAAGTATCGCTGCTTTGATAGCGTTTGAGTTTTACGCAACCTGGCTATCGTGAGATGGCGGCTCATGAAAATGCGACACTTAATAAACTTAAAGATCCAGGGGTGTCTTAGTAGTAGCTGAATGCAATTTCCATATAATCTAAATTCTCTTCTGTTATTATTCGCCTTTTTAAACCTTTTGGGGGGGCTTATACAAGTACGCCGTGCTGGAGACATCAACTCCTTACGTGGTTCTCGAACTACACCTTGGTTGACTGTGGTGATGGCTTCTACGGCGGGGACGATGAATAAGGGGTGTGCTGGGCAGTCTGTGTTAACTTCCCATCAACAAAAAGAGCAGCGTCTAATTCTGCCTCCTCTTCCCTCTCCCTCCTCTTCCCTCCCCTTTAGTGATCTTCTGTCAGGATGGAGTCTCGCAAATCTAACCTTCGATGCCGGCCAATTGCCCCGGTTCTGTTAAGGATATCATTGACCAATTCCAATGTAGTAGTCGCTTTACTATTGGGGAAAACTTATCCATACAAATTCTATTATTCTTACGTCATTCGATAATCAAACGTTCAAACCTTGTATAGTATTTCCAGGGCTTCAGGGAGACGCATCGTGTGATAGGTCAGAGTCCGAGCCTGGATTTCGGTTAGATGACCGAAGGCCTTGGCCTTAATTTCCTTGCAGTGATTCGCCTTCCAGTCGCAACGGTGAAGGCAAAAGCCGTGCCAATCTGGTTCGCTTATCCACAAAATCCTTTGTATACCTTTTCGAGAAGAGTTGGTAGAAGAACCCAGGATACCAATAATCCTGGGTCTCAAGCGCAAGGTTTTCCTCGAGCCTCCTGTCCCTTTCTCAAGCCTAGAGCTCCAGAAATAACCCGGGTAACGAATCCTACGCACTAGATTTTGGCGAACCAGACGATGGAGACTGGCAAGGATCAATGACGAGGCTTACACCTATGATTATGGCCGTTATCACTGATGAGCGCTAGCACAAATCAACTATGGCGGCTAGAAGTTTCTTAAAGTCTTATCTTATGGTGTAGAAAGTGCCCAGCAAGCATTGGCAAAGCACCTCTATATAACTTATTGTTGAGTACAGCTCAGTGCTAGAGTTTGTGCATGTGAAGAAGCGAGTAAGTACAGCTTGCTATCATATTGCAAGCGTGTGGGAAAACTGCCGACAACTACCGGACCAAGCATATCCAAGGCTATCCATGTGAGTGCTCAGTCTTGCTAGAATCGTTAGGCCCATAGCCATGTAGCGCTAAGAGGAGATAATGTTAGCCATGGCATTGTCTATTCTAATTTCTTACAGAGAGAGGCCTAACCAGGTAAGGAATTCGTAGGGAGCTAGGCTAGCATAGGTTAACAGACGTTGTGTCCCGCCTCTTGGACATTTCGAGATCGGGCTTTTGACATGAGCTATGGAGACCTCCTGAGGTTTCCTCTGAAGGTCCAGGTCCTCATCCACATCCACATGGAAGACTGAAAGGTCCCGTAAGCACTAATCGTCGCCACTATATCCACATCGAATACGGAGCAGTAGTCTGACCCCAATGGATCGATCCCCCTGTTTCAAACACAATAGAGTCAGTTCCCCATGGGAGGGCGGAGTCGCGTGCTCAGAAAGCTGCCGGCACTTTCCGCGGACACTATTAAGAACCTATCCACAGCTGGCCGCTACTTTTTGCAACGCTCCAGTCATCTGTGACGAAGAGGCAGTTGACACCAGTGAGCCAGCCAGCTGGTTCGCCAGCAGAGCAATCTGCGACAAATACCGAAGGACCGGACCAGGACATTATGCAACAAAGCCCTCCCTGGCTCTAATTGCCGATGTCCCCTGTTTGTAGCTGCCTAGCAAGTCCTCGCTTGTTGCACAAGGGCCTCCAGGTCCGCATTTTGCTGACAATGGACACCGGGGGAGCCAAGGGGCTGGATGGCCCTAACTCACTCACCTTGTTTGCAACAGGGGTCTCGGCACTCGTGTGAACGCGATGCCGTATTACGTATTGCGTATTGAACTCCTGAACAGCCGTGTTGGAGTTCGGACATGGTGTAGCCGAGACTACCGGCTGCCCAGTGCGAAGGATTGTGTATCCTGGGGGCGTCAGTTCCGGTCGAAGAGGCCCAGATGATTCCAATTTCCCCATCTGACACCCTTCTGGTCTTCTATTTTGAGCTTCGGTGTAGAAGATGAGAACAGAGCAAGCCAGGAAGGCAGAGGCGATGAAAGGGGTATATAAAGCTCCCTTTCCTTGCTCAAGTTGTGATTCGAAACAACACAAAGCAGCTTCTTCGATCTTCCAACCAGCTGCAAAACACTCATTGCCTCCAACCGTTACCTTTTCCCGCATTTCATAATGCATTTCACCAAGACTATAGTCTCTCTGTTGGCTGTTGCCGGCTTCGCTGCTGCTCAGGCTGACGACCTTGGCCGCCGCGATCTCGAAAATGCTCGAGAGCAGTACCTTGCCGCTCGCGACGAGTACATTGAGGCGCGTGACCTTTACCGGCGCAAGCAAGCGCCCACTCATGTAAGTCTATCAGCTGTTTTCCCTTCAACCATAACTCTTACTGACAACTCGTAGGCGGGTTATTGCAACAAGGCCGATCATCATTCCACGACCCTCTGGTGCTTGAGCCGAAGAACGGGCACAGTTTGCAAGCAATGCCCGCCCAATGCTAGGGCTATGGACCCTTGCACCTGCCCTGGCTAAGCTCCAGCGCATTCATTATCACTCCGTTTGCAGATCCCTATCTTTGGGAGGCAGACGGGCTAGTTTGTTGTTTGTAGGATCCAACAACTTTGAAGTTGGCTGAAGCTAGGCTACCATAGTTTAGTTAAGCAAATGTCTTCTTCTGTTGTCTTAGATATAATACTTGAAAATTGGGTAAACGTTAAATAAGATCAGTTATTACCGCATCTCTTGTGTTCCTCTTCCCATGTGTGCAAAGATCAACTTCTCTTCTCCTGTATCTATGACCTAGATTATTCACAAATAGGTTCTTGGATACTGTGTTATCATGTGACAAACCGTTCAGCATAAAATTGACAGAGCAATGATGCTATTGCAGTGACATAGGTGGATAATGACCCTCAGTTATCGGGCCTGCAATGAAGCAGAGTCTCATACTGCAACCAGTACAGCAATTATGGCAGCCATTTCTTGAATACAGGGGTTCATGTTCAAGATTCCCATTGTTCCTCCCGCTCTCATCTAATCATCTAATCCTGCTATTCAAATCCGAGCACCCGCAGTGAGCGAGCATAAATCCTAAGGCAGAACTACATCATGGGATTTCAATACGGTAGGGGAGAGAAGCGGGCAATGTGTTAGACACCTCGTGTTACTGGGCAAGACAGCAGTAAGCTGGCCTCGACCCCCCCCCGAACGATGCTGTAAAGGCGGACCGCATCCTTGCAGAGCATACCGTTCCTGCTGACAGTACCGCAATACCAGTGCTATTTAGGCGGACCTCCATCACTAACAGCCCTATTCTTAGAGTCGTACGTACACATCAATGCTGCTTCTCACGATGGTGTCGGTTCCGCTAGTTCTACCGTATTTTCTCCAAATGTTCGCGCTTTCTGCCCGAAATTCTGTACCCTGTTTCACGCGGGTAGTTTAAACATAATTAGATTCATCCAGGAATACAGACCTCCTAGAATAGGGGCAAGTAAGAGAATATTTGAGAAAATACGGTACGACAGGGGATAATTCCCCGGCTGTGAGAATCAGGGTCAACGGTGGATCACTGTACCCTTCATTCTAACAGCACTCATTTCCTGATCTGCAAAAGAGACTCCGACAGGCCCAGCAGCGGCTCTTCGGACCAGCCTTTGTCTACATCTACCCAAGTTGTAGGCAAGGACGGAGTCCGACAACGGCCCTTCTACCCCCAGGGCAGACGACTCCTACTTCATGCTGGCATGGTCAAGGTGTCAAGGGAGTCAGTGTCAAGCATATGAGCTGTGCTTGGTGTGTAGCTCATTCTCAGTTGGTAGGGTTAAGCATTAGCCAGATGATTCATGTAGGCTCGCGAAAGACATAACACGGTGGGTTACGTGCCGCGCTGCAACTTATCAGTCAGCCTCCTCGATCAAATCTATTCAAGTGACAGCAATACGACTCTTCCAGCAAAGGATACCCCCATACTAACCAGAGCATTGGAGCCGGTCCACCTGTGCCTTCGGGACTTTATGCAAGAGCAGAGCCCGGAGCGGAGCCTCGACTTACATGACACACACCTTCCTCCCCAAGGAAGCGGGCGATCAACAGGCAGTCAAAATACCCTGTCTCATGGTGGATACATGAGTCAGAAGCGTGAGAAAATGCACTGATCGGCCGACAGGGCCTTGACATGGGATTCAGCTAGGTCTTATGAAAGTTGGACAGATCTGGGCTAGAACAATCCTAAACAAGGTCGCAGAACCGCTGAGGAGATAGTAATAAGACTAAGGTAAACAATCATCATATACAATCAATAGACAGCGTGAAATGCATCCCTCAGTTTCCCCAACGTACTGAGCCAGATGATCCAGTGTGGGAGAAACTGGAGGGGGCACTATTGAGGGAACTGCAGGAGCCGGGCGTAAACGTACCTAATAAGACACTTCCCTTGGCTTCTCGACAATAGTGTCACCAAGCTTCTTCGCCATGGTCTTGCAATTGTTCGCGTCCCCCCCCTTGGTGCAGTGAGCGAGAATACTATACTTGCCGCCTGCCTGTTCGTAAGGGTCGCCAGTCAGAATCTTCCCACCCTCTTTCAGGATCTCCCAACCTTCAGGGCCATCCGGGCCTACAAACTTGCTATCCATCTTTCCCAGAAGCTTTCTTCCTCCCTTCTTCTTATTCGGGTACCAGGTGTGCTCCTCAATATAAGCGTTGTGTTTGGAATGCACGACTGGTATCTTACTGCTCCCCTTGGCATTGACTGTTGCGTCAACCTGATCCTGGTTTTTTTGGATCCTGTCTTTGACGTTGACTTTCTTTCCCCCGACAAAGAGATCATATCTCTTGCCTGTGGCGGTATGTTCTTCGACCCCCTGGTTGTTGGTTTTCTGGTATTTGACACCGGCGACGTATTCGTGCGGTATGGTTTTCCCGCCAGTTTTCTCCTTGATCACATACGTAGCGTCATGCTCGAGCTCTATGCCCTTCTTCTTGGCCAATTCCTCGAGCTTCTGCGTTCCAGCATCCTTTCTCACGTTCGGGTCCTGGGCATCCTTTGTATTCTTACCCTTCCGGTTCGATGCCTTGCCAAACTTCGTCTTGCAGGCTGCGCCGACCGACCCGAGACCGCGTTTTTCAGAGCAGCTGGCTTCTGCTCCCTTGGGTGAGTTGGTAGATTTGTTACCCTTGGCAAGGGCTGCCTTCTTCCCTTCCGGAGTTTTTGCCTTCTGCACTGCCTTGGCTGGGGTCGTCTTTCCGTTAGCAGCCTTCCCCTTTGAGGCATTTCCTTTCTGAGTCTTCGCCTTCGGAGCGTTGTTCTTTTGAGCTTTGGTGTTTGTACTCTTGCTTTTCTGCACTCCCTTGGGAGCCGACTTTCCGCTCGGAGTCTTTGCTTTTGATTCTTTGGCCTTGGTAACTCCTTGTGCAGGAGTTTTCTTGTTAGGATGGTCGCTGGCGTTCTTGGGAGCAGCACCGCTCTTTCCCCCCTTATTGGGGACGTTTGCCTCCTTCTTTCCAGAAGATTTGTTCTTTGCAGCCTTTTTTGGTCCCTTGTTTGCAGCAGGGGGTTTATTAGATGCTGCTCCCTTCTTAGAAATGGCAGCCTTGGGTGTCTGCTTTCCGGCCGGAGTCTTCTTTCCAGCTGGAGCATTCTTTGCAGCAGAAGTCTTCTTCTTTCCAGCCGGCGTCGTCTTTCCTAAAGGAGTCTTCTTGCTTACAGGAGCTTTCTTCGCAGCTGAAGCCTCCTTCTTCTTAGCCGGTGTGTTCTTCTTCGCAGCAACAGGAGTCTTCTTCGCGGCTGGGGTATTCTTCGCGGCGGGAGCCTTCTTAGCAGGAGCTTTCTTAGTAGGAGGAGCAGCCTTCTTTGCTGGGGCAGGGCCTCGAACGTCGAAGGACAAGATAGAGTCGGGATTCGAGCTGGCCACGCGGCGGGCTATGTTGTGGTGGTACGATGGCGGTTCGGGGTGTCTTTCCCAAATATTCCTGTCGGCAACCTGATACCTCGCGGCCAGCCTGAGGGAGTCATCGGTTCTGCCTTGGTGAACGTCTCGGGTGTCTTTTGCTCTGGCCCAGAATGCGGCCAGGAGAAGGGGAAGCACCGACACCTTCATCCTCGTGGTTCTGGTGTCAGCCAGTGACAGCAATCGAAGCACTTGAAAAGATGATACAAAGGGAAAGGAAAAGGAAAATATGCACAATATAAGAAATTAAGAAAATAGGCAGTAGAAATAATTTAAGGAAAATGAAAATTAGAAGAGACGAAGAAGCGAAAGGGTTGGATATTAGGATAGAGGGAAGGCTCCTGTTATATCACCATAGTGATAACACTGATGAGCCATCAGATTGAACTCTAGTCACCCCCAGGCAGGCTAGAAATAGAGGCTATATCCAGCGCAGTCTTTTACCTGCGCTGCTTGTTGAACCGGGATCGCTCTATCTAATAATACGCCTACGCTCCGACTTAGTCAAACCACTCTCGATCTCTGGTTCAACAAATGCGTGGGGCGGCTCAAGACAACAGGGGCCAAGATCCTTCTGCAGACGGCGAGATCTCTAATGTCTGGGCCTGCTGGGCTGATTCATGCTGTGCTGCGGGGCCTGAAGCAATCACTCATCCTCCTTCATATCATAAACCTTCTACGCCGTCATCCACATCCGAGCAGGATCCAGGACGACAGTCAGTCAACGCGCTGATTAAGTCGCGTACGCTGTTGCCATCTTTCTCTCTCTCTATCCCTCCCCGGCTCTCCACCATGTCTTCCCTCAAAGATGCCCTCCACAAGTACAAACAGCGCATCACCACCACCATTTCTCCATCCCCGGCTGCAGACGGCTCGGCTCCGGCGCCCAAGACGGGGCGGACCGGATGGCTGGAAACTTCTACCCACGACTCTGTTCTCTCGGATTTCACCCGTTTCCTAGAAAAGGGCAGCCCGAAAGGAGAGTCACCCATCTTTAACAAGAAGGAACAGAAAACTCTGAAAAAGATATTCACTACCCATGCCAACTTAGATAATTGTAAAATCCTCTTCTTCACTTCCCCCTGAAAAAGAACCAGAACTAATGTACATTCGATACTCAGCCTGGACCCAACAATCACTAGAGTCCTATCTCATCACGCAGGTTCCTCAAGATGGAGATTTCAAGGCTCTCTTGACTACATCCCTGCCCTCTCTCTGGACCTTGGCCACCTACTTCTCCCACTTCCCGTTCAACGCCGCCGTATCTACCCCAATCACCAGCTTGACATTCCCGGCCTTCACGCGTGCCATCGCCTTCCTCAGCGGGAGGCACTACCTAATGTTCACCGCCTGGGGCCATCAAGACAATGATCTCAACCGCACCACAGATCAGCCAGTCCTCGAGTATATCTTCCGGGCACTAGCTACTCCCCGGCAGGCAGAGCAGAAAATCACCTCGTCCACACAGAGGGAAGACGCCCAGGCATCGCTGCAACGCGACATCCTTGACGTTCTGAGCGTGGCCCAACCATTCAGGGACCGCAACACAAAGGCCCTCAACCGCACTGAGCTGACGCCTGCAGCGGATAGGCTCTCCCCTCCAGCTCCGCCAGAACTTTCCGATCTGAGCATCCCAACCACCAGCGTGCTCGTCCCGCTTCTCGACCTCTCCATAGCACTTCTCCAGGAAACCAGCGAGTTCGACGCAACCCCCTTCCCCAGGACACTCAAGGCGAAGCTTGAGACTGCTAGGGCGGAGGTACAAGGGGAGGACGAGGTGTCGTCCGACAGCTACGCAAAATTGCTAGATAGCGATGAGTGGGAAGAGAACCACAACAGCGTCTACACTCTATACGACAGCATTGCCGTCCTATTCAACACATTTCCCAATCCGGAGAGCTTGAAGACCGGCAAAACGGTCAACTGGGTGTCGGGAGAGGAGGAGCCCTTGTATCTGGGTTCGTTGCGAAGTCTGGGGTCGACCTGGACGTAGGGGAGGAAGGACGCGGGTCTTGGGTCTTCATTTCATCTCTGTTGTTCATTTGTACCAGCTAGTTTGTTGTTTTTAACTTGAATTCCAGCCCTACTGGGATATTCCCAGAAATGGGCGATTAAGCCTCTGCCTTCTGACTCTGTTTGTCCCATTTTACGTAGGATGAACCCAACAAATATGTCCGAGCATATACGAGGTCTGGTTGCTAGATGAAATAAAAATGGAGAGCGCGAGGTACCTTATTTGCTACCTAATATTGGCTTTTATTACTTTCAATATACCTTCAGCCAATTGATGCGGATGCGCAGGGCCAATTGGTTGGGGTGTGCGTTCCCGAAGGCGAGATGCTGTCAGAAACCGTAGGTCCAACTACGTTGAAACTTAGGCGCACACACAGATTATCTCATGTGGAAGAGATCAGAGGGTATCATCTTGTATTTTAGGCAGGGTACGTAATAAATCAGCTTCCTTTCCGCTCATCGCTGGCCTCCTGCTCATAGCCTCGAATCCCGCCGTCCAAAATGACGTTCTCGTTATTGTCTAAATCATCCTGAACCCTTCTCCATCCCGTCTTGCGCGATCTGCTGGCTCCCTCTGCCTCTGGCCCCTTCCCTTTGGCGTCAAACACCGGCTTGATCAGAGATCCCAGCAACGGGTTTCCGCTGAACGCTCCTCCGCTGCGAGCACCGCCGTTCCCAGTCGTACTCGTGAGCACGCCAGCCGTGTCGTCCTCGCTCTCAGGCGTCACCGGCCTCTCCACGGCGGCCATCTTGCGCACCACCTTGCCCCCGACCAGGTCGATGCTCAGGACCTGCTGCCGCTTCTCGTAGTCGGGCCTGGCGTTCCACTCCATCTCCCGCAGAATCTTCTGCTGCCGCTTCAGCTCCCTCGCGCGCTCCTCCGGGCTCGCCCACATGCTTCCCCCAGACCCAGACACCGCGCCGCTCACGTCAAAGTCGGACGCCTCGTCCCTCACCGTCGTCCGGCGGGCGTTCTGCGCCTGGAAGCCAAGCAGCTTGTCGCGGTGCTCCTTGGCCTTGGCCTCAGCCTCGGCGAGCGTGGGATCCGTAGAGACGTAGGTCCCTCTGGCCTTGTTCCCGGAGAAGGGCGCAGGCGTCTTGGACACGTCTGCCTTGCGGTTCGCCCTCGCATCCGCCGCCATGCGCTCCTTTGCCCGCTCGTCCTTGAGCTCCCTCATCATCGCCTCGACGTCGTCCTTCTTGAGCAGCGGCGTGCCGCAGAACGTGCACGGCCCAAGCCCTTCTTTCATGCAGATGACCTTACCGCACAAGTGGCAGTTGGGCGCCGCGCTCTGCAGCGGGTGTCGCGTGGCCACGCAGTTGCACTTCCGCGCTTTGGGGTTATCTAGTGTCGGATTCGTTGTGATCTCGAGGGCTCGGATGGCAGCGTCTAGGTCGTTGAGGGCCGTGGACTGCCCAGCCATGGGCGTGCCGCCCGAGATGGACACCTTGGTCGCGCCCCCGGACACCTTGAGGTTGGGTTTGCCCTTGGCCTTCGGAGGCCCGTCGGATATCAGGTACCCAGAGGAGGCGTGTGCTTTTGACTCCTTCTGGGGTGCCTGCTTCGAGGCGGGCGGCGGCTTCGAGGCGGGCGGCGGCTTCGAGGCGGGCGGCGGCTTCGAGGCGGGCGCGGGATTCGGGGTCGTCGATCGCGAGACATCGTTGCTGCCGGGGGCGCTGGGTGTCCGCTGCGATTGCGGGATGTAGTCGAGGTCGCCGAGGCTCTTCTTTGTGTATACCGTGCCCGACGGGGCGGCAAAGTCCTGGACCTTACGGGGTGCTAGCTCGTGGATGTTTGCCTTCTTCTTCTTCTGGGGTTTTCTCGATGACTTGGGAACGGCGTCGATTGCTTCGGACGATGATGACGGGCCGGGCGTGGCAGAGGAGCTTGCCTGCGCGGGCTTCGCTGGCTTGCTGTCCCCGCGTCGGGAATTGAAGGAGGAGATGAAGTCGATGGCTAACGGTGAGTCGCCGAGGAGATTGCTGAAGTGCGACACAGCTTCTGGTTTGGACAGGGTGGAGGCATAGTCGAGGACCTGTTGGAGCTCGTCGTCGGGGAGTGGCAGCAGCTGCGACAGCTGAGCGAGAGACATATTGAAGGTGAAAAGACTGTTCAGAGCTAAGAAATAATTGTCTGGCCCAGAATATATGCGCTTCTTTTGGTCAAGACGCGAGAACCTGGGCCAAATATCAGTTCTTAAATATCATGGAGCTGATGTTCGAGATCAGTCATACCGAATCGATCAACAAGTTCCCCGAGATTGCCCCGCCACCCCCCACTCGCCTACCCTACACCCAAGCATCCTCAAGAAAATGCCAAACAATGAGCGCAGAGTCAGGATTCTTCTTGGAGAATTTAAATTACTAGAGGACAGCCAGTGCTTATGTTCTAAGAGAGTATTGACTTGAGTGGTGCGTAACGTTAATGTTTCTCGACCAACCCCTCGGCAGGAAAACATGAGATAAGCCAGAAAAAAATTTAGATTTTGCAAACTATGAGAACAACGATCCCACCTCACAGCGTTCAGCAAGGATATCAGAACAATTATAGCTTCTAGACTAATAATAGGATGCCACCCTAGGATGCCAATGGGTGTGACGATACCACCATATGAGGCACAATGGTTGGATCGGGTGCTGCATATGTAGGCCATTCATGTACGAAGCCCAGGCGACACATCCGTATGCCCTAGTCTGCGGGGTAATTGAAGCTGCCCAGATGCTGAGTCCAACAATAGCTACATACAGCTAGTCGTGCTCGATCCGTGGATGCATCTTGGAACCGGTCTGCAGTCTCGGGCAGTTCGGCGGACTAACGGAAGAGCCAGTCTTATCAATCTGGGCACCTCTCTGTGCTCACCGACCCTCAAAGACGGGGTGAATGCAGATCAACAAGGGCCAAGGATTGGTGCATGATGCCTGTGCAGAGCTTGCCAGACGAATCCCGACCACGCCGAGGGTGCACAGAGCTGTTCTTTCCCACCGCACCGCCCTTCTAGATGCCCGACTGGCCTAATCCCGCCTCTGGGGTTCATCGAGGGAACATTGCATTGACACAATTGACCAGGGCACTTGTGTAATTCCAATTGCATCCGGAAAGGCCGTGGCGGCTGATGAATGATGTGCTGTGGTGGTGCGCTGAACTCGCCAAAACCGCCGTTTACCCGCTACATCCCGAGTTACTACCGGGCCGGCTGTCCCCCAACAACTGGATTACAGCGCTCTTGGTACCCACAAAATCTCCCCCAGCACACCCACCGCCAGTAAAGCAGACAGATCACAGGGCACCTTAGCAGCACGTACAGCAGTCTGGCGCTAAGAAGCAGCCGGCCACTCATGCGACGTCGCCGCACCGCCGTTTTCTTTTCCCGCCCCCGGTGAATGCGTCTGTCTGTCTCTGTGTGTCGACGCTAATAAAACCACGCACTCTTCCTCTTCTCCCTTCCTCCCTCTCTCTAGATACCCTCACCTGCACCATCTCTCCATCCCCAACCCGCCTCGTCTCCCACCACAGACCGCCAAAATGTTCATGGCTTCTCGCATCCAGCGCCGGGCTTTCTCCGCCTCGGCTCGCCAGGTTAGTCTACCCCGGATCAAGCTCAATTGACCTTCATTTCCCCCAGAAATTATCATCTAGCCTCGCTGGCTAGCTCCCAATTGCCTCGTCGCAGCCCCTCCCCGCCCTCAATTCCATCCATCTTCGCACCATGGACAATCGCACTGACATCACCTGCAACAGCTCTCCAAAGTCACCGTCCTCGGTGCCGCCGGTGGCATTGGCCAGCCTCTTTCCCTGCTCCTGAAGCTCAACCCCAAGGTCACCGATCTCGCTCTCTACGACATCCGTGGCGGACCTGGTACGTGAGAAAGTCCTTGTCCCTTCAATGCCTCGAAGTGAAGTTGTCCAGCTGCTAATTGCCACAGGTGTCGCCGCTGATCTCTCCCACATCAACACCAAGTCCACCGTCAAGGGCTACGAGCCCACCCCCGAGGGTCTCGCCGCCGCCGTCAAGGGCGCCGAGGTCGTCCTCATCCCCGCCGGCGTCCCCCGCAAGCCCGGCATGACCCGCGACGACCTCTTCAACACCAACGCCTCCATCGTCCGCGACCTCGCCAAGGCCGTCGCCAAGTCCGCCCCCGAGGCCAAGGTCCTCGTCATCGCCAACCCCGTCAACTCCACCGTCCCCATCGTCCGCGAGGTCTTCAAGGCCCAGGGCGTCTACAACCCCAAGACCCTCTTCGGCGTCACCACCCTCGACGTCGTCCGCGCCAGCCGCTTCGTCTCCGAGGCCAAGGGCACCGACCCCAAGGACGAGGAGATCACCGTCGTCGGCGGCCACTCGGGCGTCACCATCGTGCCCCTCTTCAGCCAGAGCAACCACCCCGACCTGAGCTCCAACGCCGAGATCATCAAGCGTGTCCAGTTCGGCGGTGACGAGGTCGTCAAGGCCAAGGACGGCGCCGGCTCCGCCACCCTCTCCATGGCCCAGGCCGGCGCCCGCATGGCCGACTCGGTCCTCCGCGCCGTCGGCGGTGAGAAGGGTGTCGTCGAGCCCTCCTTTGTCGAGTCGCCCCTCTACAAGGACCAGGGCATCGACTTCTTCTCCTCCAAGGTCGAGCTCGGCCCCGAGGGTGTCGCCCAGATCCACCCCGTCGGCCAGGTCGACGCCGCCGAGACCACCCTCCTCGAGGCCGCCCTCAAGGACCTCAAGAAGAACATTGAGAAGGGCGTCGAGTTCGTCGCCAAGAACCCCGGCAACTAAGCTGTTGTTTTTTGTATAATTGACCCTAAAAATTCCTGTCTTTTTTGATAGAACTTGGTCATTTGTAAACAGCTGATGATTTAAAGCAGCGTTGAGATGAACGACTGGGTTACCTTCTTTGTCGGGCGGGAAAAAATGGCGATGGTGCAGAAAGGTTCCGGTCGTTCTATTTTCTTTTCTGCTCGTTTACAGCTGCCATAGACTTGATTGGGTCTCTGTATCATAGGAAACGATTCGGATGAATAAAAATATATAAACACTAAGCCTACCTCTATTTGACGTGCCTGAACGCGTAAAATAGTTCTATGCATGCTGGGTCCTGCAGTAGCTAGATTTGAACTCACTAACATCAACTGGATAATCGCTTTGAAAAGTAGAGATGTTTCAGGCCATCGGCCTCAATTACATTTACAGCGTAAGTACATAGACATCTAGTTACTCCCAATGCATCCGCTAGTGTGGCTGGACCTTCTCGCCCATTCATGCCGTCATCCACATTATTGAAAATCTCCATCTTTTTCTATGTCGTAAATGGAAACAAGATAAAGAAAACAGTACGAATCTCTTGGTGGCCGGCAAAAGATTCTTCTTGTACAGTAAGTATAAAGCGCACCTGGCCACCTCTAATTGCATCTACTGCTGCGGCTGCTGTCTCCCCTGTCTCCAGTTCTCTATTTGCTGGCGGCGGGCCTCCACCTTGCGCTCAAACTCGGCCACCTTCTCGAGCCGCGCCTTCTCCTCCTCCTCCTCCTTCTTGGCGTTCTCAATCTCCTTGCGGGCGGCCTCGCGCTGCAGCTGGTCCTCGCGCCTCACCGCGATGTCGCGGGGGCGGAAGTCGCTGAAGCCGGCCTTGAGACCCACCTCGATGATCCAGCACAGGCCAAAGTCGAGGACCATGACGGCCGTCATGTTGAGCTTGAACTCGTCGTTGAAGGGCACGAGCTTCATCTGCTCGTTGATGTCGGGCATGAGCTCCATGGCGCAGGCAAAGGCCAGACCAGACACGCCGATCATGCCCCAGTACATCGACTTGTTCTCGGAAATGGACTCGCGGAAGGGTCGGCCTTGGTAGTTGATGGCAAAGGTGGAGATTTGCTGAATCAGCTGCAAGAGGTAGACACCCGAGTTCAATAGCGAAGGGGCAAACTCGGCCTCAAGATCAACGTCGGAAGCTCGTCTAGGGAAATAATTAGCAATGTTCATGCATTAAAACCGGGAGGACAAAACCAGGAAGGGTGGGGATTGGGGGGATACTTACGGTTCAAGTCTGTCGCAGAGGCGAGCGATATAGATGAGAGTCACAATGTGAACGGCAAACTGTCCAAGGATCGATCCGATGATGTAGATGTTGAAGATGTTGGGCTGGGGACGCTCCTTGCTCAAACCCTCGACGACACGGGCACGCGAGATGTTGAAGAAGCAGACCGACATGAGAATACCGCTAATGGTGTACTGGGTGTCACCGAACTTGATACCCTCCAGGTAAAGGACGGACAGCGAGTAGGCACTGATGAGACAGTTGAGAGCGAGAATCTTGTACATCTGAATGGTAGCAACCAGAGTGCAACGACCTTGACGAATGATGTTGGGGATAGCAATGACATTGCGCAGCTTTGACGTGAATGGAGCAGCAACGGAGGCGTCACCGAGCTTCAGGGCAGGCGGCTCATCATCTCCCAGATCCGACTCCATCATGGTGGTGAGCTTGTCAGCGAGACCGGCAGCCTTATTGATGTTCTCCTGCTGGCGAGCGTTGAGCTGGTTCTGGGCGGCGGGGGTGGTAATGACCTCGGTGGGGTGGCCCAATGACTTGGAATACTCCTCAGGAGACATGTCCTTCTTCTTGGCTTCACGCTCAATGGCCTTCTGGTAGTTGGGGTTGGATGGGCCAGGGGGGTACAGGTGGGCGATAACAACGGGGACGGGAGGCGCGGGTTGGTTGAAACGAGCCATCAGATCACATTGCTTCTGGTACATTTCTTTCATCTTGGTGTTTCGAGAGTGTTCGGCAATCTTGGTCAAGTCATCAGGTGTTCCGTTGAGGAGAGCAACACCGATGTGAGCTTGCTTGAGGGCACCGACATCGTTTGTACCGTCACCAGCCATGAGTGTGTAGTATCCCATATCACGAAGTCCCAAAAGAATGTCTTCCTTCTGCTTGGGTGAGACACGAGCATATACCCAGGTGTATCGGAGAATGGAGTTCCAAGCTGGCTGGCCCTTGAATTTCGCGAGAGCATATCCAGTAACGCAAATGTCCTTCTCCTCCAAGATCTTGGGGTCGATGGCCTTGGTTGGGTCAACAGGGATTTGAATGGTATCGTCGACGCTCCTCCAGACAAGCTCGTCTCCACCGTCGTTGTGCTCAGGAGCATCGAGGATAAGGACATCACGATCAACAATCTCAACTTCGCGGGCAACGTGGACGGCGGTCAGAGGGTTATCTCCGGTAATCATGACAACACGATGGCTGCTCTCGTTGAGCATTTGAACAGCTTGCTTAGCGTCATCCTTGAGAGGGCAGTGCAGAACCAAAAAGCCAGCAAATGTCAGGTCAGCCTCGACCTTCTCACGCTTGAGGTCATTGATCTTGCTGGTTCCGAGCTCCGTGTCTGTTGTGAGTTGCTTGTAGGCCAAGGCCAACACACGGGACCCCTTGCGAGTAAAGTACTTGAACGTCTCCTCGTAGTCGGCGGGAACATCAACCAACATCTTCATGATAGTCTCGGGCGCACCCTTGACACCAGCGAATGTTCCCTTGATCTTCTTACCAGTCTTTGTGTCGACACCGTGCACCATGGCGATAGAGCTCTGTCGCTTGAGGGCGGAGGAGAATTGGAAGCGGCGCTTGATGTGAACTGTTCCCTGAACACCGGTAGCCTTGACTGCGCTGTGAAGAGTGTCATTCTTGCCAAGAGACCAGCCAAGAGATCCGAGAGTTGCCTTTTCCATAGGGTCACCGACAATATCACCCTCATCTAGTCGAACCAATGCGTGGGCAGTAGCCAGGACGAGTTGAGTCTCGAGGGTTGTGTCCTTGACGGGGATCATGTTCGAGTGAGCACCGTTGGCTTCAGTCTTGTCGTGAAGTTCTGGGTGACCGAGACCAAGTCCGGCGATACCCTCGACAACCAAGTCTTCGCCGGTCAGGGTTCCAGTCTTGTCAAAGCAGGCGACGTCGATACGTCCTCCGAAGGGGATACGGAAAGGCTCAGTGCAGAAAATAGCATACTTGGCGAGGGCAGCCAAGCTCGTGTTGACCGCAAGGTTCAGCTCCATGGGTAGCTCAGGCGGAACGACACTGGTGACGATCAAAACGCAGTCGAGGAGCAGCTTGGATCGCTTGCGGTCCTTGCGGACACCCTCGTCCCAGACGTACCAAGAAGCAGCGATGGCGAATACCAAGAGGAACAGAATGAAGAACAGGGCCTCGAGATTTCCCGCTCCGACACGCTCGGTGGAATAGATCATGGTTCGCACAAGGCTGCCCTGGGACGTTTCGAAACCGGTCTTGATCACAATAGCCATTGCACCATTGTCGGGAGGAGTAGGAACACCGGAGGCACTCTTGGTCTTTTCTTGCTCAGCGTTGGCGTGGGTGATCTGGAGAACTTTGGTGCCTCCCCAGAGGAAAGAGTTCTTGTCCAGTCCTTCGGTATCAAGAGGGGCATCCTTGGGACGGAGTTGAACCGACTCCTTGAGCAGAGGCGTACTCTCTCCCGACAGCATAGCTTCGTTCACAATGGCAGTGCCCTCAACCAGAAGCATATCGCAAGCGACACCGCTATCCTCCTTGGTACGGCTAACCGAAACCAGGTCGCCAGGCAGGAGCTTGTCGCTCTGGACCTCGATCCACTTGCCCAAGCGAAACACCCACAGGTCATAAGGCTTGACACCCATTCCTCTGAACTCAATCAGAGTGCGCTGGCGTTGCCACACAACGGTGCTTTCGAACATGACCAACATAAACAGAGTGAAGAGCGAGTAGTACCAGTATTCATCAAGCATCCACAGACCAACGCAGAACACTTGGAAGACAAAGAAAGGAGCGACGGCGTGTTCTTGGAAGAGCTCGGTGAAGGAAGGCACGGGAATGTCGAAGGTGTTAATACCGTAGTGTTGTTCAATGCGAGACAATTCGACTTGAGTGTCGATACCCCGGGAGGTCTGGAAGTGGCCAATCGAAGGCTTGGGCTCGGCATCGATGGTGTACTTCAGGGTCGTGAAGACTTTGGTCTCGGGGTTGTATAGGAATCGTCTCTTCTGGAAGAGGAAGGAAAGATTTGTCTTCCCGCCGGCCTGGGTATTAGGTAGAGTTAGAAGTTGCTCCTCATGGATGAAATGTGCATTTGATGAGGGGATTGACTACCTTGTCACGAATAATTTTGCAGATCTCGCTGGACCCGGCATTGGCAATGGGGATAACCTTGATAAGGAGCGCATCTTCGATCTTTTCGACAGCGGAAGCCTTGAAGCGAGCCTCAAGATTGACGCTCCAGTGGGTGCTGAGCCAGAAGAGGGACTGGAAGGTGACGATGGTGCCGCACCAAACGAAGGTCCATTCTGAGCCACCAATATACTGATCGTAGAGGTCCTGGCTCAGGTAGTAGCGGAAGAAGATGGGCCAGACGATCGTGAAGGGCCAGATGTAGGTGTGGAGGAAGAAGGGCAGCGGGCGCAGAAGTTGCGATTCCTTGATCTGGGGGTTGTCGACCAAAGGCGACGCCGACCCTGGCGGAGGCGCCATGACTTGATTCTCGCAGACGTGTATCTCGAGACAACGAATGCCAAGGGAAGGACAGAACTAAGAGAAGAGAAAAGAGAGGAAAGAGGGGGATTGGGATGTTGAAGGCTCGCGCGTGGAGGCACGGTGGTTGCGGGGGGAAGCCAGCAATTGTGCCTGCGATCTGTACTTTTCTCTAATCTTCTAGGTCTGATGCGATCGATATTGCTGAGGTAATATGATTGTGACGTTTTTACTGGACCCGCGGCTTCCAGCAACTTCCCGCTCCGAGTCTTATCGAATTTCCTTATCTTATCTTTATCGATTAGATAGCCCCCAGATCTAGAACAAGCCTACCAAAGATGACTGAAGAAATGAGCCATCCAGTTGAGGAGCAGATGTGAGCAGAGCACTTGCTGCAAGAAAAGAAAAGACTAATAGAGAAAGGCAGCAAAAAGTCCATGATCTGATGTCTCGCTCCTTAAAGTCTGTTATTCGCTCTTTACATCGTAGGAACCATGAGCTAGACGTCCGGTGATAAACAGGCTCATTTTTAAGTGTTATAATTTTAATGTCACCAAGCGGCCAGCTTCTACTTCCACCAAAGTTGCTCGACTATGTAGTATAGTATTAATTATACGGCGCTGATACATCTATATACATCAAACTCGCATTATGAGAGATAATATGCGTTCTGCGGCGGAGAGTAGCTGACTATTGATGACGTGTATCGATGTTGTAAATCCATTGGTTGAGGAGGAACCTGTAACAACCTCGAAGGTCTCCACAGGCTGCCTCGATTTCTTCATGCTAGAAGAAGAATCGTAATTCTAATTACTTAGTCCCCTTGGGGACAATCGTAAATATTAAACCTAAGACCTTTTCGTTTAAACCACCCAAAAGTAGATTCTCCTTGTATACATCGTAGAAAAGGCTCCTCGTGCGTATCCTTGGCCTCCTAGAGAACTCATGTTGTGACTGAGCTCAGGCTGCACGGGCTGGCCTCGTCTCATCTGATTTAGTAGCGGAGGTTTCCTTGGGTACTTCTTATAGGAGTAGGTACTTGTATACTGGCTTGGCCTTGTCTGAAAAGACTTGACTCTCTTGAATGGTTCTGGCTAACACAGCCCAATATGTCTAGAAGAGAACACAAAGCTGAGCGAGATATCACCGTTGATATGTAGGCTCACTCGGGGCTAACTCGGACGGATATGGGTTTCTTGTGATGAACGACATTCCTTGTAACTCAGGTCGGGGAGGGAGTAACGGCCTGCCAGCCAGCTCCGATCCTTGAGGCCGGGCACCATCGTTTCCGAGCTCGGACCAATAACCACCATTATTGAGAGGCGAACTGGGCGGTACTGGTTGCATATTCTCGCAGCTTGTGTTGTACGGCGACGTTCCAGGATAACTCTGTTGCCACGCTTGGGAGGCAACCTGGCTCTGCCCATATGGCGATGTGTGTGGTTGAGCGAGCTCGCTCATATGCACGGCCTCTAGTGTTGAAGAATGCGAGTTTGACGGGGGAAAATCTGGCTTTGCTTGGTTCGCTTTTACTGCTGCCTCTCTCCTCTCCTCTGCCTCCCTTTTCCGACGACAGTAGAAAAAGATGGCGGCACCAATCAGAGCCAAGACCAAGAATCCAACTCCCCCCGCGACACCAGCAATCATCCCAATATTTGGTCCTGCCTCTGGTTTCCCATTCGCTGAATCTCCTGAAGGTTGTGACGTTGCTGAGCTGGTTCCGGCCGTCGATGTGGCTGTTGTAGCAATGAGGCTGCTCGAGGTTGCTTTTGCGCAATCCAGATTGGTTATGTTGGGAGGTGTCACTTTCCAATCTTTACAATAGCTGTCGATATACATTTTGGCAAAGGAGATACTGAAAGTGCCGCATGTCTTGCTTAAACAGCATACGCTGGTCAGGATATACTTTTCGTCTTTACACATGCAGCCGATATCCATGTCTTTGCATTCTGTATTGGTGTGCCCGCCACAGCTGTTCTGGCCTTTCTGTTAAAATTGATGGCATTTCAACCATGGACGGAGAGCCAACGTACCGGGCAGTCTGGCACCCAGCTATACTCCATATCTGTGGATTGTGTCTCGCTCTTTGTGGACAAGTTTTACACCGTGTCTTGTGAATAGGTTCCAGAATACAAAGAGTGACGGCATGACCAAGACCCAGAAACGAGAAGGGGGGAACAACGTTTTGAGGACTCGATGTGCAAGCACAGGATTCAGAGCTTAGTTCAGCTTTGGACATGGATGTATGCATGCTTCATGCCAGGGGCAAGACTTCTCCTGCAGCTGAGCACTTAGCTGCAAGTAATTTGATTAAGATGTGGTTTAGTCCTCTTTGTGATAGGCTGAAATGTGGTTCTCCCCTGCATTTTCCGCGTTGAGTGGGATCGCCATCGACCGTATTTCGTCGTATTTTGTCACTAAAAAATCACCCGCCTACCGCATTGCAAACCGCATTTGGTATAGGTGGAGTAAGTTCCCATGCAAAAGTCCGTTAAATGCTCGATTGCGGTAGCATGTTGGTCTGATGGTTAAAATAGTCGGCATGTGATGGGAGGGTTTGAGGGATTCGTCCCGCGAGAGCTTCTCCACAGGGCTGAGTGAAATAAAAAAGGTCTCTATTTTAGCCTGTTTCGCATTTCCAGTCCAAACTAGAAGCCTCATAAGCGTATCTTTTAGATCCCGGCGGGAAAGCACCTTATTTGCCTTGGTAATGTGACTTGAGAAGCAACACTCTGATGGCTCAGTCTGAGTCGGAACAAGAGTTAGCCCGAGTCACCTCGTACGTGATATAAATTTCCTTGCAGCAACGCACAGTATAATTCACCTCATATCATCAGAGAAGTAGCTGCTGCAGTTTTATGTATTTGGTGGTTGATGGGTACCACCGTTGCCTTTGTGCTCCGTGCATAGAGACTAATGTCAATAACAATAGAAGCGCTCACATATTTACATCGATCGCTACCGAGATAAGGGAAAACCAGAATTATTATCATGAAATGCAGCCATCGAAGAAAGGCGTATTAATCAATAAGAAATAGTCTGTCATCGCCCTAGTCACGTTGCCTGCTCCCTTTCGAGTTAAGAAATTTTCAGATAGGAAAGTGGTCATTGCTAGCAAGGGAGCTGCAATGGTAAGTACCTTGCTCTCGTTCTGACCGCTTTTGTTTATTTGTTGTCAAAGCTTGTTTTGCTTTGCTTGAGTTTCTTACACTTCTGGATAGCTCTTCTGTTACCTATTCTCAATGGTGAGCTTTCAGTGAGCTTTGCTCATTTCCACATATGACCTTATCCCCTTACATATCTCCCGATCCCTAACAAGGATATTATACACAAAGGAAAGTTATTGGCTTCTTATTCCTATAGGAAACCCTTAACTAAGGCCTGTCTTAGAGTTGACTTGGCTAGCCCCTAAGAACTCGTTTACTTCTGCTCTCGAAGCACTTCAGTCAATTTGACCGGTAGAGCACCCTTCTCCCACAAAATGAAAGCCTTTTGCTTGTTCCATTCCTCACTCCCTGGCAGCATCTCCACATCAAACTTCCAAAGCAATCGCACAAGGAGGAGACGCATTTCAGCATAGGCAAGGCTGTATGAGAAAGTTAGTCAATGAAGCAATCCATCAAACAGATTCAGGGAAGGCACTTACTTTTTTCCAATGCAGTTGCGTGGCCCCAAAGAGAAAGGCTGAAGTGCCGCCTTGGAGTCATCTTTGTAGAGGGGATCATCGAGCCACCTTTCTGGGACGAACGACTCTGGGTCTGCGAAGTTGTGAGATGTCCGGAATGCAGTCCAGTGAGGTACTGCGACACAAGTCTATTCGTCCCATGCGTTAGTTCGAGATTCAAGCTGAGTTGGATTAGCACCCACCTTCTCTGGTAGATAATAGCCATCGATGATTTCGCCACCGGCTGGGACAATACGGGCAAGACCCATTGGTACAGGGGGATCTGCATATGTGGTAAATTAGTTGATTGTGCCTAAAAGCACTTGAATCCCACACAGCGCCAACTTACACACGCGCATCGCCTCATTGAAGACTGCAATGAGATACGAAAGTTTGTTGACTCTGGAGAGAGTTATCTCTTCCTCTGAATCAAATTCGGAGCGAATTTCCTGCGTGAGTTTGTGGTACTTGGGAGGGTTGGTAAGGAGATGGAACACGGTGCCGCTTAACAATGTAGCGGTTGTCTCGCTCCCGGCCACAATGATGATAGTAGCATTTTCCGCCATCTCCAGTACTGACATGCCTTTCTCATCATTATGGCGGAGAATATAGGACATAAAGTCAGCCCTGTCTAGGTTATTTCTCTCTATGCGCTTCATAGTGGCCGATTTGCTCAGCTGATAGTGTTCCTCGGCACTCTTCTTCAAATGGTCTGGCGTTAGATACGACATAGCGAATGTGAGGTTAAGGCGTATTGCTGCCTCTTTGAACGGCATGACCTTCATGTTTTCGAATATCATCCGGACCCAGGGATGGTAGTTCCCGTTATCGAGCCCCCCGAAAGATTGTCCAAATGCCAAGTCACCGATCAAATCAAAGGTCGCAAAGTTGAACCAACTAACCATGTCTATGGTATTTCCTGCCGTCGCCTGGTCGCTTAATTGACTGATGAACGTATCCACATAATGCTGAATTATGTCACCCTGTTCTCGTAGTGCTTTCTCAGAAAAGGCATGAGACAAGAGCTTCCGGAACCGTCTATGTTCCTCGTTATTCGCGGTGATGATATGGGACTCTGGCCTTCTCTTCTTATACATCCTAGGATCTTTTTCGAACGTCCTTTCTGTTGCTAGTTTGCTGCCATAAATCTTCTTGAGAGCTTCGGCAGACGTGAATGCAACGTCGTTGGGTCCATACCTCACTACTGGGCCATACCGCTTATGAAGCTCAGCGAGAGTGGTGTGCCAGTCGCCTTTGGTAATGTGGTAAACATACGGCAATTGTGAGATTGCATGGATCTTGGGGCCGGGTATTTTTGCTAAGGGATGGAGGAATAAACTATAAAGACTATAGAGGATGTAATATAAGAGTATCTATCAGAGATTGTCAGCAATTTCCCAGCTTTTGCGACATCTGTATCGTTTAACGAGGGATCAAAAGGCAGGACTTACCAACGCAATGACTAATATTGTGGTTTCCGCCGCGATAATCGCGCTTGACTTTGTCGTCTGGAGCACAGCAAACATGACCATTTTTGGGTATTGAGATGCCGGGCACGACGACTGTGACGTGGTGAGAGGCCGCGATCGCTGCCGGTTGATGAAGGTTGGGGCCCTAGCTACTTGTATACCAACATTTCAACAGTAACTTCTTAGCAGGAGGGCAGGGGTCGCGTTTGTTCGGCATTTGTTCACATGATAACTTGAAAAAAAAATCCACACTTAGGCCGACTACACTGCAGGGATTGAATCATATTGGAACATGGAGGTCCCGCGTTGTACGGAGGGAGCTTGTTTCCGGCCAATGGAGCAACATCCTAGGATGTCAGACGTTTCATTTGAAACTCAACTTCCGTTTACATCTAAGTTGCTTACTACCGGGAGCCTACCCATTGGTAGGATGATCGTTGGGTTCCCACTTGGCGAACGGAACGTCTCCGCCCTCGGCAGTTGTCGCCCTGGTCCGCAATTCGGGTATTACTAGGTATTCAAGGCCGAATGGTCTCTTATCTTCCCCGCTCTCGTTAGGTTGAGAATCCCTCGATCTACTCAGGAATGGTTCTGATCCTTTTGGGGGAGCTCGCACAAGTGCATCTTCAGGGCTCACAAAGTTTAGATTGGAAAACCCTTCTCGAAATCAGACAGAAACGGGTTCCATTTATAGTATTTGGCCGAAAGATTGAGCTCAAGTGTTGCTACATTCCTATGTCCGTAAACCCCAGTGATGTTAATCACAAGATGTCGAGCAGACCTCCCAACTCAATGATCGACATTGAATACTGGGGAAGGCTAAACATTTTCGAATAACCCAATTCAAAGACTAGTTGTTACGGCTTTCAGACTCAAACCAATTGCTCAAAATTAAATCCTCAGGTTCTGGTTGATCCTGGCTGCCCTCACCCTAACACATAGTCCCATCAATTTCAGATACCGGGCGTACCGCTCGGTTCCAACCACATATGGGTTTGGTAGTGAGCATGTACGTCCATTGCATTGACGGTTGGCGAGCACATCAAAGTGCTGTAGAGAATGATCCTGCGTCTGGTGGTTGCTGAGAAGTACGTCGACACCCACCTTCTGCGCAATATCAGCAAACTTGTTGAAAGACTCGATCTGCGTAGCCTTGTCTTCTGCGGAAGTAGGGATACCTCCTCCTCCATAAAGGCCGGCTAAGTGAAGCTCTCCTCGGTCATATACAGGGATCAACAGCGAGACTGTTCCAGGCGTGTGGCCAGGAGTTTTGTGGGTGACGATGGTTGTATTTCCGATGGTAAGCTTGCCTCCATCTGTCAAGATGTATTCCTTCTTTGGCGTGCCGGCAATCTTGGCTAACTCATCCCAACACTCCTCTGTTGCGTAGACAGGAATTCCGTACGTCTCCTGGAGCCAGCCAGCGCCCCCGAAATGGTCCACATGCTCGTGTGTAATGACCAAAGCCTTCACGTCTGAGCCATCATATCCAAAATTCTGGAGGCCAGGGATGATGATTCTCTCCGCTTCATCTGGATTCCAAAGAGCATCAATCAAGATGAGGCCATCGCCGGTATCAATCGCCCACGAGGAGACACCGGAAGACCCAACAAAGAAAACTGAATCAAATGGCCGGCTAGGGGCAATGAACCCATCCAACTGCGCGGCACTGCCAATCTCGGGATATTTCTGAGCCGAGTTGATGCACCGGTGTTGGTAGTCAGCCCACAGATCAGTGCCGGCAAGTTTTTGAGCCTCAGCCTGCCAGCGCGACAGGTTGGCGGTTTGGGCGTCAGGGAACTCTGTGATGGGGAACCATGTTGAGAAGTTTGTGCTTCCTATCTCATTGGACTGGCCCAAGGCAGATGAGACTCCATAGAGACCTAATATTAGCTTCGAAATGGTGTTGGAGCCTAGGAGAGAGAGTTTGATCATCTTGGAAGAGGAAAGATGTTAATATAATCATTGAGCAGCTGCTTAAGAGTTAGAAGAACGAACTGATCATCGCTCAGCTATATATTCAGAACCGTCCCCATTTCCCCGCTTCATCGTGTCACCTCAGACTGATCGCCGCCACGGATATGCCTTATTGCGCCAGGAGCACGCACAAAGCACATGAGGGGTTTGGAAGCGGGTAGCATGTTCCGTGGTCTCTGTAGAAACCCCACGGGGAAATTGAGCCTATACGCTATTACCGCACAGTTGGTGACCATCAATCCACCTTCCTAAAAAGTTAATAACATGATTGGAAATGTTATTGACCGTCGGACTGCCGCCGAAAAACAAAAAGGATCGGAACGGTGACCATTTTCGCTTTTCCGGCGTTCGGGTTTTTCTCCTCACACCCCTTTTGGAAACGAGTGGAACCGACAGGAAGATCCCATCCATCTACGCCATGAGCATCTCCAGTTCTCCAGTATCGGAGTACTGAGTATATGCTCTGACCTCCTACAAGCTTTGGCCTTGGTACGTACATACGGGTAGTGACCTGACTTTGAATCAGACTTAGAACGTTAGTTGGCCCATTGCCTGATTTAGTTACAGAGTGCAAAAGTGTGTATATGCCTACCATCCGTGTGACCACGGGTAGCTCCGATGGTGCTTAATCGTCGGGCGAGAAAGGGGGAACCTTAAATTTAAGCATTGGGGACCTCTTGGTTGGATTGGTTGTGTTGTAGATGGCCGGAGTCACCGATTTCCATCTGTGTTCCTGCTGCATTAGTCTGAACCATGTTCCTCTTTTCTTTCTCGCCGGAGCAGCTCAGTTAAAATGATGTCATTTGACACACAAGATGGAAGAAGGAGAAGGATCTGGTTTCATAAGCTGTAAATATCATCAAATATTGGGGGTTGACTATATCATTATTTCCCTTTTGTTGATTGGAGCTGCCAGTTCATACGGCATCCCTGGGCCTCTTAAGTTGGCTTATCGCCACCTTCGTGTTCTTAAATACAAGATAGCGGCACTTCCAATTAAACTTTAATCAGAATGAATTGAACCCTTTTTAATGTTTCTTTGGCCAAATAACTCGGAAAGCTTCATCTTGTTCGCCACTGGGCATCAGACAGCTGCTACTGTGAGCTCATGGAAAGTATGATAAAGCCACGATCGTATGACAATAAGCATCGATGAGTTTTTAGAAGGCTTCATGGGTATAAGTAGACATACATGCCCCCATTATGATCCATCAGGATAAGAGTCATAAATCATCGCCCATCAATAGCAACACCACCGAAACCCCAAGTCATCAAACGAGGCAGGATTTGTTTACGATGCTACCGAGGTGGAACCTTGATAATCACAAGAAATGCCTGCCAACTTACCCTGATATTCAATTGGCCGCTGAGACAGAGGCCTATTGGGAAAAGATGCGCCCTTATAATTGGGACGATATGCACCTTTTCGATCATGCTCATCCATCCGAAAATTCCAGCCTTATTCTCGAATTCAAACCCAAGACAGGCCTGAAAAGGCTCTTCAGTGACGAGAGAGGGTCATCTCACTGGCACGCAATGATGAGGATCAAGGCAAAGAACGTGCCACGATTGATGCGGGATGGTTTCTTCCAGTTGTCACCGAAGAATTATTGTGAGGGCAGTTCTGCACTCCGACTGGACGATGCTGTATGGCCTAAACGGCTTGGCTGCGATGACTCTTGGAGACAGACCAGAACTTACGCGTTTAAAGATGAAGGAGACGACCCTGAATGGCACGCTATACTGGCTGTGGTCTCAAAGGAGCGTTTTACAATTGTGAATTTCGACCTGGGAATGATTACGCCTGAGACGATAAATATGGTCAAGGCATATAACTGGAAGGGGGAACAGGTCTACGAGGCCAATCCGTCACGACCCCGCGAGAACTTCAATCTCATCTACCCAAATGTGGTTTTGGGCGGGTGGTGGGGCGGGCCCCAGACGACTCCAACCCAGACACCGGCTGTACTGGACAACTGTACGGAGAAGTTGCATGAGAAGGCCGATGAGAAAGCCGAGGGAAAGTGGTAGGGGTTTATAATCACTTTGATAAGGGAAACAGACAAGTGAACGTCCAAATGTAGGGGGGACCAACATGACGCCCCTGGGTCTGACGTGAAATCAGTTATTGAGAATTTATCGTGGCATCTGCAAACAAACAATGAGCTCTTACATGCATACGTCCGTGATATCTAACTGCTTGCTCAGCCAGTAGCTTTAATCTTATGCTAGAATTCCAACTCGTCTTACTCGATAAGAGCCTACATAGGAGTATTGGTAGAAGTATACAACCTACACATTCTTGGCAATAAGCCGCCATATAACGAGCGCTTGGCATTAGCTTACTTTGAAGACGTCTGGGTTCCTGCCCAGACTAGATACAAACAACTAGAATTGCAAGTCCACCATATCAATCCCCGGATCTGACTCCACCAGTCATCTTCAACAAAGACGTAAACCAGACCGTATGCGACCCTTGCTACAGAGTACACGGAGCAGGCAACGGCAATGGAAGTCGTGGGAACCTCTGCCACAGTTGCAAATATGACTGTTTGCGAAAAATCAGCTCTTGACCTTGAAATGATACTCTACCGGAGAAAGGGCCGTTCCTAATCTCTTACCTGACAACCCAAAGAAGGCGTAGCCGTCGATCGAGTTGGCGCTTGCGGCCTCAAGCCGTTGAATCCTCCCCAGTTGTGCTCTGGTCAACTTCCCCTCACGGACAGCAGCTTCTCCGAATTTCGCCAAATCCTCGCGTGGACTGCCTTGGTGGTCAAGCCCATACCACTGCTTGGGCGTGCGACTGGAGAGCATGAGGTACGCGTATGCCCATCCCCAGGTCAGAAACGCCGCTGGGACGGCGAAGCGGTTTGACGTGGAATAAAGGCCGATTTGAAACATTTTATCGATTGAATGGATGTGTGAGATTTCCAGGTACGGAGCAGTGACTGGAGAGTTCGATCGTGAGGTTTTGAGTCGGGGATTGCGGATTTAACATGGGGGATTGATGGACTCTGCATGAGCTTACGCAGGATCCGAGCTTGTTGAGATCCGAATACCCGCGAATTTATTATTATTAGAACCCGTTTCTCGGACTTGGAATGGTCCTCGCTTGAGGCCGATGCATATCATGTTTATAGGTGGCCTGCCCTGAATGGCTGTAGGTGGCCGGTATCCAATCGTTATCAACACTGTATTACAGCGGTGACAGTGACCATCACCCACTAACTCGCTAAAGTCAGTGGGCACTGGGCAGAGTGATCCATTGGCCTCAATGATTGATCTTCGAATAGCGACCAATCATCGGCTGTGAATGTTTGTTCCATCTAGCAACACTCTATTTATTAATCACCTTGTCTCGGCAAACACTGCTTACATATCTGATGAGATGAGCCTCGGCATCTGGCTAAGCTCTGAAGCAGCTCCACCCCCGTCTTGAGCTTCTTCCTCATGCAGTATGACGACCGACGCTACTGCAACGGCACCCCGGAGGATTTGCAATCGCCGCCCCCGACATCTTTCATACAAAACCTTCTCTCTCCAACAACCAATTGATCTGTATCACATTTCACATAATGGCACGCGACAACCTCTCCATCCACCTGGCCGAGCGCCCCAAGGGCGACATCATTCCCGGCACCACTTTCTCCCAGAAAAGGACCCCGATCCCATCGCCCGCCGACCTCAAAGATGGCGAGATCCTCGTCGAGACCCTCTACCTGTCCCTCGATCCCGCAATGCGCACCTACTTGAACCGTACGTAGACAACCACTGCGCTGAGATTCGATCGAATGAGCTGACCGAAACAGCCGGCGGATCCTACATGGCTCCCGTCCCCGTCGGCGGCATCATGCGAGGAATGACCGTCTGCCGCGTCCTCGCCTCCAAGTCCAAGCGCGCAGCCGCCGGCGACTTCGTATCAGGCAACACCGGCTGGACCGAGCACGCCGTCCTCGGCGAGAAGGACTTTGAGCCCACCTCGCGCTTCCCCGGCCTGCGCGACCCCCAGGACATGCTCTCCGTCCTGGGCCCGACCGGCGTCACCGCCTGGTACGGCATGACGCAGATTGGCGACCCCAAGCCCGGCGAGCTAGTCGTCGTGTCTGGTGCTGCCGGGGCAACGGGCAGTGTGGCTGGCCAGATTGCCAAGATCCGCGGCGCGACTGTCGTGGGCATTGCCGGGAGCGACGATAAGTGCCGCTGGTTGGTGGAGGATCTTGGGTTCGATGTGGCTCTGAACTACAAGGCTGCCGACTTCAAGAGCAAGTTCAAGGAGGCTACCAAGAAGAAAATCGACGTCTACTTTGACAACGGTAAGTCGATCTGTCCTTTCATCCACACTCCGTCTTTCACGCTGACGCAATATCTACCGCCTAGTTGGAGGACAGATTCTGGACATGTGCCTTGCGCGGGCCAAGGAGCATGCCCGATTCGTGGAATGCGGTGTCATCAGCCAGTACAACACACGGGATCACCACGGCCTGAGGAATATCGCCAACGTGGTGAGCCTGCGTATCCACATGCAGGGCTTCATCATCTTCGACCAGCTCAAGTACTTCCCCCAGGCCCGATCCGACCTGAGCAAGTGGGTGGCCGAGGGCAAGCTGAAGAAGAACGAGACCATCATCCAAGGCGGGCTGGCGAAGGCTGAGCAGGGACTGGTCGATCTCTACAAGGGCATCAACACGGGTAAATTGCTGGTCGAGATCAAGAACCCTAATGCGGTTGCGCCGAAGCTGTAGATGGGGCATTAGTCGTTTTTAGTCCCTGTGTACCTAGTTGACGAATGTATTGATACCAAATTTCTAAGCTCGCTACGGCTTATATACCGGCGTGAGGGAACTTGCTACATCTAAGTTCGACTCTACAAAAGGAGGCTTTTTTAACATGAAATGACTCCGAATAGTGTTTCAGGAATCCAACTTGAGTCCTTCATCTCAATAGTTCATAATTATACGATCCGGAAATGTGAGTGGTTTGACTCGTTTGAATTCGTTATCTGATTAAATTCGTCATCTGATTATTCATTACCCCATTCATTCCTTCCACTGAAGCACAATGCCTCACCAGAAACCAATTATAGTAGACCAACGGCAATAATACCAGCAGCCAGAGCCGCACCGATGATAGAGATCGAGATCGAGACTTGGGCAGCAGTACCCTTATCACTGTCCTTGTCGCCGCTGTTGTTGCTGTTGCTCGAGGTAGGGCGAGCAGTCGACGTCGCCCACAGGTACTCGTCACAAGTCGAGGTAATACCGGAGAGGTCGACGTTAGAATCCTCGCCGATCTTGATGAGGTCATCCGCGCAGGCGGAGACGTACTTCCCGAGCTCGCTCCTGTGCTTGGAGTGCCAGCTGGACCGGGCGGACATGTAGGAGGTGAACTGGCTGGCCATGCTGTCCGTGACCCAGGGGATCTCGCAGTCGGAGAGTGTGGCCCATTGCGTCTGCGAGGCGGCGTACTTGATGAGGGAGGAAGGGGGGGTGGGCACTTGCTTCAGGATGTGGCGAAGATCCTTCACGACGGAGGTGCACTTTTTACTCAGCTCTGCGCGTTCTTCAAGGAGACCGGTGGGTTCGGCTAGAGAAGCGCACACTGTAGAGGCAGCAGCGGCCAGTATAAAAGTAATCTTTTGGAAGAGCATTTTGTTCGATGCGAGGGCGGGCTAGACAATGAAGTGTCGGGTCACGATAGTGGGTTGGACTTGGAGAGTGGGTGAACAGACTTTGGGTAGAGAACACGGAAAGAATGATACGTCTATATATAATAGAGATACAACAAAACTCGACAACGGCAAATGAGCCACGAGAGTCCTTGCCTATCCTGTGGGATCAAAGCTCTTCAGTGGCGAGCATGGATGGGCTATACGCCTAGTCGAAACCGGCAGTCCACCCAGACTTTTGGCAAGCATACCAAAGTTCCTTCAAATGCTTATGCCGCTAAACTCCCCATTAATTAAACATGCAGACAATGTTAATAAAGCCTCGTTAACTGGTAGGGTAGCGACCCCTGCTCACACCATTATCTGAGTTATCAGTGGTTGCATATCGAAGCGAGTAAGGACTGAATCAAAGTTCTTCGGTACAACGTCGCACACGATGGCTTACTTGATTTGATGCCTGAATAGATATATGGAGGTTCGGGCATTGTCATGCTAGTAACCTGCCCGGGTGGAGGCTGAGCCATGACAGGATGCAACCTCAAGCTCATCTAGACCCAGCCGTCAGCCCTATGTATAGGCGCAGGGGATGAAATGACTAGAACCAGATTTGGAAGATTCTTTATTTTTTATTCTGGGATGAAAACTCCTTCAGTACGCTGTTGGATGCGAAACAACACGCGACCCTTGTGCCAGTGGATCCTTTATGCAGCCCTCGTGTAGCCTTTTTGCCTGCATTGGCGTCATCACGCGGAGGGAAAGGGTCAGTATCGAATATAGATAGAGAAGTACAGGGGATTTGTAAAACGACAAAGAGCTCCCCCCTGCACACATACATGGCGTTATCGAACGTGTTTCGTGAAGAATTTTTCGCGCGCTGTCATGGTCGTAATGTTAGGCGTAGGAGGATACTAACATTGATGCACTTTGGTCTTGGCGAAATTTCTTTCCATTCTATTGAGAAGATAATAAATAGAGGATATAGAGAGAGGGCATGAGGATACCTAGAGAGGGAGTTAGTCGGGATGTCAGTCCCTCAAAGGATGGTGCTGAGATTTATGGTTTTGCTTGGTCTTCCGGAGAGCTCAGAGGATTTCTATCTAACTTCCACGTACAAAAAATTAGGAACTCATCTCTAAAAACTTGAGAGGGCAAACCTAGAATATCCCACGGAATTATACAAAGACTCCAGCCCGCTGTTCGAATTCTATTGTGGCTGTCTAATCAGGCAGTCGAGAAAATTTACGTTCGGGAAAGAGGCTCGATTAGGTACTACTATTAAATAAGGGGGCCACTCATCAAATTAGCCATTTGACAGGAAACTATAATCAATCTTGATATGAAAAGAAATTTCCACGTTTCCCTTTCTACCTCAACCGCTCGGGGGCTAGAGAATGCGACCAAGACGGGCCCTACCCTATAGCCATTTTCAGAGCTCTTTATAAATTGAAATATGCCTTGAACAACCTTCTTTTGTTAGAGAATATTGATATATAGAGATTTTTCCCCCATGGGAAAGTCTTTTTCTTTGCTTCCTCCTCTACTATTGGAAAAGAATCCTACGTCTTGAATGTGATCGACGGAGTATCCCCAGTTGCGCTTAAGCTAGAAGAACGAGTATATAGTCACTGTTCATGCCTCAACCTTGATCTCAAGACACCTCTCTATTAAGAGTTAAGACCGATGCCATCTCCTCATGATAAATGATGTGTTGTACATGATGTCACATTAACCATGCGCCTTGTGACAGTTTCCATTCCTGTCTCTCCCGAGCGAACCACTCTAGCCAACCTCCAATAAGTGAGTGACAGCGTCGGTAGTGGATCGTCCGGGGCCAAAGGGTCAACACCACTAGGATTGACCATTGCCTGGTCCACTTCTATCGCCAATCCGCTCCTACTTGGGCTTTACTATAAGGGGTAAGGCGCAGATCTAATAGCCCCCTGACTAGCTGGCGGTTAGAGAACTGCCAGAGTGGCTTAAAACTACTCATAACAATGGGTGCAAAAAGGGGGAGACTGTGGGTTGCGCTCGTTACATGGTGTATAAACCGACGGAACATATCTCAGCAAGAAAGATTGCCAGCGCCCAAATTGTAGAACTGACAAAATTCCAAAATCAAATGAGGCTATCCACGTCCTTTTAACACTGCCAAGTAACACGGTTTATCCCACAAGGGTTCAAGTATTTGGAGGGATTTCTCTACAGGTAACAGCCTAGCTTCGAACTTCGAACCAACCCAACATTAAAGGCTCCGAACGATATTTGAAACACTCCTCTTCTACTGGCCTACCCTATGTTCTAGACAAAGAGAAAACCGGGCCCCGAGGGCACCGACAGAGCCACAGATCAGAATCCTGAATCCTGATTGCTTGTCCCTCGGCTTCACCGCCGTTTACTGTACCCGCGTAAATCTGTCCTCAAAAGGCACTGTATCCATCCGATAGACTAAAAACCCTCCGCTCCAGCCACGGCAAGGAATTATGGCGCTGTAGCTAATGTAGTTGCCTGCCAACTGTTGAGCTCGTCACGTGGCCCGCCATCGCACAAAAATTAGCTATTAATCCACCACGTCTACGGTCAGGGGCAGCTCCGTCGCATCTCCTCACCACCTCACCCTTGAAAACCTCTACACAGCGGATCATTCCGATCCCGGGGCTTTCCAAGATGGCGGAGAAGAACATTCCCAAAGGAACGCAGTTCATCAGCGACATCAAGTATATTACCACGCCGCCTGCTGCTCCCGCTGCCTTTGCAACGGGCCAAGACTGCGGAGTCCCCCTCACCAACGTAAGCGCCCACCCAAACCCCTACTCAATCGATCAATTGAGCCATGGGCACCACTCAAGGTGAGAAAAAGATGCTGACATTCATTTATCTATAGTCTGCAGCTATCCCCAACCCCCCATTGCCCGCTGATGGCCCTGGACGCGCTCACTTCTCCAACGCCAAGTTGGCATCTCTGCTCATTGGAATCCCCACCGCCATCACCATCCTCATCGGTGGCGGGGCATTGACTGGCCTGCTTATCGGGCTGCTCACTTTCTTCCCCATCCTCATCTCCTTCTGGACATGGGTCTCCCGATCCAGCCCCCGCATCAACGAGAAGGCCAAGCTCCCCGGCCGCCCTGTTGAGCATTACATCTCCTTCAAAAACCCCTCCGACCAGGCCAAATGGAAGGGAGACAACAAGATCCCCATGTCTCTGTTCGCCAGGAAGTACCTCGACGGAAGCGCCTCTTTCAACGGCGATGTCCTCGAGATCCTTGAGTACCGCCACGACTGGGCCGACTTCCGCTTCACCTGGTACACCTTCAAGTTTCTGCTCTGCAACTTCTTCCCCGATGTCTTCTTCCACACCAGGGCGCAGGACCTGGACCAGATTCGCCCAACATACGATAAGGGTAATGACCACTATGCCTTCTTCCTTGGCCCCCGCATGGTGTACACCAGTGGTCTCATCTCTGACACCACCCGCGAGGAGACCCTCGAGGAGATGCAGGATAACAAGATGGCCGTCGTGTGCGAGAAGATCGGACTCAAGGAAGGTGAGAAGCTTCTCGACATTGGTTGTGGCTGGGGTACCCTCGCCAAGTTTGCTAGCGTAAACTACGGAGCTCAAGCTACTGGTCTGACCATCGCCGAACACCAGGCCGCTTGGGGTAACGATGTCCTTCGCAAGGCCGGCGTTCCCTCATCGCAGAGCAACATCCTGTGCCTTGACTACCGTGATGTCCCTAAGGATACTAAGTACGACAAGATCACCCAGCTGGAGATGGGAGAGCACGTCGGTGTCAAGAAGCTCACTGCCTTCTTCCGCCAGTGTGGAGACCTGCTCAAGGATGACGGTGTTATGTATGTACAGCTCTCTGGTCTGAGACAGGAATGGCAGTACGAGGACTTCATCTGGGGTCTGTACTTGAACGAACACATCTTCCCCGGTGCTGATGCCTCTACCCCTCTTTGGAACTATGTTCGATCCCTGGAAATGGGAGGATTTGAGGTCAAGAGGTAAGTTTGACCTGGATACACCGAAGACAAATTTCCGTGCTAACGATTAGCAGTATTGATACTGTCGGTGTCCACTACTCCGCCACCATCTGGCGATGGTACCGCAACTGGGTTGGAAACAAGGAGACCATCAGAGCCAAGTTTGGCGAGACATGGTACCGGGTGAGTTTGCGTGAAGCACATGGCTCGCGAGAATATTGCTAATGATGATACTAGACTTGGGAGCTTTTCCTGGCTTGGTCCAGCATCGCATCTCGCCAGGGCAGCGCCACCTGCTTCCAGTTCGTCGCGGTCAAGAACCTCAACTCGACCCACCGCATCAACGGAGTCCCCACGCAATACGGTCTTCACGGTGCTTTGGCCGCAAGCAAGGAGAAGGCCAAGTCGAAGCTGCAGTAAATTTGGTGGATTTGTTTGATGGGGATGCCTGGAATGATGCCGTGTCCAGGGCTGGGTCTCTGCCGCCCATATTATTAAGGCCGGGATGGACCCAGTATGCTAGGGAGGATGTCGACGAGTTGGTTAGGCAGCATCGATACGATCGAGAGAATGGAGATGTCGAGTTGGGATCTCAGTGTTAATCCCTTCAACCGAATTGTGCCCTTGAAGTGATAACAACACTGTGCCTTTAATCAAGCACTTCCCCGGATGCCGTCCGTTTCCGACTAAGCGCCCAGTCAACAAGCAGGTCCGGGTTCTCCTCCAGCTCCTTATAGCCCTCCATGTGAAACCTCCAATGTGCTTCATTCTCCTCAAACTGTCTCAATTTCATCTCCACAAAGTCAACCTCCTCCTGCTTCTGCGCAAGCTTAGGATCCTGCATCTTCATCCTCTCCCACATCTCCGCCGTTTGGTAGTGCTGTAGCCGGAACAGGGCAATGTCATGATATCCCCAGGGGGCGTACATGCGTCTATTCGGCATCCTCTCGATATCTTGCGTCAACTTCCTAACCTCCTTTTTGAAACCGACACACTTCTGCCGCTTGAGGAAGTTCTCCGCCCAATATGGAGACAGCTGGCACTCGACTCTCCATTGCTGCAGTATCCACGAAAACTGTATCCACTCCCAAAGCTCCTTTGCCAGCTTCTCCCGCCCGTGCATCTTGAGAAAGCATCGGTTACAACGCACATCATCAAGCTGGATCCGCTTGCTATCCCCATGCAGACTCGTCCAAAACTCCAGCTCACCATTCCCATCATGGCTCGGCTTCCAATTCACAAACATGCCCCCGAAGCGAAACGACCTCAGCTCCTGCCACGCCTCGCACCCCGGGCACCGAACCATGTACATGGCCCACGGCTCGTCGACGGCGTCCTCGCGCTGGATCCGCATCACCCGCGGCGGGAAGGACGGCTTCTTGTGCGTGAGGAAGTCGGACAGGTGCGGGAAGTAGCGGTCCAGGGGCGAGTCAAAGGTCACCTCGCGGCTGCGCAGGATGGGCACCTTGCGCGTGCCGCCCATGACGCCGCCCCAGTGGGACATCTGGGGACCGAGCTGGCCGGCCTGGAAGCGGCACTCGTTGCAGCGGCGCTGCTGGCGGTGGTAGCCGCAAATCTCGTGGTTGCGTCTCAGTACGCTGGCGCCGTCTGTTGGTGTTGGGCCCTGGAGTTTGCGCTTCTCGCGATGGGCTTGTCTTGCTTCACGTCCGTGGTTTCTACCGTGCATAGAGGGTACCCAGGACGTGAGGGCGTCTCTGACAGCTGGTGAGCCGGGGATTGGCTTGCGGTACGGCAGACGCAGGAGGGAGTGGTTGTCGAAATCAGTGTGTGGGAGGAAGCGTAGACAGGCACCGCAGAGCCAGCGATGAGCTTGCCATTGGGACAGCTGCCAGTTGGGCTCGATGTAGCCGTCCGAGAAGAGGCGGTAGATCATCGTGCCGCCGCCATACTTTTCGCGGCACTCAACCGAGAGTAGCCACTCTCTCCATTCATTTCGTCCCGGGCTGATTAGATATCGGAAGTGCTGGTTACTTTGGCTCAGGGAGATGAGGCCAATTGGGTCCAGTAAGCAGATGATTTGATACTGGAGCTCGACTGGGAGGATCGACAAAGGGGAATTGGCTCTCTCTTCCATTCTGTCTCTCAGTGTCCCAGTGTTCTGCTTGCTTGTTGTTGTCAAGAACTGGGCGTATTGCGCCAGAAGTAAGCTCGACAGAAGGCCAAAATCGGAATCTAAATATAGGCCCGTATCTATTTCGTACACTGAGATGTGGCGAGTCGATTATTAACTTCCTGGCATGGCTTAGGCTGATGATTTGCGACGAGCCACTGAACGCTACCCTTGTCTCTGCGCCGCCTGAGTCAGAACGAGAATAAGCAGAGCAAGTGCTTACCGTCCTCATGCCCCATAAATGTCATTTCTCTGCTTCTAACGCTAGGATAATAGTTTAGTAAACAGGCAGCAGGATTAATAAACCCCGAAGAGCTGGGGCCAAAGCGTCTGTTCAGTTTAGGTTCGCCGTCTATCTATCTTGGACCAGGATGTTTGACAGTTTGACGGCCTCCCTAAAATAAGTACTGCCGGCGGGAAGTTCTTTGGTCCGGCGCGAACATCTTTCATTCGCTGCGGGCTCTTTCTCGGCTGTTTCCTGTTGCGTTGCGTCGCCATGCAAATCTGCCTCCCGGCTCATCCCTGATATTTTGAGAATTGTTGGGAGTGGTCCCCACGGCGCGCGGTTCGGGGCAGACCGTATACTGCTATTTGATCTGGCATTGGCCCGGAATTTGATGACTGTGGCTCTCTGCGCGCGGCAAATTTCAAAGAGCCAACCCCTGAGTTGCATTTCCCCTCATGTCGCAACAATAAAACAGGCGTGATCATGGCGCTCAACCGGATGATTCGAGAGAAGTCTAATCATGATTTTCCTCGAATGAGAGCTGCTTCAGCAAGTGATTTCAGGCCTATCAACTTTGTGGAGACTGTTCAACCCTGCCTTGGCCCCCTTGTTTGAGTGGTTGGGATGATGGGGTAAATGCCCTTGACTACAGGAACATATGATGCAGAGCTTTCTCTCTCTATTGAGATGCTGAAGTTACCTTTAGAAACCCCTTTTGCTGTCTCTAATGGTGTGTCTCATTGCAGCCTGGTACCTTGATAAGCAATGTCTTGAAGGGTTGTATGATTGGCAACGCCGTCGAAGGCGGGTGAGAGTTCCTATAAACAATAAAATAGTGAGGGAAAATGTCAGATCCGACATCATGATACAGTGAACACAAAGAACAAGTAAATAAGCTTTGACAGCCCAAGGGTACAGCCATGCAGAAGGAAAACCCTGTAAGCTGCATACCGATGACTCACTTACCGTCGGGACGAGCCGCTTGTCAGATCCCCATTTATCCTACGCTCTTTCATCTACCTAGCTATCATAGCCTGACATGGGGAGAGAAGGAGGTGAAACGGATCAAGGCTCAATAGTAGCCTTAACAGTGATGCTTCTTGGCCCCTAAAACCACAGTAAAACGTCGTCAAAGGCATCCCATTTAATGGGATACGTTACCCACTCACCACATTTCTCTTTACCACCTAGTGTAGCTGCCCAAGGGCCAACAATGTTACCTCGTTTCCAATCGTGCCTTGAATGGCCAGTTTCCACCCAAATGCTACGTTGTGGCTGAGGCACAAGGCGGAGGATGAGGCTGATTACCACTGGCGAATGAGGCTGTGCATATAGGACCATTGAATGGCATGTGTTTATCCCTCAGGGTGAGAAGGTATTGATGAAAGTCTTGACTAAACATCAAACCATTTGCATGGTCTCGCCATGGATCCCGTTGGTATTGCCGGCCTCGGTGGGCTTTTTGCCTCTGTCATGGGTGCCATCGACCGGGCTAAAGATTATCGATCATTTGCGGCTGATTCAAGTACACTTGATACCCGATTTGACGGCTTCAGAGCGAAGCTGGCACAATGGGGCAAAGAAATTGGGATCGATCATGGCCAGTTCCCAGCCGACCACAAAGCAAGATTGGATCCGCAAACGCTCGCTGCTGCAGAACGGCTATTGCAACTAGCCAAAGAAGTTCTGGCTCTCGGTGAATCGTCTCGTGCCAGGGCAAAGGTTCTTGCGGTCCACCCCCCCTTCAAACCGGCCAGCTCCCGCCGCCAGAAACTCAGATGGGCACTGGGAGGCAAAGCAGTTCGGTCTAAAAACGTGCAGCTATTTGGCGAGATTGTCCAACAACTATGTGAACTGGTCCCGAGTCAACCAACAGGTGGCAAGCAGATGGGCCACGCGACACAGATAGGCTCTACCCTTTCAGACGCGTACCCAAGTCTGCAAGAATTTCTTTCTGAGATTCGGCAGACGAATTCTCAGATAATTTCAGAGCAGAAAAGTAAGTTGTGATTTGCTACCGGTTTGTTCAATCATCAGACTGACTTCTCTATGAAGCCTATATGCAGCATGAGTTAACTACATGGTTACTGGGGCACACAGTTCCAAACGAAACCTACCATGAATCCATAGAAAAGAGGCTTCCAGGGACTTGCAACTGGATATTCGACCAACAAGAATTTCTTGATTGGGAAAAGAAAGACATATCTGGGCCAACACGGCCGCTCCTTTGGATTTATGGTCAGGCCGGGTTTGGAAAAACGGTCCTTTGCGCCCAGATTGTACAAAAGCTGATAGAACAAGGGGATAGGCCAGTGGCATATTTCTTCTTCTCTTCCAACTTTGACAGCAGAGATGATCCGTATGCTGCTTTAAGGTCTTGTGTCTTACAGCTTAGTTCGAATTACCCTGTCGCCTTCGAAATCGCCTGCGACAAATGGAGTGAGATGACGGACCAGTCGATGGCCTCGCGGCTTGTTATTGTCCAACTTCTTCATCAGATCCTTGAGGAAATACCCTGGTGCACACTGGTCATTGACGGGCTCGACGAGTGCACAGCAGTGCGAAAAGAACAAGGCAATGTTGAGAGATTTCTTCTCGACATACGTGGCATCATGGCTGATACTACACGCCTCTTAATCGTTAGTCGCGATGAGCCCGAGATCCGACAAGCCTTGGAATGTGATGGACACGACATGTTGAGTCAATTCAAGATATGCCCCGATCATGTAAAAGATGACACCAATACGTTGTCCCATCACATAGTGAACACAAAGTTGCCGAATAAGACTGAAGAGATCAGAAAGGACCTCTCGGAACGACTGAGCTCCCGGTGCGATGGCCAGTTCATTTGGTTAATGATGCAACAAGGTTCTCTCAGAAAGGGCAGCAACTTCAAGGCTCTGAAAAGAGCTATTGACGAGACTCCTACTGGGCTTGATCAGCTCTATAGGCGGAATTGGGACTCTATACTAGCATATGGAGAAAGAGATCGACAGCAAGCCTTTGCCCTTCTTCGCTGGGCTGCTTTCTCATCAAGACCGCTGACCATTGGCGAAATAGCCGAGGCTATTCTTTTGGATGAGACCCTCGATGACTTTCCCATAGATGAGCTACCTGATTCCATCGACGACGATTATATCAATACTGAAATTGCTGGACTGTGCGGGCCGCTCGTGGAGGTCAGAAGCAAGTCCAAGGATCAACAACCGCAACTTCGCACAATACATATTGCACATTTCAGCATCAGAGAATATCTGATATGCAAAATGCCAATCGGGAATCTGCTATCAAATGAGTCCCTCCAGGTGTCAAGTGAACGAGCACATCAATCATTTCTTGCTCGCCTTTGCCTTAAATATATTACGTGCCGTAGCACGTGGAACGCTACCGGATCGACAAATTTCATCAAGTTTCTCCGAGACTATGCTGCTATCTCATGGCCCAGTTGTATCGAATATTCCAAAGACGACGAAAAGGACTCGAAGCTGCTAGATCTGGCTTCGAACTTCATGGCAGAATCCCACCCTTGTTGGAGCTCATGGATACAATGGTTTGACCAACAAGACAATGATGCAGAAGCCATCGAAGTAAGGCAACGAGTTTCAGGACCTTCAGAGCCTCTGTACTACGCGTTGAGATTGGGTCTTCATGAATTTGCTTCCAAATTAATGCTTTCACGCTCATCCCGTGGGGGAGATGATAATAAGGGAAGGTCGGCCCTCTATCTTGCATGCCTCACGGGAAACAGCAAAGTGGCGACAGCACTGATCGGAGGAGAAGGTAATTCATTATTGAACGCGCGTGGACTATCGGGAAGAACCATATTGTTGGAGGCAGTTTATTCTCTGGACAAGAATATGGTACAAATGCTATTGGAGATGGGGGCTGATGTGTCTATTCCTGATGACGAAGGCTGGGGACCACTTGCACTAGCAGCCTTCGTGGGCCATGATGAGATACTCTCTCTCATGCTTGACAGAGGCGCTGACTTAGCTAATCTAGCCGTCAAGATAGGCAAGAAACGGAGACTGCTTTCAATAGCAGCTGAACACGGCCATCTCGAGATCGTCCGTATTCTGCTCCATAGAGGGGCTGATATATCGGTTGCTGATGAAGATGGCTGGACACCCCTTATATGGGCAGCCTATAATGGCAATTTTGAGACTGTCCGCTTCCTAATTGAGAAAGGAGCCGATGTCTCAGTTGCCGATGAATATGGATTGACACCAATTCACGCTGCTGCTCGACAGGGCCATATGGAAGTAGTTTGCTTACTTCTTGATGGAGGGGCTGATCATTCTATCACCGATAGTGAAGGATGCACGCCACTGTATAGAGCAGCTCAATTTGGCCTTCTCGAAGTAGTTTGTTTCCTTCTTGACAGAGGGGCGGATCATTCTGCAAAGTGCTATAGAGGGTGGTCACCACTTTCACACGCAGCTGCCAACAATCACGTCGAAGTAGTTCGCTTACTTCTTGATAGAGGCGTGGATCATTACATCACAGATAATCGTGGATTGACGCCACTTGTTCATGCAGCTCTAGCTGATCGTCTCGACATTGTTACGTTCCTCCTTGAGAGGGTAAGCCGTGGTCTAGACGAAAAAAATGACAGGAAACAAATTTCGATGGATGAATCTGCGCGCAGTAGTCCACCAGCCTCGCGGCGGGTAGCGCTGGAAAATTATATCAACAAAGCGAATTACATTGGGAGAGCGGCACTCTTCTATGCTTGCCGGAATGGAAATGCCGAAATGGTCAGAGTTCTCATAACCAATGCCGATCTTGAACCCATGATGCCTGATTACTTTGCCTTGACGCCACTCTACGCCGCAGTCATACACGGGCATTACAGCGTTGTAGAGTTGCTGTTGGAATACATGGGGCGGCGTTCTGCTTTCGGTGGGATTTTTAAATACCCAATCAACTCTAGGGCTTTACGCTCCATCAGCTCCGAGGTTTCACAGCTTCTAAGAGACCATTGTCGGAAATACAGTATTGCCTTAGAATTGGAGGATCTGCCCCCAAACTCTCCCTGGGCTTTATGGGAGAAGAACATGTTTGATTGCGAGGCGTGTATGAGACCAACACATCCGGCTGTGGCACATTATTCTTGCCCAGAATGGGTTGTTGGCCCAAGAATCTTTATTTGCCAAGATTGCAAAGAATCCGGCGTTTGGTGTCTGGATCCTTCTAACAGGATCGAGCTCTTCCCGTGAGACAGCCGACTCATATTCATGGATGTCATGCCAATCACAAAAGTGCTTGAATAGTATTGGACACTACGCATTTATGAAAAGAAACCAAGGAAAAGGGTAAAGTGAACGACCAGAGCTAGGTTTGTGAGATTGAAAATTGAAGATGATTTGTCGGTGAGAGTCACTGCAAGTGTATCCAGATGACGATATATGAGATCTGAAGTGATTTGGGTTGTCGGCGGCTGATGCATTACTACTGATGATGCTGAATATACCATCATACTCCGATTACTACCAGAAAGTAAAGTAATATTTAGGTCAATGATTTTCATCACGAATATACGAAACACTGGAATGACAGATTGCGACCGGAATTTCTCTTAGAAACTCACTACATGAAGGCGAGAATTGGATAATGTGCATAGATATCCATGGTAGCGGCACCTTAGGCTGCGTTGATCAAATGATGTTGGATGTTTTTACTTGCTAGCAATATGTTTCTCACTAGTATATAATGTGAAGAGCTTTGGTGGTACGGTACAGAAGCAGTAATGGATTGTTTAAAGGAACAACATAGGCCCCCACCCTCCCCCTCCGGCACAGCAACTGGCCCTATTTCACCAATTACATCGTGACATTTTTGTTTTTGTAGAGAACCTGGCATGAATAGTGATCCATTTCCTAATATGCTACGCGGGATAAGAAAGCCAAAAGAAGGACGAGGCTCAATGACAAAAAGGTATCAAGACCACTTGGCTAGCGGATTCCAAGGAAGGCGAATGGTCCCCCCATCTCTGCAGAACTTGATGTCAACATTTCCGGCCTCCGTCCTATAGTAGCAGACAAGGGCTTTTGGCTCCCAGCCGTAGAAGCCACCATCTCCTAGTATACTGGCCGAACCTTCCATTTCACCTTCTTGTTCTAGCTTCTCGAGTCTTTGTGTTCTACCAAGGCTGTTAGGAATACACAAGGCAAAAGTCCCCGGCGAGGAGGAATAGGCTTACGTTAATGGGTTTTCTGTACCCCACACACAGGCAACAATTCGAGAGGGTGGCGCGTGGCAAAAGTCCATCCGCGTTTTAGATATAGCCTCATTCTTAATTTCAATGTTGGCTTTGTTTGAGCTTAAGAATCGCCTCGTTAGTATCACAGACTGGCTCGTTAAGGGGTAATGGAGACTTACCATTCAACGAGAAGTTCCATTGGGCGTTCACCATACGAATAGAGAACGCTGAACATCTTGCGTTTTACCTCGGGCCATGGATCGCCAAGCTTCTCTACCAGGTTTTCTCCTTGCAGAAAGAGTTCCTGCTGTGGGGTTACCAGCCTCCTGACAAGGTCCGTGATATTCTTATCACCAAACGCCGCCGCGTGTATATGGAGTTGCGGTCCGCTAGGGGGTGCAAAGCTACCCATAGCAGGAACAGCCGGAGACTGGAATCCAGGGGGTGGGCCATTGGGAGCAGGGGAGGAGTTGTGCCCGAAACTTTGGGAGACTGGGGGAGGTTGTCCAAAGCCGTGATACGAAGGCGGAGGAGCGTGAGGCGGTGTCATTGGCCCTGGCGGTGTCATCATTCCATGCGGCGGAGGACCTGGGGGGCCAGGCATGTAAACGGGATAATAATGAACCTGTGGTTGAGTTTGGGGTTGAGGCTGTGGCTGCGGAGTGTATGTTGATTGCTTTTGGGGCTTGTTCTTTAGAAAGCCGAACACTTTTGTCCCTATAGCACCTGCGGCGAAAGACGCTGCCATTTTACCAAAGCCAGCGCCGCTTCCTCCGTGGTGGTGGTGGCCAAAGGCATTGCCTGCCAGAAATCCACCACCCAGAGCTAGAGCAGTTGTTCCCAGACCACGATCTCCATCCTGTGGAGGTGGTCCCCCTTCTTGCAGAGGATCGCTGTGGTATTGATCGGGCGGAGGAAGTTGTTGGTCAGGGAAAGGGAATGCTCTTGTTTGGTTGGCATCGGGAGATTGTTGGTCTGTGGCCAGGCTTTGTTGGTCTGGAAGAATATTCTGCTGGTCGAGTGCCGGGGTATGTTTATCTAGAGCCGGGCTGATGGGTGTGAAGGGTGGTTGGGGTGGTTGAAAGCCTGGAAACTCCCATTGCGTCGAGCCAGTCGCAGTGAAGATATAATACCTAAGTGAGTCCTGTCAGAAACACCTTTTTTGATGTGGAAATTGCTCACGCTTACCATGTGTTGTGCTCAGAGCTCCAGTTGGCTTCCCAGCCGGGCGGAAGCGGGGGTCCAGGAGCTCCATCCGTAGCCGTGGGAGGAGATAACTGAGGTGTTGACATGTGCAGGTAGGTTTTATCCCAGGTTTTAGGTTGAAGACTTTCGTAGAGTTGAAGGATTATTACCATTCATGAGTAAGAGAAAGAAGACTCGGCGAGGGAAATAGCTAGGACGAGGGAAGAAAGGCAAGACCTTGGACTTGGCCCCATAACAGTATTTCAGAGCATGAACCTCAGACTACGACGTGTAAGTTGTCACCCAAGTGAATCACTTGGACACACGTAATGTTTGGTGTGGCGCTAAGTTTCCTGGGCTGAAAGGGCTGAAGATGGCTTCGAGCTAACACGGCTACCGGCACATCGTTTGATCGCCGTTTCGTCCCAGTCCCTCGGGATGGGTCTAGGACAGACTGATGGAATGACGGATTTACGTGCGGTGTAAACGACGCCTAATCAAAGAGTCCTATATGCAAAAGTGGTATGCTCCCTACCTTTGGTGAACACCCCGTCAATTCATTTGATCATAGTGATGTTCCAACTGCGTGATACAAGCCAAGGCCTCCTCTTGCAAATGTGGTCATCCATCGAGGGGCCAATGGACCAGTCGAGAACATGCGGGCTGCCCCGCGCCGTATTTTTAGCCCTATGGCTACCCTACTTTATCCTTGGTGCATGACATGCCTGCAGGCAGAATCATATCATTAGAAGTCTTTGGATGGAAGCCTGCGTTAGTTGCTTTTTGCTCAGCCTCAGCCCAGGCCTATTTGGATTGCTCTGGTCTTGCGAAGGATTCTGTGGCGAAGTAGAGTCGCTTCTGATCATATCCACGCCAAACAGGTATTGATTGATCGTCTAGCCATTACTGAATTCAGTACCACGATCTTCCGAAGTTCAAAATCAGCAATGCTGTAAAAATTCAACCTCATAATGTATTCCTAGTCCAAGGATGCAAGAAGATTGATCAACGACAATCAGTTACATACTCGGTCTTTTCGTGTCCGTCACTACTGGCGCTCCGTTGCATCATTCGTTTGACTGCGAGTTGAACAATTTCAGATGATGCTCAAACACAAAAAAGAGAGTCCAGCTTGAGAATCTAGAAGGGATGCTAGCGGAATACAAGATAGCTCTGTTGACGCTATATACTGTTACTAGAGTGTCCAATATTTCACATGAACTTGAAGTGAGCCACTAAGTTTACTATAAACTAGATGTATAGGGGTTTATTTTGGTTCAATTATAAAACTGAATGAAGAAAAAATTCGCACAAAGTAAGCTTCCGATGAATTAAACGCTTTGGAGCATATGCGAGTGAGGGAGCCTGACAGGTTCATTGAAACCTGTCACTGCATGAATTGCTGTAAGTTTCGAGCAGAAAAGCGGACTATGCATCTCTATCATGTCTTGAGCTGCGTCTAGTTCTACACTTTCATTATTCGGGTTGCCAAGAAGATACCGACGGCGACATTCAAACGACATAGAACATGATGTGGCCCACTTCAAGACAAGTGCGGCTAAGGCGTTTCTCGGAATACAACCGACAGCCGTTAGTAATTATCTCAGATCTGTCCTAACTGGCCCCGCAAATGAAGGTTCGTTGCTAGAATCATCATCAAACCTCCTCTTGCCGATACTTGTTCGGGGTCACTTGTCCCATTCAACCAAGAAAGGAGTTGCATGACACGACCCTACGGCTCAGATCCCAACCAGAAATGTCAGCCTCGAATCTAGAACCTGGTGCGGGGAACGAACGGTTTAATGCCGAGGCCGCTACATGGGACAGCAATCCTTTTGTCCGTGCAAGGAGCCTCGAGGCGTGGAAAGCTATACAAGCTCGTGTTCCAGCTTTATTTGGGCCAGATCGCGCCCAGTCCAAGCCCAATGTGTTGGAAATCGGTTGCGGGACAGGCTTGCTCAGTCTGGAGGTTGCGCCATCTGCTAATCGGCTGGTAGCAATAGACGCAGCCGAGGGAATGATCCGAGTGCTTTCATCAAAACTAGAAGGCTCAAGCACGCCTAAGAATATTCAACCTTTGGCTATTTTGCTTGAGGATCCTGAGGATCAGAGGCTGCCTCCAGAAGACGAGGCGGCACCTCATGGATCACGGCTAAAGTACGATCTCATCATCTCAAACCTAGTACTACATCACATCAAGGACGTTAAATCGGTGTTGACGACGATGTTTGGATGTTTGAATCAAGGAGGGGTAGTGGCTCTCACAGACTTTGAAGACTTTGGGCCAGAAGCAAAACGGTTTCATCCCGAGGCGAAGATGGCCGGTGTAGAACACCATGGAATCGGCAGGGAGTGGATGGCCGGGCTGATGGAAGAAGTTGGCTTCAAAGACGTCAAGGTAGAAGTGGAATGGGAGCATCCCAAGTTGGTAGAGAAGTACCCTGGGGAGTTCAAGAACGGCAAACCTGCAGCAGGGCAAGGTGATCTAATGACTTTCACGTATGTCTTATGTTTCGGTAGACGCGAATAGCTACTCCACGGTACACTGAACGAAATTTGAGACTATGATCAGATGAAACCGAGTCCAATGAAAATCGGGAGTTAAAATATATCTCTACAAGATACCCAATTTGAGACCCAGTTGAATCAATCACCGATTCCTCCGAAACCGTTTAGTGGAATGAGTGGCTATTCCACCACAGTTATTCATGATTATCTTAAAGTCAGGCCAACAAATCACATCCTAATATCATACGGCTCAGTAGCACCCAACGAGAATGTCTTTGCCTGACTTGCGGCGCGTGCAATCTGCAATGTTTCATTAGCATACCAACAACGTCTCAAATGATAGTGGATGAAACAACATACGTCCTTTGAACCGGCCACCCTGAGCATTTGTCCAGTACGAGCATGGTTCGCTGTTCTCAAAAACATAATCATTCCTGTTCCTGATGGTGCATGCTTCGTGTACTCTCACTACATAGCGTATCATAAATTAGCTCCGAGCACCTGGGAACGGGTCATCCTCTGCTTTCTCTTACAGTTGCCGCCATTTTCTAGTTTCTTCCACGTATACCAGTTGTTGTTAGCCACCCAATCTCCCTTGCCATCGCCGGCCCAAGCATGCGAGCCAGCTACAAGGGACAGAGCGCTGATGATTGAAATAAACTGCATGATGAAAGTTCAGTGAATAACGTGGGCGGAAGGAGATTGCTGAACGGTGGATTGGAAACTTGAGTATTGTGACCAGATATGAAATTCGATAGAATACAGCAAGCATTATATATACATTTTCTGAGCTACGAGTACTTGCTATTATAAAAAGGCATGTCTTTTCAGAGTAGGTGTGTGGAGAAGGTTGCCAAGGTCGGGCTGTGAGTGGCGATTTGATTTAGACAAGTCCTTATTTACTGGGGGTTTCAATGCGAGCCCGTGCTTTGTGGGTAGAAGGCTCGACGTTATTGGAGTAGGGCACTGCTTTCTATCGTAAGCGTAGAGAGACTTGCTCGGGTCGTACTGCTCAGCCTTGGTACGTTGTAGGTAAATTGCCGAAAAGGGTCCCGGATGCCGAGACGAGACAGTACTTTGGTCTCAGCCCCAACATATCGGCCCCCAAAGAGTGGTTCGCGAGGTTCCAAATGCTGTCCTGACATCCATTAAGCTGTTTCTTTAATTACTTCTTAGGTGTGCTAGAATGGCAACAGCCAGAAGAAGCTCGAACCGATGCCATGCATGTGGATTTAACCGACCAGGTGACGAGCACGACGCTCCCAGACTTCGACGAGGAGCTGTAGTACGGGCCAAATTGTGCAGAGCTCGAACTAAGAGGCATTTTAAGTGCTCCTTGACCTTTGCCGCCTAATCATCGGGGTAAAACCATCGTATCCTGTCAAATGGATGAAAATGAGCGAGAAGTTATAGAGCATATCGTGTGGCGGAATGTGCTCTGAACCGAGGATGACATGAGCAGCCTATGAAAACAAATCAATCATCTTTTTCTTTAAGAAAAAAAAAATCATTATGTTCTAATGTTCTGATCTAAGTCATCATGCTTTGTCACGAGGAACTCAAATTAGTGTTCTCGAAGTTGCCTCGAGTGTTGCATGCCTTGCTTTTCTATTCCCGGCATGGAATATTCGTATTGTGGAAGGCCAGATTGGGTCTCTTCTCTAGTAACGCATAATGCAACTATGGGAAGAAACTATTAACATCTACAGGTTGCCACAACCTCCAAGGCTGGCAGGCGACTGACATAAACATGGCACACCCAGAACCTCCGGTGTTGAATTTCAACACAATATCAACATAATTCAGAAATAATTAGACAGTAATAAATACAATATCAGCTAAATACTACAAAAGAATATCCAACTCTTGATTTCATTATTATGCGTCTAGTATTGTGGATAAGGAAGTGAGGTCCCTGACTGTGTGAACAGAGCTTCGGTGTGCCATGTTTTATGTCACCCGCCTGACTGGGTAGCGATGTGCTCAGTTCCTGATACGCACTGATGTGAGAAGTCGCATGAGACAGAACTCTGGTCTACAAGCTTCACAGAATAAAATTCTCTATTATCATCAGTGACAGCAAAATCAATGTCATTTAAAGAATCATCGCCAGTCTCGCAGTGTATTGCTGCCATCAAACAAGCACTCGCGCGTCAAGAATACAGCCATTTTGAGAGGTCATAAGCTCGGGGTTTTTCATTGGCTCCTGGCAGCCATATTTCCATTCGCTTCTGGAAGATATCGGCGGCCTACCTGGCATTTAGTGAAGTTTATGCTTCAGATTTTGTTGTTGTCAATGCAGGGGTGACCCCTTGATACCCTTAGTTTGTTTGGAGTGTCGCATAAACCAACCAAGTCAATCCAAACCCCCGCCTCATCCGGGCTCTGACGACTGCCTACCCTTTTATCACTGGTTCAAACACAGACCTGCCCGGTCAAGGATAGCTTGACTAACATGTTTTCAATGCGCTGGCTGACACCAGGGGCCAACCCCCGGTCAAGGGTCTTCAATGCATGATCAACATTGTGACACATCATGGCATATCAACCTAACGGCACTCAGCGCAGAGAGCGAACCCTGGTGATAAGCTTGAAAATTCGACCATTATTTAGCTACCGTATAATTTCGTAAAATTCGGGCAAGATAAGCCCCACGGGAACCCTTGCTCGGATCTATATGTTATCCCCTGCTAAATTAAACAGGCTGATTATACCTCTTTATATTAATAAAATAACTATAAATTATCCGATAATTAAGGTTATTATAAGAGCCCGGCTACAGTTAGAATATAATTTTTAAGGTATTAAAGAAGATCCTTCTTATTTCCTAATAGCTATAGTCTATATAATCTAAGTAGGTCTTTTAGTTTTATAATTTATAGGGTTTTAAGAGCTATTATTAGGTTATTACTAGTAATACTAATCTCCTCTTTATTATATATCCAGTTAATAATCTTAAAGATATTAAGAATAACTTCTTTAGTTTTTTTCTAATTATTAAAGTTAATAGCTTTAGTTAGTATATTTTTAATATAGATCTTATAATCTTTACTTTTATTAGGTTTAATACTAATACTATATTAATAGAAAGTATTAATAATAAGATTAGATCTTTTAAATAGCCTTTTAGTAGCTATTATAATAATATAGATAGCTATAATATATTTATCTTAAACTAACTATTTCTTTATTCTATCTAGATTATACTTTTTAATATAGTTAAAAACCTTTTTAACTAATTAATTTTTAAATAGCTTATTAATTATTATATTAAGAGATTAAAAAAGGCTTATATAATCTAGAGAGATTAGAGCTATTATAATCTTATAAGATTATAGGTCTTAAAGTATATTATTAGTTATATAGAAGCTAGCTATATCTATTACTAAGAGATACTCTTTATTACTAAAAATTCTAATTAATTTATTAATAATCTATTATTTTAATAATTCCTTATTATTATATACTATTTTATTAAATTTAATAGTAATATTAGATAAATAAAGATAATCTTTATTTTTAAGGATTTAACTCTTTTTCTTATTATAGAAAATAATCTTTAGTTTTAATCTTTAAACTCTATTTATAAAGATATAAAGAATTAAGATAGTTTAATACTTATTCTATCTATTTTAATTAGATTTTCTATTTATTATCTTTATACCTTTAACCTTATATATATAGCTATTAAGATATTTAAAAGGTATAGAGGTTTTATCTATATTTATAATATAGTTTTATTAGAATTATCTTATAGATAATATTATTATAAGAATATAATTAAGAGTAATAGAGTATTTATTTAAAATTTATTAGATAAATTATAGGAAATTATTAATAATTAAAACTATTTCTTTAGGGATCTTTATAGCCCTTCTTATTATATATCTTCTTAAGAGATTATTTTATAGTTTAAAGTTAGTTTACTAATTATTAGAAAATATAAAAATATCTTTATAATTAGAGTAATTTAAAGGAAATAACTCTTATACTTTCCTCTTAAACTAGCTAACTATAAAGAGCTTATCTAGCTTATATTAGATAAAAAAATCCTCTATTAGAGCTTTCTTAAGTAGTAGCTACTCTAGGCTATAATAAGAAGATTTTTCTAAGATAATCTTATCTTATTAATAGATCTAGTCTATAATTATTACTTTTAGAATATTAAAGAAAGTAGTAGCTTTATATTATATAGGTAGGTAATAGAAGTTAGATCTTATAACTCTTTATATAAAAATATAATAATAATAAAGAAATATAAGTATCTTTATTCTTATTATATTAGTATAGCTTTATTTAGTATAATAAATAGGTTTTATAGAAATATAAATTTAATCTAAGAGGCTCTTATATTTCCAGCTAGTATAGTATTTAGCTAGTATAACTACTATATTAGGATCTCTTAGCTATAAAGAAGGTATTATAAATAGCTTTAGAAAAGACTTCCTAGCTTTATAAAAGTAGCTCTAACCTCTTGGGTTAACTTATTAATTAATATATTTATAAGAGGTTAATTAGGTATAATCTGAATAAACTAACCTATTTATATTTAGCAGGGGATAATATATAGAGAAAAACAGGGATTATTATAGGGCTTATCTTGCCCGAATTTTGCGAAATTATACAGTATCCTCCCCCAGTGAGTATGATCGCCGTCACATACCCTCTCATCGACTCCAAGTTTGGACACGCACTCCTTCACTCCCTCTTCCTACGAAATCTCATCATTGCTTCTCATAAAAGGGTGGCGGTTTTCTTTATTCTGATATTACGTTTTTCTGAATATCGCAACTCAACTATTCAAAAAGCTGTGAAGCAGGCCCTTCAGCTTTCGTCGTTTTGCAATTGAACTTGCCACTTATATTTGGTTAATCATTACACCCTTGACAATACCAATCGAAATGCACATGAACCATCCATCAAACCGCATCGACGGGCCATACCAAGAGTTGCCCGAAGAGGAGCACAGCCCAGGCCTCTGGGGTAATTCCTGGACACAGCAAGGGCAGCCACCCGCCAGGCTGCAAGAGATTCACGAATCCGACGTCAGCTCCGAGTATTCCGGCTCCGAAGGCGCAGAGCCGCCGCACGACTTTCATGAGATACGAACGAACAATCATAATAGCATGGAGAGCCTGAACAGAACGTACAAACAACAGGATGAGACGGCACTGGAGTACCAAAGAAAGGCTCGAGATCTACTGAGGAGGGCTCAGCAAAAGTTGGAAATGATTGCGTCTGAACTCAGAAATCATCGGAAGGACAAGGCAGAAAACACAGCCCCATCTGAAGAGTCGCCTTGAACGCGAGTTTATTACTAAACCATCATACGATGGACAACAAAAGGTTCAGTAATACACTCAGGAAGTAAGGTGCAAGCAATTCATCTATATCTATGCCTGTTTACCTAGGTCAGAAGAAAGCCTAAATATGAACCTTAGCCCCGAATGACCGCTCCATCTGACCTCGCCATCCTTCTCCATGCCTGGCCCCGGTACCGCGATAAAACCTGGGTTAAGAACTTGAAGTTCTAAAGGATCCAAACCACCAGTGATTGCTATCCTATCAAGTCTTCCAGGAAGCAGTTGGGATTTTTGTTTATTGGTTCTCCATTTGGAAATAGTATTGAAGTCTCCTGCAGCGAGGCCTATAGAACGCTGCCCACTTTCCAAAGTGTTCTTGTCATGTAGTATTTCTGATACATATCTCATCTGTTGCTTGCGGAAAGATATGGTGGAACTCAACGAGTGAAGATGTATATTAAGGAGACGAAGCCGGTAGTATTCTTGGATATCCATTTCCGACGGAGAAGGCCGCGCGAATGGCTTAAGAAATACATCAGTACAGAGTGCATCCCTCTGGTACTTGCTCGGTAGCTTGAAGCGAGTAACGGCACCGATGGTTGCATGCTTATCACACGTTGGACTTGAGACAAGAGCCTTCGATAGTAATGTCATAGCTGCAAATGGAACATCCTCAAACGCAGCTATGTCTTCGGCGTCTGTTACTATGAATCCTGAGCGGATACGTGAATCTTGTAACAAATGATTGCGAACCTCAAGGGTGACCTCCTGCAAAAAAACGATATCACTCGGAGGAGAGGATGGGGCCAAGAGGTGGTTTATGAGTGCTGTCGCACGAGCAACTGGACGAGCCGAGAAGGCATCAATGTTCCAAGTCGATAAGCAGTAATGGGGAGACTTGGTGTTTTGGGAGCTTTTGGATACGTCGCTTTTGGATCCAGTGAGGTGCGAAGGAGCTGCGATCCATCGTCGAATCGAAGGGTTGAAAATACTGAGGACTCCTAACATTCGTGGAGTCATCATTTTGAATTCTATAGTTGCTGTGGAGGATAGGAGAGATAGGTCTGTAAAAGAAGAATAAGATGTATCTGATCAGATAATATCCCAGAGTCAATAGGTTGTATGGTGATGAAGGTATTAGTGATGCAGAACAGAAATTTATGAAGATATTATTTGACACGAGGGGAGGAGACTACAATTAAGTAGATAAAGATAAAACAGCCTTTTACGATACATACTACCCTGGTGACACAAGTTACTAACTCAAGGTTTTCATTTATAACTTTCCATGGTAAGCCGCTTACATTCAAAGAAGTAAACTTGAAGCTTCACCCCTCCCTTTCACTGTGGTTTAAAAGCTTAAAAGCAGTTGCGTTATTACTATCTCCTCTAACCCTTACGTGAGAGAAAGAGGATAAAGTTTAATGACAATAAAGCCGACAGGGCCCGGAATAACTCAACACAGTGAATACTAAAAGCTTAACGCCCTGTGCCCCCAGGGGGGACGTGACCGGCGTTAAATAATACTACTACTACTAAAAGCTTAAAAATACAGCCTTTCCTAGTCCACCCAAGGAGTCATACAGCTGGAAAATTCTATGAACCTTCGTACGATAACTCTTGCGGCTTTGATGCTCTTCAAAATGTCGTTCTTGCTAAAACAATGTGGGATATCGCCGACCAGGAGATAGCCGAAGGGTATTTGTTGGGGAGATAGCCCCCGTAGGCTACACCCATCTGAAGGACGAAACCGTGGGCAGCACATGTAGTGGCTGTAGCCAAGAGAAACGCAAAAGATATAGCCAGCGAGAGCATGATTCCAGAACCTGAGGAATCAGTATTCTAGATCAAGGCTACTGAAACTACATGTCGAACTAGAAGGCTGACCATGAAAACCGGGGAGACGGTCGCCGAAGTAAGCGGAACCGTGCACTCGGAACTCCGAGTGCTGCTTATCAACCGGGCCGCAAGTCAGCCAAAAGTTTCGTCTGGCTGGCAGCGTCCAAATTCCGAATCCATCCTGATCCCAAAGCCATCCCAAACCCCCAGAAAACGATTATGCCTCCAGGAAGTCGAAAGAAGCCCATCTGCCCGCAATGCTCCAGGTGCTTCACAAAGAGTATATGACACCCGCGCCTAACCGAGCGGATTAAATAAACCAGTCACTGACTTGAATCTGCTTCCTGTAGAGTCGTCATTAACAAGACATGCCAGACGGTGCTTCCAGAATCTGCCCCCTACTTCAAGGCGGAGGGCTTGCTCGCAATGCTCAAAGAACAAGGTCAGATGCGACCAGCAGCATCCAACCTGTAGCAGATGTTGGGAACGCTCCCTACCGTGCACCTTCTCGCCGACTAATCGGCCGACATATTCATCCCCCGAGAGGATCATCCGGGTGGATGCTTCTGCGGGTAATGGCGCGTTTGGCGGAGAAGAGCCCAGCTTGCCGATCGGGGAACCAGTGTCTCGTGAATCAGTTTCGCCATCAGAGAGGTTTCCCTCCGTGTCTACACAGAAGCAGGCAAGTAGCCTTCTTTTGGTGCCTTCTGAGGAGCGGCGTAGGGTTCTACTCGGCGCTGCACCAGGCACCCCGAACTCCAGCTCAGCAGCCATGCACACCGCCAACTTTGTGATTCGAGTGCTCAAATCGTGGGCTCGCCTAGTGGCCACGCATCACGTCTACAAACTGCCACCGTTCATCCATAGGCTACAGCTATCAAAAGATAGCAGCCTCCCTGCCCCTTTGGCCAACTGCTTTACTCTGGTCAAAATGTGGAGCGAGCATACACAAGGCAGCATGGGCTTGGTGGAGAGCACAGTCTTGCTGGAGATCCAAAGGCTGCTCCGAGAGGTCAGCAAAACTCGTTCGGTGACTGCTTCAAAGTGTCACTTGCTAACATAATTGTCTGAGTAGTATGGCTCATATAATGAGACGGATCTCTTGGCTGCCCTTCAATCCTTACTCCTTTTGTTAACTATTGTTCTTTTTGGTCTACATCAGACAGGCTCGGCCATAACGAAATCCATCGCGGCCGAGTTAATAGTCGAAGTATGGGACGTCAAGTCCTCTGTGGCTAGCACGGGCATCTTGCTAGATGAAGAACAAAGTCACGTCTTGCCCACATGGCGTGAATGGGCATTGGTATCCGCCAAGCGAAGGACGATCCAGGCTCTTCATCATCTGGATTGGGCATGGTCATTGGTCCATGGATATCCAGTTCTTACCTGCTTTGAACTCGGACCATTGCCGGCGCCGACAGCCGGGTATTTATGGAACGAAAATGATGAGCTACAGTGGAAGCAGTCTTATACCAGATGGTTGGATATCTGGAAAACTGGTGGGAGCTATAAGCTGGGAGAGCTCTTCAACATTGATCCCGGTGATGATTTGAATTCGAGGACGGAAATGTGGCTAGCGGAAGTGGACGAATACGGCATGGTTTTGATGGCAGAGTGTGAGTTCTTTGACCCTTGTTTCCTAACCAAGCTAATATCCTTACGTGTCAGTAAACGCCGTTGATGTTTGATTCTTGAACCCGGCAGCTACAGCTGCCCGACGAGAGTACAGATAGCTGAAATTAATCTAGGGCATCATGATGTAGATGCTAAGGCCCTAAACTTGCAAACCATTATTTGAAAGAGCTTTTCTACTTGTTATTGGAACACTTTTGCTATTCCAAGTCAGATAAACACGTTCTCGGAGGCGTTTTATGCTGAGTTGAGGAGCATGATTGTCAAATAAATATGGCTCTCGCAGCGAAGGTTTCCGAGCAAAGAATATAATTTGAAACCCGATATTCACCTGCTATTAAATTATTCTTTACTGAGCATCAAGGGAAAAAGTAAAACGCAATAGGTCTTGAGAGGCTGGGCACCTGCCCCCCTTAAAGAAGTCCTTTTCCATGCAATGTCAAACTAGCCAAGTACGCATGCCAGAAATAATCCAAAGTTCAAACTCGGCGGTGAATAACATAAGTAGTTCATTACAGCCGGGAATTGTAGAAAATCGACACGAAGAAAAATGATCGCAGTCTATACAGTACTGGCATGCTTGCACTCGGAGTTCCGAGTGCCCCTCATGTTTTCAACCTGCTCCTGAAAGTGAGTATAATGGATATAAATACCAAGAGTTTCAATGTCTTATGGACCAGTTCTCTCATCATACACACAATACACACAATTTATTAATAATACACTCTTTCCATGGCTCGACTTCTGATTTACGGCGCCACCGGATACACAGGTCGGCTTGCCAGCGAACATGCCCAGCGTCTAGGCCTTGACTTCCTCGTCGCCGGGAGATCTGAAAGCAAAACTAGTGAACTCGCAACTGAACTCGGGGTGAGTTCACGGATATTTGGTTTGGAGTCACCTGAGAAGATTGATGAAGCGTTACTTGGCTCCTCAGTCTTGCTCAACTGCGCAGGGCCGTTTATTCGAACTGCCAAGCCGCTCATTGAAGCATGCATCCGAAGTCAGGTCCACTATCTCGACATGGCCGCGGAACTGGATAGCTACCATTTGTCTGCCGAGAGCGACGCTCGTGCGAAAGAAGCAAATGTTATGCTCATGCCTGGGTGTGGCGGCGGTATAGCCATGCTGAGCTGTCTGGTCTGCTATGCCCTTGAACACGTCAAGAGCCCACATCGTGTTGACATAGCTCTGCATATTTCGGGGCCCATGTCCAGAGGATCTGAGATGAGCGCAGCAGAGAACATCACTGCTGCATGCTTAGAATTGATCAAGGGTGATCTGGTCGCTCTTGAGGACCCGGCGACAAAAACCAAGCAGTTCGACTTTGACAATGGCAATGGGCCCATGGATTGTGTACCCATCACCTTGCCAAATCTAATCACGTTGCCCAGATCGACCAACATCAGGGATATCAGGACATTCATCTATGCAGAGGCAGCACTCCTTCCCCGGGACGTTACAGCTTTGCCGATTGGTCCAACTAAGGAGGAAAGGGACTTGCATCCGTATCAAGTCTCAGTGATTGTTACAGAGACTGATGGAACCGTGAAGAAGGGGGTTTTGCACTGTGCCAACGGGTACACATTTACTTCGCAAGCATCAGCTGAGGCTTGCAGGCGTGTGCTAGAAGGCCAAGTCGCGCCGGGCTTTCAGACACCGGAGGTTGTGTTCGGGTATCGATTCGTTGAGGATGTTCCTGGCTCAGTTCTGAAGTTTGTGTAAATACTAGGAGCATGAAAGGTTGGAATAGGCGATCTAACTTTTCAGGGAATACAAACCACAAGTTTTCTAAATATATGATGTGAAGTAAGTCATTTAGAATCAAGGCTACTATTCAAATGAATGCTTCTTAACCCAAACCGCTATATCGTAAGCTATGGCGACCTACTATAACTACCTACAGTAAGATGAGTGGACAAAGAGTCATTAGCGAACAAAAATAGTGAGATTTCATTTACCCCACATTGATCAAGCATTCGTGCCCAAGGCTGACTTGATGAAAATGCACTTTCTTGTGATTAGGTCTTGTCATTAATGAATGCCTAACTACAACTATATAAAGGCTGACTGGCACCCTCCTCTCCAGCCGGTCCTACCAAACAGTGCTCATACACAGGCGCCACCCAGAAAGGTATGATTTCGTACCGGTTATCGGCTATTCTCGACCAGCTGATGATCTGCCTACACGAAATAACCGAATCGAAAGCCATATTATCATCACCTGGCTCTTCTTCTGATTTGCTTCCAGCCACCAATACTCCTAAACGCCCAGCCTTGACCTTAGAATATGGCCTCTCAAGCAAATACCGGTCAGGTTCTCTGCGAGAACTGCCAATGGATTCGTTTAGATGACAGCCTTCTTGATGGCTTTGCTGGCGAGTCAGAAGATGGCTATTCAGTGCTGGAGTTCGAGTCGGGTAATCAACCTAAAAGATTCGAAGTAGCATATTATTATGAAGATCTACTCCCAGATCTCCCAGGCCTTCTACAATCCCACCAGAATACGCAGTGCACATTCTGTCATTACCTCCGGGAAGCAATTCTTCACGCCAAAATCGAGAAATCGGGCGAGATTTCAATAAGCGTACAGTACAGGTGGTTTATTGCCCAGGAAATGTTTAGCATAACTCACAAAGATCATGAGAATCTTTCCTGTGTGAGTGTGACTTTGACAAGCGCTCAAGAATCCTGGGAAAAACATCTTTTCTTCAAGGTCGAGTCAAGTGAAGGTATTACATAACTTCTTTTCTTCTCAGATATATGTGGATACTGACAACTTGCAGTTCGCGTTGCTCGCTGGCTGGGAATTCACCGTTGTCCAGAATCTGAAGTCTGGTGCCCCAAGAATATCGAATGGGTTCAAGTCCTGCTGAAATATACAAGTAATGTAGGTCCGTCGACGACCCTAAGAGGTCTTCCTACCCGTTTGATTGATGTAGGAGAGACCTGGGCGTGCAGCCCTCGGTTAGTGCATACCGCAGATCTAGGACAACAGCATGTCAGATACTGCGCTCTTAGCTACTGCTGGGGGGATGCGAAGGATGCTGAGACGCAGCTAAAGACGACAAAAGAGTCGATATCAGAGTTTTGCCTCGGCATCCCAGAGTCAAAGATGACACAGGTGATGAAAGATACTGTGGAGGTTTGCCGAGCCCTGAACGTTCGATACATGTGGATTGATGCCCTTTGCATAATCCAAGGCGACAAAGACGACTGGGAAAGAGAGAGCGGCCAGATGAGCATGGTGTATGGCAACGCCTATCTGACACTCTGCGCTCTCTCTTCCAATTCTACTCACCAGACCTTTCTGGGCCGGGATACTCACATTTTCGAGTTCAACTTTGAGTCTAAAATCGAGACATCTATACGTGGCAGAGTTCAGCTGAGTTTCCGCGGAAATATGTTTAAAACGATGCATACGGACTTTTTCATGTCTGATCCTGCAGTCGATCTAGAATGTGCCTGGTCTGAACGAGGTTGGACATTCCAAGAGGACATTTTGGCTCCCAGGAAACTACTTTTTGGGAGATCAATGTTATACTTTCAGCACGGGCGTTGCGTCTATCGGGAGGATGGGGAAAAAGTGTTGAATTGGCAAGATAAATCTTTTTCGAATATAGTGACCAACAACATCCCAGAGTCTTCTTATCGGGCGTGGAACGAATTACTTCGGGGATATGACACGCGCGAGTTCACAAACCAAGCAGATGCTCTGCCTGCGATATCAGGCCTTGCGAGAGTATTCAACAAAGCAAGACAAGACACCTATCTCGCCGGACTATGGAGAAAAGATATTTTAAGGGGTGTGCTATGGGCTACGCCAAAGACGGAAATGGATAAAACGACCCTTCTGCGGAAGTTGGCTTCCCCAGAAATCTACATTGCTCCGTCATGGAGCAATTTACGCAGTCGTTTTCCCACGGTAGAAGGGATAGGGGGGTGGAACTTTCCCTACAAAGAAACCCACGTCATCAGCGAGGTAGTAAATTTGGAGGCCTCGACATGCCCCGATGGTTTGGATCCGTATGGAAGGATAAAATCCGGAGCACTGCGGATGTCTGCACGGCTGAAACCCGTAGCAGAGTATAGATTTCTCTCAGGGCCACATAATGGTCAAATGTGGATTACATATGACGAGGAAGTTTATTGCGCAACCTGCAATCTCGACTATCAAGGCCAGGGTAATGTTTTACCGGGCGATGGAACGGCCCTGCTCTTCTTGTCGAGCGCATGCTGTGCCAATGAACCGCCCCGTCGGTTTCTTTATCTCAGCAAGACAGAAATGGTCTCACAACTAGCTAATGCTGGTTATCCTGACAATTATGACGGCAGTCTTCGCAGTCTAAGCAAAGAACAAAGGGATAGCATTGGATTGCATGACATCCTCGATGAATCCGACAGCCATTTAACAAAGTATCGAGGAGCCAATCCTAATCCATGTAAGTAAAAGAGACCTTGATAAAGATGCGAACAAAGGGCTGACTTCAATAGGCGAATGCTACAAATCTAAACAACGTACTTGTCGCAATTCTCACGATCAGTGCCGCGCCTGTCGTCACTGCAAGCGCTGCTGCACCCAACCAAGACGAGGGATCAATGCCCATGCATGGGGTCTGATTGTTCATCCAACTGGGACACCAGGGCAGTTCTATCGAGTAGGCGTCTTTACATCGAGGGCTTTGGGACCGAACAGCTCCAGCGGAACAAATGCATTTCAAGGGCTGCCGTTTGAGGAAGTCGAGATCATCTGATGATACTTTGAATTACCCGTGTCCTTTAGTAGCTAGTAGCTAAATTATTCCATCCTTAAATCATCACTACAGCTTGCTAAAAATGCCTTATGCAAGGATATTTACAAGGTGCCACAGTAAGAGGACAGCCGCACCATCAAATCCGCTCCCACGCCCGAATGGCGATCTGTGATCCACCCCACGTGCCTCACTTCATGGCGTTGGATGGCTGGATGCGAGAAAAAGGGTCGAGGCTGAGAATGCCTTAGCTGAAGGCTAGCCAAGCAACTGACTGCACCACACCCGATGGAGAATTGATTTGTTTCCACAACTGCATCGTATCGTGACCTAACATTCGCTTGGCATTATTGATGAGAACCGTATCTCAAAGGTTATATATCTGACCATGGTAAGCTTAAAGCTATTTCTCTTCTAGTGTGATTGCTCATCTACAATTAAACCCCCGTCTAAACTATCCTTTTGCTGCCGTGGGCAAGGTGAAGAGCTTATTTTCTCCTATCCCAATAAGTTCCATCATGACTTCTCGACAGGATCCCCCAGTGGCAGTTTCGCCTGTCCTCGCACCACAACAGTTCTCATATATGAAGCTGCAGTGTACGGCTGGCTTTGTGTTAACTGGCCTCCTTGGAGCTGCGGCCCTCGCTTTGGCATTCGTCTCGCTCTTCTCTGGCAGGAAACAGCCTGAAGAAATCGCCCAAGTTGCTGCGGTTCGTAAAGCGGCCCTCATCTCGCACATCTTGGGCAACCAAGTTGCTAACGCCCACTAATGACAATAGCAAGGTGTTCTGGTTCCTTTGCTTTTCGTCATGGCTGTTTTGATGCAGACGATCCAGCACGATGCCCCAGCCAAGGCGAAGCGAATCATTCTTGCTGGGATCATAGCAAATTCTGGCTTTATGTTTGTTTCGTATGTGCACATTCCATTAAATACATCTTAATTTGCACATGAATAACACAGGGAATAGTGGCGTTTTCGGTGTGGTAAACGGCGTCATGACAACATATGGAGATAATGAAAAGAAATCTGCTGGCGTAAAGCTAGGCAATATCGCACTGCTCGTGCTGGGTGTGTAAGTGTGGATATCTCTACTCATCATAGACCCCCTCTCACAGAAGCCAATTACTGACTTCTCTATGAATTAGTTTGAGTGGCGTTGCTCTATCGTATGGAATTCGAGAGCTTACTCAAGCGTTGAGCAGCAGGCTGGAAGACCCTACCATCGAGCGTGCCACCTTGAGCGAGGCTCAAGATAAAACCCCCATCACTACAAATTAAGTACACAACAAGTTTGTCGAGACGAGTTGGTAGTATAGGCCGTTCGATAGTAAAGTAAGAAGGATTGATTTTGATGTTTGGATACCCTTTACTTGATTGCTTGGATTTCTTGTCTTTCTTCCTGATGCCTTCTACATAAGTCATATGCACATTGTCGATATTTAGGTATACGATTACATATTAAGAAATAGATTGCTAGCCAAGGTAGCCTCAACATAATTGGCGACATGTTCTTTAATGCTGATGTGTGTGCCTCGAAGCCCCGAAGCCCCAGCTCCTCAGGTAGACTGGAGAAAGCTATTATGTCAAGGTATGGACGCTGTCACTGGGCTGCCGATTTTTGAAGTAGTATTTCGTATGATCGAGGACAGCCTTGGTAGAGGTGTGTTCTTAATGAATTTTCATTAACTAAATGGAGTTTCCATAAAATGAAAAAAAAAAAAAAAAAATTGCTGGTTTTCACATGCAGTCAGAAAGTCGGTCGGCCACGTCATACATGTCACATGTACTTTCGTTTTGTTGACGAGAGGATATGTGTGCTAACTTCTATGTAAAGGCTGGATTAAAACAGTCGGGATGACGAGGATGACATGGATGCGTGTCGATTGTCATCACCAGCAAACTCTCTACGGTCACAAGATCATAAGAATTTGGTCCCCCAGTAAAGCCTAGGCCTTATGTTCTGCAAATTTGACAATTTAAGTTCAGCAATAGATTTTCAGCTGTTTCAAGGGCCATGTCCAAGGGTGCCCAATGTTACAGTCTAGTTGTGCATGAAACTGCTGACATTTCCCAGTCAGCGCCTGAACCTCCTACCAGCCAACTGAAGGCTGAAGCTGAACAGAGCTGAATTCAGTCTATGGAGGCCTACTATGGTATTGGCCCTCTTCGTGTCGCATTTCAATAGGTAGTAGCACAGATGAGTGAGCACGGCTTGACTCAGTGCTGACCAGGCAGGAAGGAAGCAACAGAACTGTGCAACAGCTTTCTAGTTACGTCACAAACACGTCTAGTCCTTGTACACGTAAGTATTGGTAAGAGTAAACAATACCCAGTTGATTGCCTTGTACTCAGGTCGCCGTTCGCAGCAGTTCGCCTTGTTCTGTTACATATGCGCCCAGTAAATGGTTGGAGATGATAGCGGAATCACAGGTGCCTTGATGATGACGAGGCAACCCCCTTTATTGTCAAGGCAGCAGCATTGTATCACTATCGGGAGATTTCATTCGGTACACCCTCTCAAAGATGGTTGACTGGAGTTCATTATTGCCACCGCCCAGGAGCTCAGCTAGATGGACGTGGCGCAGTACACAGGCGAACAAGAGTTGGTGATTTCTTAACGAATCGCAAGAATTGCCGGATTCTTCGTCTTCCTTATGCGAGATTTGATGTGAATAACGGTGAAAAAAAGGAGGCGACACAACATGAGAGCCATTAACTGCATAGCCAAATGATCGGCATCCGCATGGCAGTGTGATTGGACAGGGTTCTCAGGGATCCTCCCAGGAAACTTCGCCATACAGCACCTGATACGCAATCGTAACTGCCTTCAAACATGAGGCTGTGGGCATTATTATGTTCCATATCAATGGAGATCCAACCACGAGTGTGGGGTGCTGGCCGAGGCGAGGACATCTGAGCCTCAGCTAGGACTCAACATCCGCGTCACAGCTCACTCAGGGGCAGCCTCACATAACACTGGTATTCAAATACAGCCACGTTCGAGCCAGATCGCTATTAATCTCACTGGCTGTGCCATGGCTAGTGGCTCACCTTATATTGGGGACTAACACAAAGTGGCTAGCTGGGGACACCGTAAACAGCAAGATCGTTCGAGCCAGCAGGGGACACGATACGCAGACAGGGGGGTCAGCTGTGACAAACTGGAGACGCACACGAGGCAGCCCGAGTTTGATAGGTCTCGCTGCTTCCATCGATCTTAAAACATCCATTCCTTCAAGCCACAGCGGTTGGTGCCGTCGTCCCGTCAAGCAGCCCCCAGGGTATTGCTAAACATCTGCAGCTAGCCACGCTCAGTCACAATATTCAGGTAAACCATTTTATTGGGATTGAGCGAGCTGGAGTTAGCCCTACTATGACTGCATTCTGAGCACCCACACGGTAGCCCTGACTTACACCCCCCCCCCCCTCTCTCCCAGATTGGGCACTGATGGGGCAGTCTCTTCAAGCTGATGCCAAGGACCGGATACAGTTTGACAGGACGGTATCCGGCTACAACCGGTGTGCAGGGATGTGCCAATGACTCGATGTCTGTTACGAATCTCTTTTGATAGGCCAGTGATGCATTCTTGCTTTCAATGCTACGCTAGGTGGGAGCACGGACTGTCATAAGACCAAGAAGGCTAGCTAGTACACAAGATTTAAATGAATGAAGCGTGATTAGGTTTGTGTTGCTTTTTCTTTGTATGACTGGTGATCCGAGCTCGACGCATCGCAGCCAACATAATGGACCAACAGCCTTAACCAGGCACCCGCAATAGAACTTCGAACTGATCTAGGAAAATTGCCACGTTATATGTGGCTTGATCGAGTGTGGCTAAGCAGTGAAGGTCAATGGTATATAGCTCTAGGCACCAGTGTTCTTAGAGCACAAAATTTCATGAATCACTTTGCTTGACACAACAGTTTGACTACTTCTTTTTACCACATCTCGTTTCCCTCATCTTCATGCTCATATGATCGCTAGAACGTGTAACTTCTGCATATATGTATTACCTCCAAACCCGACTATCTTGTCAATATATACAAAATGAGGCTCCTCCAGCTACCCGAGTGCATCCTGAACGAGTTCGAGGCAACGGCCACACCCAAATTCGCGATATTATCGAACGGCCGAGATAACATACATCTAAGAGGCGGGAAATTGGACATAGGGTCATCAAACTTACACGAATCTCTCGCCAATACTTGGATTACCAGGGCAGCGGACCATTTGACCCTGCTGGGGATATATCATGTCTGGGTAGCCGAAGTTTGTATTAGCTCCGCAGACGAGGAGAGGAACGACGCTGTCAACGGGCTTCAGCAGCGGCTAGAGAAGGCAGAGGTATGTTTCGTATATCTACATGATCTGCCCGTTGGGGCATCGTACGATCAAGACGTCTGGGCAAAGTGCACTTTCTGGAAGCAGGCTCGGGCCCTCCCGGATTTGGCAATTCCTTCCCGTGTGGAGTTCTTCGATTATGGATGGACGCCAAAGGGATCAAGAGGGTCGGCGGAACTTGCATCACTCATCTCAGCCATCACAAATATTTCCACTCGAGTGCTACTCGATAGCAGCACGCTCACGGATTTCGGGCTCGGCGTGCGTATTTCTTGGGCTGCGGGCCGAACGGCGACTCTCGAGGAGGATCTAATATACTACCTCGCCCCCATCTTGGGTATTTCTATTCAAACGCGATATGGCGAGGGGCGTGAGCAAGCCTTCCTTCGATTGCAAAGGAAGGTTCTCCGCGACTGTCGAGACGGATCCGTGTTTGGATGGCTTAGCAGCGACGAAAAAGAAGTGCGAGGAATGTTCTCGAAGTCGCCAGACGAATTCTCACACTTTTCCGGACCACACAGGAAATATCAATGGGAGGGGCCATGGCCCATGTCAAGCAAGATACGGTTCTGCAACAGGGGACTTGAATTACAAGTTCAGACATACAAACTGGATCCATATATCGTGGTTGATATTGGCTGCTCCGAAGCCAACGTCTCGCAGCTCAAGCACCGCCGGGTCGGTATTCTCCTACGAAACTGGAGTGGTGTTTATGTCCGAGCCAAACCAGCAGTGCAGTCGGTTGTCTTTAGCACTGCTCCCTTTCAAATGATCGACGTTATTCAGAATCTAGATACTCGAACGGCGGCCAAGATCTACTCCCACTTCGAGTCCAAAGACACCAGTACCAGTCTCATGAGCATCAGTCCGGTCGAACAGCACCTTGCCACAGCATTAGCCATCAGCACCAGTCCCAGGGAAGTTCTCGAGGCTGGTAGTATGCGTGGCATATCGCCAAATGAGGATACCAGATCCGGAAACGTCACACCGACGTCGGTCCAGCTGAGCCCAGGGGTCAAAAGGGGTCGGTCAGGCCGTCCAATGTCCTCGCCAGGCAGCCGCCAAGAGCAGGCCGGGCCGTCCTCAAGAAGCTATAGGAGGTCACATTCGGACTCTGAGAGCAACAGTGATTCCGATTCCAGCAGTGAGTCAGAGTACGACGACTATGACGAGTACGAAGACGAGGTCATAGATCTCGACCCGAACCACCCGCTACTAGCCATTCTCTCGACTTTAGTCGACTTCGTGTACCGTGAAGGCAAATCATGGATCAGCTCGGCGACATACACCACACCGCCTCAGGACAGACTCCCTCCCAAGAAGCGATGTAGGACTATCGATGACCAGTCATTGTCTGCCTTGATCAAATACGAAGAGGGGGCAAATGACAGTCTTATCGCTCGCCGTTTCGACGGGTTTTACCATCTGGCATGCCCCTACTACATCGCCAAGCCCGAGAAGTACTACAAGTCTTGTCTTCTCGGCCACTCTCTCCAATCAATAGAGGATGTTATCGGGCATTTAATTCAGCACCACAAGGAACCGCCGTACTGTCCTATCTGCCGACGGGAATTTGACAGTCCGTGGGTACGTGACCAGCACGTGCGTACCAGAACATGTACTATCCAAAATTCGGGCAAGGTGGATGGGGTGAACGAACGGCAACGACGCAAGCTGCGCAAGCGAGATCAGGTGCGCCTGGGCGAAGAAAAACGCTGGACGCGCGTCTGGCATACCGTCTTCCCCGAACTTGCGCTACCAGAGTCGCCGTATCTTTATAAAGGCGTGGATGTGGCTGTGGCGATGATGCGAGACTACTGGGCGACTCGGGGTCCGAAGTTGGCCGAGGAGTACCTGGGCAACGCCACTCAGCTAGACTCACATGACGTGCAGACTATGAATGCCTTCTATAGGCTGGTTCTGGACGATTTGTTGGCAAAGGTGTGGGATGATGTTGATTTTCGGAGTGGCGGGGAAGCAACAGGCAACAGCGGGAATGGTTGATGTTATGAAGGCCATTTCTGATAACTCGTCGGCGTTTAGGGTATAGACAGTCCATTTCCACCTGTAGGAGAGGACAGATTGTAGACCATCCTCACTTTGTATTTCTTACCTTAGATAATGTCATTTTTATATCAAGTCCCACCCCCAGACTGCCATGATGACCGGTGACATTCGCCCCCATCCCATCTCATCTGTCAAATCTTGATGACTTATCCAAGCAGGATGATGACTTGTTTAGTGTGGGCCGTCCTGTCAGCGGAATAAAGCCTCGGCATGGATCGCCCAAAGCTCTAAAATAGTAATAGTAAGACCCGACAACCTGCCACATTTCATAGGCCAGCAGCACCGATGGCGTTTAGCCTTGCAGTCGTTATTAATCTCGCAAAAATAAGTTCTGCCCCCTGAGACCGCCTGTCACTCAGAAAACACCATTGGGCTGGCGATCCCCAAAGCCCATCTCATCTCATCTCCGCCGATCCACACACACAACCACGCGACCACCGTCCAGGGTCCCTTCTCCTCCACGATGCCCAGTCTCGCGCAGGCTGGTGCAACCTCTTTTCGAGGAACCCAGTAGCCTGCGGCAGGCTACTGCAAGGTCTGATCTACCTTCGAGGCTTAGCTCAGCCGTGGATTGGTATTTCAATGTGTGCGGCCATTGTGTGGCCCGGGTCCTTCTGGATGTTTATAGTTCCAGACTCGGCAAAGGTTTTTAGTCCCGGCCCGATAGGGTACTCGCGGGTGAGGTTTTTACCGGGCAAAATGTGTTATTATAATAAGTGTGTTTAGATACCCTCCTATCTTAGATAGGTTAATTGACTTGTTATGATGATGCCCAGTCTCGCCGCCCTCACAATCTATTTCTTCGGGTTCACGGCCCTCCACCACGGGGTCAGCAACCTGATCTGGCCGAAGCAGGCCCTCGCCGCCAGGAAGCTGCCCGAGGCGGCCCTCCCCGCGCTCAACGCCTTCTCCATCACGGCCATCGGCATCGGCATCTACTACATCCTGGGGGCATACCAGGAGAACCGCGCCTTCTTCGCCCTGACGCTCGCCCGCTTCGTGTCCACGGCCATCTTTTGGGCGCAGGGCCCGGCCTGGCAGGGGATTGCCAGGTTTGAGGGTATCTCGGCTGTCGTCACCGGGCTTGCGCTTCTTTACGAGGGCTAGACGTGGGTTTGCAGCCTGAGTGATGGATCTACATGTGGGTTGTTTGGCAAAGGGCCTGTCCTGCTGCAAACCCTCGTCAACGTGGCTACATGTCAAGATTCATGTCATGTGGTGTTTGGAAAGAAGTGGTGATGAGTAAATTCGATTTGTTCTAGACCTTTATACTCCATGCATGATTGGACGGCTCAAATGATCACCGGAGAGTTTTTCTGGGAATTTTTAAGCGATGGTGAGGTGCGATGTGATATGATGGCGGTGTTGTCCACATGCAGGCATCGCCGAGCTCAGGCCAACTCCCAATGAGAAATTGTTTGTGAGGATCTTTGCACTTTGAGTAGGGGCGAAGTGGAATTTATATTCCTATTCTTCATAAACTGCCACAGAAATAAAAGTGAGACGGATATGACCTGTGCGATTGCGTATTCATAGTCACCGTCTCAGACATGACAGATCTGGCCGAGATGGAATTCAGTGTCTCATTAACCCCTCTTCTTTTCCTGACAAGGTCGCCGGAGCATTCCAGAAGCAAGTCAGCTCATCCTTCTCCATGGAATGCTTGAATACGTCGTCGAAGCCCAGGCCAACAGTAAACATCATTTCAAGCTTGTTTCCGTCTTGTGAGTGACCCAAAATAGCCACCGAATCGCGAATTGAACGACGGAAACCCCCTGCCACAAAGTCGCGCCAAGTCAATAAAGGAATGAAAGAACCAAAGGTCCAAAAGGATCACTTAGTGTTAAGTAAAACCCAGCAAGTTTTTCAGGAACAGATTTTTGGGTGTTTCACGTTTAGCTTGGCAGTGAATCAACTTCCCAGCAGCCTTGAGGACTCGATCCCCGATCTGGGAGCAGCTGCTGGGACGGACCCGGCAGGGAGAATGACAAGATGGGCCGATAGGATCCGGGTCAGACAGTGTCAGGCCGTGCGGTGCGCCCTTACTCGCTGGCGGTTGGTTCCCGTGGACTCGTCACGCACGGCAATCAATCTGTGGGATTGGGGTAATTTCCGAGCTATATTTGTCTATGCTATGCATGATGCGAGTTGCGAGGGCAGGCAAAAGTGAATAAGAATAAGATGTTGGGCAGATCCTCGCTTTTCAGTGTTTGATCATCCACGCAGTCACTCCTAGACCTCGGACCGCATGTTCTTTCAATTGTCAATTCAAAATAACCAAGAAGACGACCTTCAGAGAACCCTCGTACGACCCAATATGGCTTCTCCCAGTCCCCTCGCCAGCCTGCTCGGCTGCCCCTCGATGGACAGCTACATCTCCTCCTACATGTCCTACTTCTTCCCATGCTTCACCCCCGAAAAAGGCACCACCATCAACGGCGTCCCCTCATACCCAGACGAGAAGAGGATCAGCCTGCTCCACGTGCAGGACATCAAGGCGCCCCGTCCGGCCGCGATACAAGACGACGAGGTGGTCCGGCATCCTTACAGCAGCCCGGCCATGGCAGCACGGCATTACCAGCAGGGCGAACTGCGAACCATGACGACCGAGCAGCTCATCAGGCTGCAGCACGAGGCTGCGGATGGCCGGTGATCTATCTGCCTTGTAGTCACGTTGACATCAATCACACCAGGCTGAGAATGAACAACATCTCACTGTCGCAAATGTGATGAACTCAGCCTATGCCACCCCAGAATCGAGAATGAGCACATAGGCACCCGCACAAATGGGGATCCATATTGGAGCAGACGGTGCGTCGATAATCAACGCCGGCGTGACCCCAAGCCCGCAAAATGGAAGAATAGAGCGGCGCCAGAGCCCTACGAGGCAGAATGGCCTCGTGGTGGGTGGATGGCAAGCCAACTGCATCTCGGTTGGCTGGGATCGGAGATGGGCTGCCTCAAGGGGAGGTTGGAGTGTTCCAGTGGCGACGCCTCGAGGCATGGCTGTGACTGAACACAATGCTATGCTAAGCTATGCTATGACATTGCATCTGATTCAATGCAATGCCATATCACGAATGTTGGGGGACAGTTGCGCCTCGCCATCATGTTCCCTCAAGAGGGAATTTGCGTCGCACCAGTGCCACAAACCGCTGCTGAGGGTGTCAATCAATAGCGGCAGGCTTCCACTACAGCAGTGGCCATTGGGGCAGTGCAGCGCCTCTGCGGGGGGTAAGAGAGCCTGGAGATGCCTGGACAGAGCCTCAACGCCAGCAGCTTCAGTGACATCAATGCCCTGAGCGCACTCTTGTGCTGTATCAGTGACCAAATGTGGAGAGTCACTCGCAAGGCTCCCATTTGATTCCCATTTCAAGCCTTCACGATTGCGATGGGAAGAGATGTGGTGCATATAAGAAATCAATTGCCCGCCTGTCTGCAGAAATAGATAGATAGATAGATAAATCCGCTCATTGCTCGCTCTTTCATTCAATAATCATTCATCCAATCTTGGTATCCTCGTCCATGTCCAGCGGTCTAGAAGCCGCCTGGTAAATTTAGGTATCATCGCTACTCCGTCCGTCCAGTATCCATCAATCTCAATTGAGATTCCAGTCAAACACCGAGGCCATCCTTTATTGATTACGCCATAGCGTTTAAAGAGAGAAGAAGAAAAAAGGGCAAAAAAGAAAGAAAGAAAAAAAAAGACAAGTAAAAAGAAAAGTGTTCAAGTTGAAGCTAAGCAGGTCACATCATCTGCCGGTCCGGGATCGGCGACTCGCAAGTACAAAACTCCAGAGCCTGATTATGCTCGCAGGCCCAGCACTTGCGGAAAGACATCTGGTGGTAATTAGCCGCCGGCGGGAACACCATGATTCCAGGTGTAGGATCCGGCGGCTGCGCGCTGAACTGCGGCATCAACTGCGGCTCGTCCAGCTTCATGGGGCCGGGGCCGGCGTCGAGGCTGGACCAGTCGTCGAGGTTGAAGGAGACGGCGCCATTCTCGGAGATGAGGGACGGCGGGCCAGAGTGGCTAGGGCCGCCGATGATGGGTAGATTCTGCGTCGTAGGTGAGACATTGTCGTAGTGCGAGCTCATCTGGTTGAAGCCGGTCGTCATGGGCTGCGGGATCGTCGGTGACAGGTACGAGTCGACGCTGGGCTGGTGCTGGCTGTACTGAGAGAAGGCTGGGTTCATCGTAGTGCCATCGAAAGTACCTGTATCAAAGCCCTCGCCAATGCTGACGGCCGGGCTGTGCACGAGCGAGTGGGCGCTGACGGGCTCCATGAGCGGCTGATGCTGCGGCTGATGCTGCGGGATGCTGGCAAAGTCAACATCCAGCGACAGCTCTGGCTTCATCTTGGGCTGCCGGAAGGGTTGCTGCAGCTCCTCTGGAGACTGGTGGAGTGACCGGCGGTTGCTAATGAAGCCGCCGCCGCCCATCTGTGGTGACGCCGAGCTCGAAGGGAGTGATGGATGGCCCGGATCCTGCCGGTAGACAGGCGCGGGAGGACGCGAATGATTCAGGTTGTAGGCCTCGGCAAGGATCTCCTCGACAAATGCCTGGGTCTCCTTGCGGCCCAGGTCCACGCCGTGCTTGCGCAGCAGGGCCGGAAGCACGCTGTGTCGCAGTGTCGGCTCCTGGATCTGGCGAAGCTGCGATGTCGCCTCGGTCGGTATGTCGCGTAGATACGGGTCAGGAGGCTCTCCCGGGAAGAACTCCTTCCACATCATCCTGTATTTCTCCGCGTCGCTGGCTCCTCGGGGCAGCTTCTTAAGGAAGTCGAGCTTGTCGATGGGGATCTTGTCCGGGTCGGGGGCGGCAGCCTCGCCATTGCATCCGTTCTTCATGTGGCTGTTCCATGGCCCCTCCTTGGTCCAGGTCTGTTGGCAGTTGTCGCAGTAGTAGTGGCCCGGCGAGTGGCATCGCTCGAGGTGCTGCTTGACGTCGGAGAAGCGGCGGAGTTCGTATTTGCCCAGGCAGCGCTGGTACCGGAAGGGATCGAGGCGGAAGAAGGGGCACGCCATCAGGAGCTCAGTGTCCTGGTGCTTTCCCTTGCTCGTCTTGAGGATGAGCTTCTTCTTCCAGCGCAGCAGGCTCAGGAACACCCCGAAGAAGTTCTCGGCCTTTGCGCTCTTCCCATCATTATAGTGCATCAAGTGGTCGGTCGCATAATGGTGGTGGTGGTGCGGTTCGTGCTCGTTGATTGGGAAGGAAATGTCGCGGTTGTGCGCGTGGGCAGATGGACCACCGGCTGGAGAAGAGTAGAGAGTTAGTTCTGCAGAGGCCAAGATCGACAGCCCTCGCTGCAAATCGAATTGCGTACCTTTGGACGACTTGCTGCCCTTGCGGGTGGTGTTCTTCCTGATCACGCTGCGCGTGCCTCCCCCGGTGAGCGCCCTCTTCAAGCCTCCAACTGTGCCGAGGTTAGTGCATGCTCTGCTGTCCGTCTCTGCTGGCCAGACGCGTGACTCACAGGGACCGCTGTGCGAATGGGTAGACGGGCTACGGGGGTGCGTTTCATGGGACAGCGACGCTCGCCCTCTCACGGACGGTCCTCTCGATAGCGACGGAGCCATCGTATATAGCGGGTATGTCGATATGGCTTCGAGATCGGATTAGGCAAGACCGCTAGCAGGTTTTCTCCGGCCAACAAGCTTCGTAGGAAAGCAAGTAGAGTGGCAAACCCTGGGGCCTCGAGGTTCATATAGGTCAGCGATCACCGGCGTCTAACAGGGACTTGGCAGGTCCCCGTCTTGCATCTTATGCGCAAGCGCCCGGAAGGGGACAGTAGGCGAAGACGAGGCGACCAAAAGCAGTGTGCTCAGCCATGAGAGATGCACATTAGGCTGGGCTATTCTGGGGCGTTCAGCCCACGAAGGCGGCCAGGGCGCTTACGCTCCTCCTGGTACGAGGCCACCCCACAGCCCGTCACACAGATCCATCAGCTTTCCAATTTCTTGCTTTCGAATTTGCAACAATGCCTGGCTCGGGCCGTTGGAGGGCAGCCCTCGGTCTGTTTAGTGCCTCTGGTAGTGCACTTCATCGGTCACTCGACGGGAACGCCGCCGTGCCGTCGCGGCGCTATTAGTTGCCTCTTTGTGTTGTTTTTTGGATCTTGGCTTTGTTTTCTTTGTTTCTGGCTGTCCCATGCGATCTTTTCTCTCCCACTTCCCTGAAAACCATCGTGGCTGTGATGTCATGACCGGAGATGTTGATGGGTCGTCCCATCTGGAACAGCCCAGGCCCAATGTGAGGCCCCTTTCCCCCCTTTTGTGACTGATGTGCTACGGCTTCAGGTGCTGGTGGTTCAACAGCGGCAGATGCATGGCCAGCAACCAACAACACCAATCCTCACGGATGTGGTGGGCATTCAACACATCGGCGAGTCACAAATGCCTGGTTCACGAATGTGAGCATGGAGATGGCGTCGCAAATTCGAGATGTTTAAATAGAGAAGGAGTCCCTCCTCAAACTCAATTCATTCCAATTCAATCAGTCCATTCAATTCAATTCACAATCTTCAAATCTTCAAATCTGAGATCCCATCTTGAGGTTTCATCCAGCGAACCGTCCCCACATCATTGAGCTTGGCATCACACGCACATACAAGCAGACTTCAATTCAGATCGGAGAAAACACGAGACAAGCAAGACACAATGAGCAATTCCAAGTACAGCTCGTAAGTGGCTTATCCCACCTATCCAGTACATGAAGTGACCAACTAACTGGTGTTCCAGCAGCTACAAGTCATCCTCCAGCAGCTACACATCCTCCAACAGGGATCCGCTCAGCGCTGCTCGGCTGAACAGCTTCATGCAGGATGATGGCTTGGCCTACCAACAGCGACTACTGAGTGGTAGCGCCAGGTCATCGTCGTCATCCACGTCGCGGGGCAGTGCACAGCCCTCCTACTACTCCTCCTCCAGCTACTATTCGTCGTCCTCGTCGTACGGCTCCTCCTCCTACTCCTACGGCAGTGCACAGCCACAACCGCGCCCCAGGCAGTGAGCCAGGCGCACTGCGGGCAGACTGAGTCACGTCTCAGATCCCGACAGGCAGACCGACTGAGAATGGTCCAGATGGCCTTTGCGAACCATCCAAACCACATGAATTTTCTTACGATCAGGACACGGGAGTTTTGCTTTACTTAACTGTTTTTCGATGTACAACCAGAGATACCATAGAATGAGCGCAGAGTGTGGCTATGCAAACCAGCCACCGCTAGTCACATGATGCACAGCATGAATTGACTCAATACAACCAGCAATTGAATTTCACTTGAAAATGCCTTGCCAAGTGACAAACGTCTTACCGAGATCATGCCTGGTTGAGGGGAAGTAATAATATGCGCTGGCCATGCAGTTTGCTTCCTTTCTTCTTCGCTTTCGCTCTCCTGGCCTCTCACCTTCCTTCTTCACTTTTCATTATTTTTCCATGGTGTCTGTGCTAACTCATTCTGACAGACTTTTCGTAATTTAATGGTTGATCGGGTGTGGTGCGGCTGACGATGATTGTTATCGTCCAAGCCTACCACCATCTCGCATCATTCCTGCAGCTGAGACAGCTACAAAACACTGCGCCGTGTTTTGAAAACACTTTTTTTTCTTTGGTCAGAATAGGCAACTTGGAAACCTGATTTTCATTTTCTGCCTGCTCTCGCGATGCCTTGGTTGCATCCTTTCGTGGTGGTTGCGCTGGTTGATGTAGGGTAGCTGGCACTCTGTAGCACTGCCCTGGATGTGAATCATCCAAGGGCACAACCTTCGGAACAGAAGGGCCTCTCTATAATATAGATCTTTCGGAACTAAAGGTAACTAGGTAGCTAGGCATAGACTTGGCCCTCCGGCAGAGAAAGTGGCTGGGATATCGGCCGCGCGGTCCACATAATTTGCCCAGCGTATTGCTTACAACATAACTACTTACATAAATGGCTGCCTCAAAACGTCCAGTCCACACAATTGTGAAAGGCCTGCCCTGCCGCAGGCACTTGTACCCCTCCTTTCTCAACTACCCAATGGAGTTGTTCCCTCTCTCTTAGCCTGATCGACTTCCCAAATGCATGTCATTTACTGGGACATCGTTTTGCCACTTATTCCATGGGCAACGACGCCTTTCTGCCTGCCTAGTCTCGCTAGGTACGATCGTATTCCACGGACCATAAGATCAATAACAACCCGGGCGTTCCAGAACCGAAGAAATGGAGCCTTGGAAGCGTAAACGGCCCGAGACCCGACCTGCTGCTATTGTTGTCACAGATGTGAGATCAACACGCGAACAAATAATAACAGCCGCATCAGTTACCCCGGAATCCGCAACAACCCCAATAACTCCAAACCTGAACTCACGACACGAAGATCCCGCGACGACCTTATCGAGAAATCGAGTATACATGGACGGAGACAGGCTGGGCGTGGACGGTACATGGCACGGCAGCAGGAGAGGCTCGCAGAACAGCCAGATCACAGCAGCCACCTCGCCGAGTAGTGCTGCCGACAGCTTCATCTTTGAATCGAATCCAGACTATATCAGTATCAAAGGGGATAGAAATGATCTGGCGTATTATACAGATGCCTCCAGTCCTGCGTATCCTCAGGAACATATATTCTGTGTCAGCGATGCACCCCCACCGCAAGATTATATGGCTGAGGTGCTGGCTCATGATGGAGTCCAGATAGGTCGAGGAGACGAGAGAGCCGGTAGAATAGGCACGCACATGGTTGATCATCTAGTGGGCGGCTCTTTAACCTCGGGAGAGATACCAAGCATTCGCGTAGCGGTACCTGAACAACCTCAGGGATATCCCGACTATGGTAGCATCCATCAGACAATCCCCTTGATGGTAAATATCAACCCTCTGGATAAATGCTATATAAAACTTCATAAGCTAACATGGGCTCAGAAGCGTGAACCTATGTCAGACCCGGCGAAGTATCTAGATCACGCTGGAGATGGCCTGCTAAGCAACAACTTTTCTCCTGTATGTCAGAATCTACCCAATGCCCCTAATGCGCCTTACACAGGATTGATGGTCAACCAGGCAATGAACAATGAGAAACGGCCCCCAAATGGACAAGGAGGGGTTCAGCTGAACGGGGAAGTGTTGTTACCAACGGCACCTCGGTTGCTCTCAAATAGGGTTGGGTCGCAGCCTAAAGAAATACATAAAAAGGACGTGCCCACCGTGCACATGTCAGCGAGTTCTTCTGTCCTAACGGAAGGCGGCCAAAACTACCAACACACGCAAGGCGACAAGGACGCATCTGCCCGCAAAATGAAGCCCCCGCCACTGGAGGGATTGAAACGAGAAGCCACGGATCGATCTGACTTCCAGACGCCGAAGCGGATACGAGCCGGAGGGGGTCTGGATGAGACAAGCGAAGTGATAGACGACAGCGACTCGAACTCTCCCACTTGGGCATGCCCGTTCTTCAGACATGACCCTCTTGGCAATATGAACTGTCTGAAGCTCAAGCTCAAACGGATCAGGGATGTCAAACAGCACATCCAAAGACGTCATAATAACTCCGGCAACTATTGTCATAAATGCTGGGAAAGTTTTCCTAGCCGCAAGAAAAGAGAAGAGCACCTTAGCTCAGATAACTGCGAGCCCATCGACCAATCCCTGTCGGTGAAGAAGGGCGGTATATCTGCGGAGGCGCAGGAGAAGCTGAAGCACCGCGCCCAGAGGAGTAAATCGGGTGACGAGCAGTGGCACGATGTGTACGACATTGTTTTCAAAGGCCAGCAGGGGCCCGATAGAAGTAGTCTTGAGCCGCAACTCGGCACTTTAATCATGGAAACCACGCGGTTGATGCAGAGTTTCTGGAGGGACGAGAGTGAGGACTGGTTTCCGGGATACCTAAGCAGACAACCGCTCGCGCAGGGTATGAACCAAGATGCGCTCCATGGCCTAGTAGTTAATGTTATGGAAGAGATACACGTGCGGTTCGAGGAGAGGATTCGAGGTAGCAGCCCCCCCAGCAGGTGGGATAACGTCGCCGTCCCTGCTCTTGAGGCGCCGCCTCCTGCTATGGTATCGCCAACTACTGCATTTGCGACCACGGCTAGCTCTCAGGATGTGAGTCTCATTGGGTGCCACTTGCAACATGAAATGACTCAACGCCCGAGCGAGATAGGTGACGATCAATATTTTTACTATATTGATCCTAGCTTTGGTAATGCGGATGAATGCTTATCGTTTCATGAAGCTGATGCTTCAATCAATAATACTTATGATATGGGAGGATGACGGAGCATTGACAGGGCATAAAATGCACTCTTGCTCATGGAGATCTGGATCGGTCGCCTTCCATGGTGGATTTACGAGTCAATGATATATGAAACGATGAGCTTGAGATACGTTTAAGGGTACCTCTCTGGATAGGATAGAGACCCTCGCCTGGTTAACAGGTTATATTCGTCAATATAGGATACCAATTTGAACGACGAGCGACAGGTACAATACTGAAGGGTTTAGGAGGATGAACACATTAAGTGCTGCATCGCTGCGGTTAATAGGGCTACGGACGGGGTTAAAAGGTTAGTATTTGTTATTCCGCTCTCCTTTCCTTTCTTCTTTCTTTTAATTAAATAGACATATTTATATAAAAACAAACTCTTTTGTCAATACCTGAAAGGTTTATATACCGTGTGAGCTATTTGTATGTAGTCTCGTGAATTCCTTATCTCGACTTTGGGTTCGCGACAGTATTGAACATATTAGTCCTCGAATAATGAGTAAAATTATATATGTTGAAGAGGGATGGAAAGAATTCTTTGACCTTCAGCTGCTTGCTTTCAGTGACGATGTCTACTTTCTAGCCTGAGACTTGGATATTGGCTATTCATCGTGTTGAGTTGTCGGGTCTGGCAACTTCCATTGCTGTTTAACTTCATATTTAACCTCTCTCCCGTTTGCTATTGGCATCAATCATGCATCTTTGGCAGGGAAAATAGAGAGGGGTCGTCGTCAATCATCCGTCTCGGCTTGAATTGCACGCGGAAAGAAATGAGAGAGTTGGGACCTTTAGTAAGCCTGAAGACTGGTAAGATATGATGTATTCTATGGCGGGGAAGACGGCGTTAGAAGAATGTCCATAGGTCCCAGTGTTGGAACACGGTATTATAGTGTTACAGGCGAGTCTAAACATAACGATGCTAAGTGATCGATGAATACCTAGTCCGGAGGCCTTCCAACTACTTCCCGCATTAGTCCCAGAAGTATTGCTTCGTCTAACGACCATAGCCTGTGTTGGCTTGTCAGGTTGTCCCCGCCGTCCGTATAATAAGCCAATGAGCCAAGCAGGATCACCTCTGGCTAGCGTTGGGAGATAAATATCTCCACTGTCAACCTTTTTAGGTCCCCTGCATGCAAGACAGCTGAAGGGGTTTAAGGGCCTCGATGCGCCGTTGGGTTTCCAGCGTGCGTCCAGACTCTGCTCCGTTTCCAAAGTTCCAAAAATGATATAACGAGGCGCAGGCTCGCTCTCTCGAAACGACCGGTTATGACGCTCGATCCTTGACCCAACGATCGCGATATCTGCTCGACCCTGAAACGACTGGGTTAATGCTGAGCTTCCCCACGAATCTAGGGCTGTCCCCAGAGTTGGATCGATCCTGCAATCCTCCCGGCCTCCACCCACACCTCGAGCCCTCTCTTGAATCACGCCCGATGCGACCCCAAAGCACCGAGGGGATCAACGACCCCGCCTACGACTTCCCTGACGATTTTCATAACGAGGGAGGAAATGGAGACTTAGGAGGAGAGTCGCCTTCGATGGCAAAAAACCCGCTGCTGGCGCCGGATGAGATCGAGTTGAAGTCGTGGGATGACAAGGGCAGCGTAGCCATCAACCACAAGGAGCCCAAGAAGACCGTGGTCAGCAACAGCAGACTGCTAGTCCTGTGGTGCTTCGCGTTGTTCCACCTGCCCGCCATCGCCATCACGATTGCGCTGCTCGCCCTCTACATCCAACAGGTCCAGTGGAATTCTGGCCACCCGACCAGCGAGGAGCTGAGCATCCTCCAGTTCGCAGCCAAGGCACACGAGACGTTTATTTTGCTCTCATTGACCGAGGTGCTTCTGTATAGGATTCGATCGTGTCTTCTAGGGGAAGAGGGCATCCCCATTGGATTTCTTGCGTCGGCACATTATATTGTTGCGCCGTTCAACTACTTGTTCAGCCGGGAGTTCTGGGGCACCGCGTTTACATCTACGACAAGAGGCCTTTCGCACGGGATTACAGTTGGGTTGTTTATCCTACTGGTGGCAATTGGGATTGGTGCAAGCCCATTCTCTGCCATTGCCTGCATTCCTCGTCTTCTCTGGTGGGAGGTCGGGAATTCCACCCAGGTCGGCGGCCCAGAAGCAACAACCCAATATATCCATCCTGGAACTGTATTCCAGACGAACCTGACGACTCCGTATGATGTGCCGTCGCATTCACTGATATGCGGGATCATGGAGTCCAACTCGCCGGGGTCTTGTCGTCAGACGAGCGTAGAGCCGATGATCAACGAGTTGTTTTCTGTTGTCTTTGGTGACGAGCCATATATTCCGCATATTGAGAACATCACTAGCACAAGGAGCGGGTTCCCTGAGAATGCGCGCCCCATCTCCTTGACAGTGTCTCGCTCGGTGCCCACCTCCCCCAAACCGTTTGGGGCTGCGTTCGCGACTGCATCGATGTACTTCACCAGTCTGGCGTTGATCAACGCGAGGAAGTTCTTCCCGCAGGAAGACAGGAACACCCCTGGGATGCTCCAGTCGCGGCCATCAAAGGCGGAAGAGTTCCCTATGGGTAAGTGGAAGCAGCCGCTCGTAGCTGTCAACTGCAACGCGACACTGCGCAAGAAGGACTCTGTCCCGTCCAAGGACAACATGATGAAGTTTAGCTTCTATGAGAACTCGTTCCATAAGAATTTTTCACTCGAGCTGGAAAAGGGCGTCGGGGACCTGAAATTTCTGGAGGAGTTCGGCAACGGGTCCACGGCGTTCAACCCTGTTTTTCTCGACATTCAGGACAAGGTTGACATGCCAATCAGCGCGGCTATTCTATTCGCGGGCAATGTGTCCAGCAGTCCCGGCTCAGCATCGTCGACTACCCTTTGCCTTGTGCAAGCTCGATGGGTGGAGGCAGAAGCGTGGATGAACGTAAATGAATCCCCCAACACGCATGTCCAGCTGGAAGTGCCGTTACCAGATGTGCCGGACTTCATGACTGAAACATCAACAACGGAGAATGTAATTCAACTGGGGCACGAGTGGCTAGGCGCTATGGACGCTATAGCGGATAGTCAGAACTTCACAGAGTCTGTGTCGGCGTATGGCGAGGCGTGGAGGATATGTCGGACACAGTCGCTGCCGTATTGCATGCCTGTCTTCATTTCGGTCTATCTAACTGACTTCTTGACGTTTGTGGGAGAGCTCCAGACGTATATACCGCCAACTAATCCCGACCACAACCCAGCTGCTACGCCTCCGGACGCTGACCAAGTTATTATTGACATGATATACTCGCGATACCGGTCTGGTTACTCGTTCAAGGACAGTATACCAATCCCAATAGCATTCGCCGTACTGCTGTTGCATGCTATCATCGCCATCGCGCAGACGATTTGGATTCTAGCCGCGCGAGACCCTTGGTACAGCGTCGCATGGGAGAGCTTTGGAGAGATGATTGCCCTCGCACTGCGGTCTAAAGACCAAGGAGGGCTTCACAACATCGGTGGAGGCATCAAGAGCTCCAAGACCTGGAGCACCAGGGTCGCGGTAAGGGAAGTAAGCACAGAAGGCCATCGGCTGGAATTGGTTATGTGCAGCGGCATCCCGAGCCAAGAAGGCACATATGTATCTAGCCCAGACCCTGCCCGACATGCTGCCTTGCGGCGTGTTCGTACTGGGATGCAGTATAGCTGAATATTAGTTTCAGTGCCGACCAAGGTTCATTCTCATGGTATCCCGAACACCAAGGGTCGTTTTGAATACCGCGAGTGCCACTATTATTAATTCAGATGTTTCTGGGCAGATGTCTGTGCTGGAGTGGACGGATAATGACTCTTGCATCTGCCGCATGAATGAAGAGCTCCGGATAGTTTGCCCCGTGTCGCCGAGCTCACATATTAATTCCCATCCACCTGAGTTAGAGATGCACCTCTGAGAATTTCGCCATCACCAACAAGTCAATTTCCTATCCTAGTAATAGGGGGTAGTACTGCCTTATAACAACATCTGCTTCTTGAAGGTACACTGGGATATCATCTTCTATTTCATTGATCTTCCATATGTCATAATATTTAAGTCAATCATGTAAGAAAACCAAGCAAATCATAACTTCAAGTACATCAACAGACAATCTCAAGTCCATCTTCCGCATTCACACCTCCTCGCTAAATCGCCACCTGGGAGGCCTATCGTTCTGGGTTCAGGCCGTACCTCTTCAGAAGTAGATGGTCTTGGCCGTCCTCTATCCCAGCTGGAAGATTGCTCCTAATCAGCAGCGCATGAGCTTCGCTCCTCGGAGTGAGCCGATAAGGATATTCTTTCGGATGGGCAACAATTCCAGGTTGAACCTCCAGTATTGGGTCAATCTCAAACCCCTGGCTGTCAACAGCTCTGCTGATGTTGAAAACGGCGATTGTTTGGGCTATCGTTAGAAAGAGACTTTGGTCGGCGAAGAAGCGGGCAGGACAAATCCTACGCCCTAGCCCGAACACAAATTCCTTGGGATCAAGCTCATGGTATGGAGCCATATATCGCTCTGGTAGGAAGGCTTCCGGGTCGTGGTACACACGTGGGTCCCGAGTATAGGCGAAGGTGTTTGCGATCACAGCAGCTCCCTTGGGTATGAAATAGCCTTGGAAGACTTGATCTTCATCACTTGAATGTGCAAGGCCTTGCGGTATGACAGACTGCCATCGGTATGCTTCCTTTATGATGCCATCAATGTATGGCAACTGATCTTGGTCCGCGAAAGTAGGTAGTCGATTTGGCCCTATCACCCTGTCGATTTCTTCGTGGGCCCTGGCAAGAACACCGGGGTATTTTACCAGAGCCAGATATAAAAATAACAAGGTCGAGTATGTTGTGTCCGCTCCACCAGCAAATAGTGACACCGCTGAATACTTGACATCATTCTCATATTCAGGGTCAAGTTTCTCCTCCTCGGTCTCCGATAGGAGATTGGACACGTAAGATGGCTGGCATGAATTGTCTCCAAGTTGGCGTTTGACGAATTGAAATGGAGTATTGACTGTTTCTAGGACCTCTCGGTTCCATCGGACGGCTTTTTGCTTAAAGCCCGCACCTGGACACCAGGCTGGAATATGTCTGAGAATAGGGAAAACATCCACAAGCCAACCTCCTGGCAAGACGGCAGCTGTGAGTCGATCCAACATACGACGAGCAAGAAACAACAGCGGGTCATCACTACTGGTATTGATGTCGTAACCGTAGGTGAGCTTTAAGATGATAGCAGCGCCTTGACTGTTATGAAGCGTTAGGCTTTACTCTCCACTCCCTTGATATGAGGCAGATCAATGATAAATGGGGATAAAAAGAGGAACATTAAGGCGTACATTTCTATGTTCTTGAACAGATTCTCAGGGAATTCCAACATCCGGACCAGAGTTCGGGCGACTTCTGTCTCTACAAGCGATTGCGTCGATTGGACAGCTTGCTTTGATCCAATGTGCTGGAGGATCAACTTTCGATGAAGACGGAGGGTATCTCCATATGGTTGTCCGATAGTAAATTGACCAAAGCCACACCTGTTCTAAAAGTCAGTATACTAAGAGTCACGGCCGTGGAAGCAACCATATTCAATCGCCAGATCGGATAACTGGCAGGATCGATCGTCTTTACTCACATGCGCCATCCAAATTCCAGCCATGGTCGTGAGGAGTTCTTGGCCCCTCCTTTGTCGAGTAATTCAACTGCCAGGTTTCTGTCGTGTAAAACCACGATTGTTTGACCCATGGCGGATATTGATGTAATGGGGCCGTATTTCTCATGGTGCGACTCCCAATGTTTCGCTTCTGGAAGTCCCTTTGGGGGCAGATCCAGCACATTTCCAACAATTGGGAGTGGCTCTGGGCCAGGAGGAAGCCTTGGGTGAGATTTATTACGTCGCCATTTCTCATAGGCAAGACATAAGCCACTAATGGCTATGGCAGACTGCGCCAGAAGTAGTATATTCAGCATGATTAAATCTCAGCAAGTTGTTATAAGTGCGGCTCCATCAAAACCCCTAAAGCTGAGGAGCTTACCACCAGTCTTTATAATTTTCCTCATATCAAGGTCAGTGTAGTCAGGTTCACGTATCATATAATGTCATGCCCGTGAACGGAACCCTTTCCGCAGCACATTTGCAGATGAACGACGGTGTCTTTCCCATACTGGGCATGATACTACGACTAGGTGGCCAGGACCCCGTTTGTCGATCGGGTTTCTTTTGGCATAAGGTGCATGAATATGTGGGTGCCGTAATACTGAAGTACTCTTCATTGGCTTACGGGTGTTGAGTATACCGATAGCTGAGGGGAGAAAATGCAAGAAACCCTCCATGGCCGAGATGAAGATGCAGAATTGCATACGCGATGACGGAAACATGCATAGCTTGTACATTTGGTCCAATAAGCGGCTAGCGACAGACATCGATCTCAATCTAAGCTGCACCCTGCGTAATTCCCATGATGGTCGGTTCAGCTGAATGCAGGTAATCAATATAAGAAAGATCTGCTTGGCACTAACATGTTTTGGAACAACACCTTTGTGGTGGCCGAGTTCAGAACACCGTGATCTTGCTTCAGAAACCCCCCTGGTCCTTTGCTTTGCGTAGTATTCTTGGATGAGTTGCGAGGCTACGGTGGTGGCTGTAATCTGCCCAGGTTGTGAGGGACTGGTGATCGTGGATAGATAGGATTTGTACAACATGGGCCAATCACGTATCCACATGCTCCTTGACGAATCGCCATGTGACCTCCCCAATATACGTAATTGTGCATGGCAAAGCAAGGCTGACCACTACTAAAATATGCAACTCTATCTTACGAATCAATATTGCAACCTCGGTCAGACGTATTGCATATCAGCCTCTCAGCTAACGCTTCTTGGCGTCCGTTACGTGTTCCTGTTGCTATGATTCGCCTCACACGAGGGCTTGAGACCGATGATCCTGCCATTTTGATATTTCTGGTATCCTCCCACTCCTTGGCCATCGACGTAGCCAAGTCACGCGGCGTTCGTCATTCTCTAAATCGGTCTAAACCTTCTATGGAAAGCAATCGAACCTCTGAGCTCGAGAAAAAATGTACCCCTAGACTACGGGACCACCCGCGGACATGGGGTAAGGTTACGCTGCAGCCATTGCGCTTAAAGTTACCCTTGATGAAGTCCAAGACACTGTTTTGTTGCTGGCCAATACATTGATGTTGCAATCGGTGCCTGCGGGATCTTGATAATAACGATGAGATCGATGGGTGGGTAAAAACGGATAAAAAGTTATGCATAGCAAAGTCAGCCTGGGGTGCTTTTGCAACAGCCAAGCTTATGCAGTCAACACTCTGCTGCCTCATAAAACCCTTGTTTTTGGTTCTACACGGTTGGATTCTTAATCGATGGTAATATCATCGCTCTATTTGGGACCTCAAGATTGGGCATTATCAAGGATATAGCAAGTGGTACAGACTCTTGAAGAATGAAGCATATGCCTCTATTTGGGTGTAATCACCAAAGATTCTCACTAAGCCTATCCTCAACGCCGGCCCATCTTGCTTCACTGAGGTTTTTGTGGCCATAAATGCAATATGAGAAATGGACAAGTAAGAGGCGGCGGTACAGTAGCCGACTAAGCAAGGCTCCGCTGTATACGTCAATAGAACAAAAGTCCAGTGAGCAAGACCCTCCTCCTCATGCAAAAAGAAAAGATGAATCAGCCCCAGTGAACTGTTCTTGCGCCAATAGTCCGCATTTTCGCCACTCTCGCCTGCGCGCTGCTTCCGCTGTGTTAGGGTCGATTACGGAAGCATCCGCTCATAATCCGACAGTACGGCCGCAGAAAGATGTTTTGACCAGACGTTTGTAGCCCCTCAGTGGCTTCCTCGAGGTCAGGCGTTCTGGTATCGCCGGAAGACGGGCGAAAAGACTGCCAAATTTATCCTCGTGGATATTCCGCGCGTCCTGCGTTTGACCACGCGCAGCTTGCCAACGCACTGGAGGAATACGCAGGAGGAACCAAGATCTATTCGGAAGCGCTGTCATTTTCTTGGATAGAGCTGGAGGACTCAGCTGTCCGCTTCCGCTTTGAGGGTCAGATATGGCAGTATCAGCCTGGAAAAAAACCTCATAAAATGGCCTGGAGAGTTTACACAGGGAAACAAGACGCTCATGCGGAGGCAGGAGCCTTCTATGAGCAATCATGCAAGCGAGATTGCCTCGATTAATTTCATCAACTGTACGAGGGCTCCACTAAACCTGTATGATGTGAACAAAGAGGGCGTAGAGGAGTTTTTCATGCTTTTGTCAGTAGGAAAGCAACTGGTTCAGAAGACTCATGCCGGAATGTTCTGGCGATTTGAAGATCGTGATCCACGTCAGTTGAGAGACATCTACAGTGTGCCGGATGTGGGACACAGCACTGTTGTTGTGGGCGAGGTTGATGTTGATAAATATTTGGGCCCTGGGAATGATCTCCCTGAGGATTGGTCGCAGCGAAGGGATAGCAATGGCCGCATCTATTGCTTGGACCACAACACGAAGACTACTCATTGGGACCTTCCTGCCATCCTGGATGATTCGAAGAACCAGGAAGCCGCTGCAAAAAGACAACCCGACGGCGAATCCAAGAGTAATGAAGTGACTCAGACCGAGCAGGTGGATAATGATGATAGATCGACAGACAGCTACGATGACCATCTCAAAGTAGGAGGTCTTCATGTATTTGTTGAAAAGGGCAGCCTCTGGCTGAAAGATAATGATGGAATCGAGACCCAGCTCTCTGAGCCAAAACTTGAAGGCTTTCGCCATGCAAAAGAGACAGTCTATGTATCTCCCGACAAGAATTTTGTTGTCGCTTGGGAGTATACCCATCCTACTGAAACGAAAGAGTTGGGGATCGACTATAGCCCTGATACTTCAAATCACCCAAGGCTGGTTGAAACGCCGAGTAAGTTGCTTGGGGATGACCCTGGATTTGACCGGCCTCGCCTATTTAACCTTGCCTTAAAATGTGAAGCCAAGATAGCAGACGATGTCTTTGTCGGCCAGTATCAGTTACATCATCTAGGATAGAGTCCGGATAGTTCTGAGTACCGGCTTTCATTTGATGGACGCGTGCATCAAGTTTTGAAAGTATTGGCCGTCGATCAGACCGGATCCATCCTAGTGTTGCATAAAGAAGAGACTCGAACGTTCATTGACGTTACATCAAAGACATATTATCAGCTACTTTAAAAGTCTGACAGATTAATTTGGGCCAGCGAGAGAGATGGCTATAATCATCTCTATCTGATCGCTTTACAACAGGGCAGAATACAGCATCAGGTCACCCAGGGGCACTGGAATGTCCATATGGTTGAATCGATTGACGAAGAGTATGAGCAAGACAGGGTTTCTACCTACGGGTTTTATAAATATGAAGACCCCTATTATGTATACCTCATACGTGTCAATTTCGATGGCTCTAATGTTCAGCCCCTGACACAGGGTGATGGAACGCATTCCTGGAGCTGGCCGATGGATAGTCGGAAGTATTTTGTTGATTCTTGGTCCCGAGTTGATCTTCTGCCACAGACCATGGTACGGTGCGGCATAACAGGTATCTCCGGATTGAAAATTGAGGGAACATCTGTTAAGGTATTAAAACAAAAGGGTTGGGTTCCTCCAGAGTGATATCAATGCCCTGGTCGAGACAGAATAACACCTATATACAGCATCATCATCAAACCATCCAACTTCAGCAAATTCAAGCCCCAGAAGTATCCGATTGTTGAAGATATCTATGCAGGGCCATATTACTTCTTCACACCAAAGGGTTTTAGTGAAGTGATACATTAGACTCCCTGGTCGAAATGCGGCTAAATGTCTGTCCAAGTAGATGGGATGGGCATTAATTAGCGGTCTAAGAAGTTCTACGACGTCTGCTATAAAAATGACATGGATATCCGTACGAAGGTTAGAGTTTTCTGGCCGTATGACTCCTTGGGTGTACTAGGAAAGGCTATATTTTTAAGCTTTTCGTATTCATTGCGTTGAGTTGTTCCGGGCCCTGGCAGCTTCATTGTTGTTAAAGTTTATTATCGTATTCTCCCACGCACGCTGGGTTTCCAGATCGCATCATATGGATGAAAGACGCAGCCAAGACCCGCCCCTGGATGGATCTCAGCTGGGTAGGGATAGTAGGCTCGTCTGAAGCAGGCGCCAACGCTGCTGCTGCTTTACTACGCCACGGTCATTTCTATAAAGTTGCTATATCCAGCTCCGGTGCGCATGATCAGACACTTTCCAACTTATGGTGGTCGGAGCAGTGGCTGGGTTATCCAGCCCATGAGGCGCCTGCTGAAAATTCAAACACAATCCACGCGAAGAAGCTCCCTGATCACGCAAAACTAATGCTCATTGCCGGAGGTATGGATCATGCACTGAACCCTGCATCGGTTATGAGGTTTGTCCAGGCACTCGATAAGTGTAACAAGATGTACGAGCTGGTTTTTATTCCAGATGTCGGGGATGAATGCGGCTCAGAGACTTATGCACCCATGCGAGCAGAAGCGTTCTTGAAAGCCAACTTAGGCTCTTGAATAGGGCTTGGGATCAATATTTCCGAAACTTGTTGCTCGAACCGGGGCCCGATGGTAATAGTATGCTCGTGATTCATTCAAAAGTCTATATATATCTCATACGATATCCTGTTCTATCATATTTTGAAAGCTTGAGAGTATTTCTATTAACACTATCTTCTCTAATCTCTTTCTCTTTTTATATTATTCTACTTAGTCTTTTTATTAATAATGATTTTCTTATAATAATTATATTCAATAAATCAATCATCTTAAAACTCTATTGCTGCGTCGTTGAGCAGCAATGCGTGTGCGGTCGACACCGGCAACGCTTTCACAGCGAGTGGACCAAGGACGTTGGTCGGGTATTCGCAGCTACACTGAAGGCCAAGTATGAGTATAGTCAAGTTTCTTCTCGGATGTTTGCCATTTGTCAGGTACATAACAGTGCTTTATACAAGCTTGAGGCTACCAATTCGGTGAAGAGTGCTCTCGCTTTTGGCGCTGGAGGAGGCAAGATTTCCGTTGGAATCTTCTCATTATGGGTCTTGCAAGTAAGAAGATATAGGACAAGAGCCGTACAAAGCAGTTTTACATTCTATAAATAGCTTGTATGAAGGTATAAAAAAACAAAAAATCTGCCGTATGACTGCAGCCTTGGGCTAGCAAAGCTTCCTTTATTAACCTTTCGTATTCATTGTATTGAGCTTGTTGGAATGACATCTTCTTTGTTTTAACGTTCAAGCTACATCTACTCCGGTATAAATGGCTTGTATATAACGCTAGGCGAGTTGTATATTAAGCTTCAATCCCTGTAAGTCTCCTTATCACAGTATTCTCCAGTGGTTCGACGTTCGGGGAGAAACCAAAAATTAGAACCTGCCCTTTCCTACATCCAAGGATAACATTGCGCCCATATACGAGCGTCTCGATCACATCGTAATCTCTAGGTATATAAATTACCTTGCGGTCGTTCCAAGTGATCCAAATATCCTTGTCATCTTTCTCACCCTCAAGCAGGACGCCGTAAGGGGCCCAAGAGGACCGTTGGTCCCGGTTTGACGCAGTCACGCCGTCAATAATCGGAATTGCCCTTGCGCCCCAGTGTGTCATAATGTGGCCACTGGATTTTGGATCGTAGTATAGTCCTCGATAGATGTGCTTTGTTTCGATTGGACCGCTCACTCTCTTCCCTTTCGTTATGTCCCAAATCATGATGCTGTTATCATCGGATGAAGACAGAACAAACTTCGACCCGGAAATGAAAGTGAGATCCACGACTTGACCTCTATGGCCCTCTAGAGCAGGGAACCGAGGGGAATGACTTTTCAGGTCCCAAACCCTGACAGTACAGTCATCTCCTCCAGACACTAGAGTCTGTCCATCGGGAGAAAAGCAGACACATGTGACGTATCCTGCATGGCCACTCAACTCCTTGCTTATGGATGTGTTTTCCAAGTCCCAGACTCGAACCATATTATCATCAGACGCCGATGCCACGAAGCGCTCGCAGGGTGAAAAGGCGGCTTGCCTAACCCAGTCTGTATGCCAATTTAGCGTGTGAATATTTTCTCCATCGTCGACTCTCCATATTTTGACACTTTTGTCAATCGAAGACGATGCTAGTAAGCTGCTTTTCGGCGAGAATATGAGATGAAGAACGGATTGGTCGTGTGGCATCTCCTTTTTCCCCTCCATAAGTTGTCCGGTCTTTGCATTCCAGAATCGAATTCGCGCACGCTGAGCTACCGCAATGCAACTCTCATCAGAAGAGATCGCGAGGGCATAGATAGGGTCATCCGTGGGAACAACAGCAGAGGGGGGTGTTATGGCTCTTTCCTCATTGTGCCAGAAACTGATAGTAGCCGTTTTTGATGATGTGGCAAGGTAGTGTCCTGCAGGCGAGAAAGCAACGCGCAGCGGGGCTCCTTCGTCTTGAAACACGGCTTTGGTTTGGCTGCTCTTGATATCCCATAGCTTGATTACGCCGGTTGCATCGGTCGAGGCGATAGTGGCGCCATCGGATGAGAATGCAAGGGACGTGACGTGTGTAGGAGAAAGAGGATCAAGTTTAACAACGGGATGCTGCTTGCCCAACTCATGAATATCCCAAATTTCGATTGAACCTTTGGCCAAGGCGAGTCGTCTCGCGTCCTTGGAAAAGGCTAGGCATTTGCTCGATGGGAAGGTTAGAGAGTGGCGGATTTGATAGCTGTCGGTATCTAGTACTTCTACCTCGTCTTCGTACATGCAGGCGACTAGTGCACCGCCATGTGAGTACTCTGCACCCCTTACGCGCTTCGTAGTATAAAAGATGCGTTCTTGGCGAACATATGTCGTCATGTCCCAGGTTGACAACGGACGATTAGATGAATCTGCGACAAATAACCTCTTGCCATCCAACGAGAATTTGACAGCTACGATCTTTCTAGTGTGCTGAAAGTCCAGAATCGGTTGTCCCAAAGGGAGGCTCCAGATATGAAGCACGCGATCGTCCGAACCGGAGGCCACAAAGTCTTGGGAGATGCTGACGCGAGTGACCCAGTCATCGTGGTCTTGAATCACCCGTTGAGTTGTCCCGGTCTCAACATCCCATATACGCACAGTCCTGTCGTCGCTTGCTGAGACCAGCAATTTTCCATCAGACGAAAACTCGATGTCTCTTATGACATCGGAGTGGCCCTGCAACTCCAAGAAAGTGTAATGTTCTGGTATCATAGGTCTTACAGTAACCCAGGGAAAGTGTTTTGCCAGGGAGTTTTGCTTGGCTCCAGTACTCTCTGGGCAAAACAGGAAAGCATCCGCAGTTGAGACCGACCGAGGAGTGCCGAGTGCGTAGACGCTCAAGAGCTGGCCTGCATCTCGAATGAGAGAAATCAGATTACTCTCCGATCTCGAATTTCTCTAGGCAATCCAGTTAGTTGTCATGTAGAAATTTTATATGGCGAGGCAAACGTTACCTTCCACAATAATAAAAGTGTGCGACATTGAGACATTGCCAAATCGAGCTGTCCCATGTCTTTTATCGCTTTCAGCCACTCTAACACATGGTTTTGGAGGAATAAAGAAATGGACGCTTTCGCTTCGGGATGCTTTGAAATTTCCGAAATCTCGCAGGCATGCTTCATCCAGTGAGACAAAGGATAGCTGACTGGCGTCGATGACTCCTCTACCGTCGGTGCCGTCGGTGCATCGCTGTGTTGATTTTCGGAGTTGTTGTCAAAGAAATTGGAAATGGCATCAAGACACCTTTGGACAAGGAACGAGTGAAGGGACTCTGAATCTTCATATTTCGAATTCGCTTTTTTTATAACATGATCCATGGACATCTGGTGTGGAAAGTGAACGAATTTGTCTCGCATCTCGAGAAAGCCGTAGCAGCTTGTCAGAAGGTCAGTCGGATGAACCCACTGCGGCAGCTGAGCCAGGGCTGCCAGTTCATCCACATGCAAAGATCGATACGCGGCAGCGGCAATTGAGAGGATCATTCTGCAGCTCTGGGGGTCATGGTATGGAAGTTGCTCAATCCGTGTGTCCAAGTAGGCAAAGAGATCCCCGAGTAATGTTGGGGCCTCACTAAGAACGTCAAGGGCATGCCGTGGCTCTGTCGTACGTAGCATTTGGCATATCGCGTGAATCCATGGATAGTTCCCCCCAGAACGATCCACAATCAGCTGCTGGACTTGGTCTCTCAGAGCAGTATCGTAAAACCTTTGTCGGGAAAGGGAGAAGACACGGTGGGCGACGTACTTCTCCACAGCGCAATACATGAACTTGGCCTGCGTACCCAAGTTCAAGTGAAAACTTCCCTGGGGTGTGACATTATTTGCACGAGTGGAGGCCAGCCATTTGATTCGTGGCGTCACCTGGCCCGATGTCTCTATGAGCTGCATGAGATCACTTGACCCCACACACTCGTCGACTGCATCAACCACCACGTAAGTCTGCGGGAGGTTGCTGTCTTGTAAGATGTCGTAGAAAAGACCCGATAGAGGTACAAAGTCACTGGGGTGATTGAAGTGCTTTCGTCCCGTTGAAAGGCGGAGGTTCGCCAAGTGAACGTCTAATGTGGGCTGCTCAAGCAGTATCAAACAGATGAGGCTCTTAACCACAGAAGCAGCTGAGCGTAAGACAGGCCCGCTGGCGCTGATAAAGCAGTATAACAGACGTGGCAAGTCCGGGGTGTCTTGCGCTTGCGCCAAAAGGTTCTGCACAACAGTTGTCAACAGCGTCGACTTGCCACTGCCCGGGGGGCCGGTAATCCAGAACGTTGTGGCTTCCTTGTTGTTCCAGTCAAGGAACTCCTGGTATTGGACCGTTGAAGCAAGCCATTGGTATGCTTCTTGATTTACTTCGGTCGATCTGTTGACGAAGTCCGGCCTGGGATCGATGGCATCCAAGTCGGCAAAGACCTGACTTTCTTGGTGGCTGTGACTCGACTTGTTGGCAGAGTAGACAGAAGGCTGCCGGTCCTTTGGTGAGTCTAAAAGTTGGTTGAGCCGGTGCTTGAAGTCTTGGCCGAGGGAAGCAGCCAAAGACTGCTCGGCATCATATATGGTCGACGGATCGGATGCTGGCAAGTCGGGTAGGTCTCGAACGAGATGTATCAGCTGGGTCCCGTGCTTGCGGCATACGACGGTGACAAAGAAAGTCAAAACACTTTCGTAGAGGCCAACAAGATGGACTCGAAGGAGCGTCAACTGCTCTTGGTCAAGGTAGGCGTGATCGTTTTGATCGTTGGCTGTGACCAGCCGGCTTAGCTGCATGTACCACTCCATCTTTGTGACAAGGTCGATGGTGCTAGAGCGGTCGTCGTCGGACGATTGATTCAACTGTGTCTGAGGAAATGTTAGTAAACGCGTCTCAAGCTAAACGATGGAACTCTTGCCTCTAAGGCGATGCAGGCCGCGACCCAGCCAAGCACGGCTTGGGGGGTTCGCTCTATTATCTGCCGAAGTGAGGTCTTCGGCGAGAAGACGTGATCGCCTTGCTCCAAAGATGATGTAGATTTGCCAAACCACGTTTTCAAGACCAAGCTCATCTGTGAGTGTCTTGCCGATGGAATTATTGAGAAGATGGAACTTTCGATGACTTCAGAAGTCCAGGCGTGAAAGTCACGTGGGGAAGAAGGAACGACGTCTTCACTGAGTCGGGAGTTCAAGATCTTCTCGTACCATGCGACTAGACTAGGGTTGCTAGCTCTGAGCTGATTATAGGCGTCGTCCCAGAGTGCCTCCAGCTCGTCGTTTCTTGAGGACCGAGTCGCTGTTACATCTGGGTCAGCATTCGAGGGAGTTTCGGTTGGCGCTTCCTCGACAACATTGGGTGAAGCTACGGATGAGGCTTCCTGTTTCTCGACCTCTACCTCGACCTCAACCCTACGCCCGCTTTCCTCCTCCCCTGCTAGTGACAAATTCTCAACCATGGCTTGAACTGGGGCATTCTCTTCCGCGCGCATAATCAATGGCGTCTCGGGGACCGGCTCAGAAACTTGGCCTGCAGGCTTTCCATCTTGCTTGGGAGCCTCGTTGCCCGACGTTGCGGTCGAGCCGCTCTGGCCATGGGCGTCATAGGAGACGGCAGCGCCGTGTTGTGAGTCGGTCCTCCTTAGTCGCCGCCTCACCTTTTGTACTATTGAATCCATGGTGGAAGATGCAATGCAGGATGAATGCCGACGATGTGTTTCGCAACGCGAGGATACGCCCCTGTGGGCATTTGCTAGGACATATGGCTTACGGTCCTTGTTGCCCAACGCAGGCCATGAGAAACTGGTGTCGGTACCGCTGTGCCACCCGTCCTAAACGCCGATTAACTGCTCACAAGGGCCCTTCTCGTTCAGCTCATGCAGGTCAGCCACTTGACGCTGATCATGTCTGGATATGACCCGAGTGTCTTGATATTACCCGAGTCTAGGTATGACCCGAGTGTCTGGATATTACCCGAGTCTGAATATGACCCGTGTCTGACCACCATCTTGCAAGACAGGTGGTAAGCGGTACTTGCATGGCGACGCTGCCACCTCGTTGACTCTCAAGGTACGAAGACAAATGCGCCAGAAATGGGCTGCCCGAGCAAATGGGTTCTTGCATCACCCTCACAAGGCTCGGTTTTCTATCTTTCCTTTCTCACCTCTTAACTGTCGCGCCTGTTCCCACCGCTACTTACGTTACACTGTCCCCTGCTCCTCAAAACTGGCTCAAGCATGGCAAGCGTCAACCCTTTTGTAGCAACGTTTGACCAGGATACTCTTCAAAACGCATGGAATGCGATCGATGCTGGAGACATCTCGGAAGGGAAAGTGTACTGGAAGTTAGAGGCGGTCATTTCGGCAGCCCAAAAGCAGCAGCGGACAAGCACCAATGGCGATGCTGATCATGACGAAGAGTCCCGCCCAAAGGACACACTTCTTGAACACCTAAAGGAATTTCTCGACTGGGGCGACTCCGTAGATCTCAGTCGCTTTTTAATCCTCTCTGAAGCAGTCAAGGAGTACCAAAAGTCTCTCTCACGGAATGACCCATCAAAGAAACGTTCGAAACCTCTCCCAGGCTCAGGAACTCCGAGGTCGGCTCCGTCAGCTCGAGACCAAAAAGAAGAGGACGGCGACCAAAGCAATGGCTCCGGAAAGATACGCCAAGATCATCCTGCCTACAATATAGCGCTGGCAATGTGTCAGGTCGATCCCACTCTACCTTTTACATCGTCCAAGGAACCCACTCTATCTTCTATATCGTCCAAGGAAGAAGAAATGCCACCGTTCCATATCGCAGCAGATGCGGGGCTCACTCCGTTCGTGCAGATCATGCTACGTGGACTGGGTAACGATCAAGAAAGCATCACTGAACATGTTTCCCGCAAGTATCAGGGGAAAACAGCGCTCCGTAGGGCAGCGACAAGTCCCCATTTAGATGTCCTCATGTTGTTTCGAGACAAGTATGCGAATCTCATAGATATCGAGAGTATCATCTTCACGATACAGAAGACCGGTCCTAAAGATGAAGGAAAGGCAGACGCTTTTCTAAAGGCTTTCGAACTCCTCGCACAGGCCAAATGTGTTTTCAAGCCGGAGGGCACCCCGTACGATGACAAGATATGGAAAAGTGCCACCGAGGTCGGTTCTGCGAAAGTTTTGAAATGTCTTCTTCAATCCGATTGGCACGACAAGTTCGCTACGTACAAAAATGCCAGGCTAGTCATCGAGAGTGGGGATTTGTCGTTGTGGAAACTGTTCAGCAAAGACACTCGGAAGACCTTCATGAGGAACTCTAAGTGTGACTTCTTGCACGTGGCGGTGCAGAACCGGAGGCAGGATATGGTGGCCGACTTGCTAAAAGAATTCCCAGAACAAGTTGTAGTGAAGGCTCCTAAGTATCCTTTGGAGCATCTGTCAACAAAAGACAGTAGCAAGGACGATGTCGCCTTTAGTACTATTCGTAACGACCTCATGGCTGCTATGATATACGACAGAGACTTGAGCATCCAGCATATTCGCAAAATCCTAAAAGACTCTAAAAGTATGTGATCAATGAACCATGGAATGAAAGCAATATTAGAGGCATACTGGCTAACCGATTCTCAATAGTTGATGGTACGAAAGCAAGGCTATGAAATGGAGTCCTTTTCATTGCTGTCGTATAGCTGACTTTGAACACCAGGGAAAGGAATGTGCCTTCATCTGACCTCGATGGACACCTCGGAGCGCAATTTCTTTGACTACGTGCAGTTTCTTATCTCTTCCGAGAAGATGCAAAGGCCCTTCTTCAAATTTGAGAGCGTGCTCAAGTATGCTGCGTTCCCCAATCTCAGAACCCCATCCTGCCCCAACAATGCGTTGCCACTCAAAAGTAAGCACCTTGACCACAAGGAGATTCAAGATGTGTATGAATGGTTGAGACGTCGAAACGTCACCAAGGTAATGGAAGTTTCGGTCCCCGACCGACTCGACGATCCCCACTCGGACGATGTGGTAGCCGAGTGCATAAATGGGTGGGACACTAGGATTCTCAAATGGAAAAAGCTGGATCTCTATCTCGGTAACCTCTATAAGGGGGACGAAGATAAGCTAGAAGAGCTCGAGCTCTATAGTAGTGGTAACCGTTCAGTGCATGATCAGTGGTATCAGCAGCTAGAGCGCTTCAAGAAGGTGAGACGGAACCACGGTGGTCATCCAACTTCATTGCGACTAACAGGAAAATTGTAGCTACGAAAACTCTCGGTTTGGGTGGTGAAGGTGAGTGAGCCCGCGCTAATCATTTTGCTTTCATTATAGCCCAATCTGCTTTCTAAGCATTGCACGTTGGTTAACGGGGCTAATTTACAAGTCTAGGACGTGATGAGCGATGCCCGGGTAGAACTGGTCAAGAAGGAGCTTGAAGATAGACTAGCTCAGGTAAAGGAGCGCTTAGTCGAAAAAAAGAAGAAGCGCTCAGAAGAACAGCAAGAGAAGCCCTCGGAAGAACAGGATGACGACCCTGACGATCAGCCATTCACACTGGACAGCTGCTTGTGGGACAGCAACCTGTCCTATGCTGTTCCGACCAACCTCGAAGATATGTATGTGTTTTCCCCACAGACTCTTGTTCAGACCTTGAAATACTTATCCTATTGATTCGGGTAGTGCGGTGCAGACAGCCTGGCCGACACTCGATGCATTCACTCAGGCTTTCAAAAGTTACCCAGGCAGTAACAAGGCTCGCAAAACAAAGGTTGCAATCATAGATAGCGGAGTGGTAGTTTACGGGGGCCTGAGCGAGATCAACTCCTCGAGCAGTGCAAGCCCCGGTCAGGACCTTGCCCATAGGATTGTCGACGGGGTGTCACTGGTGAGCAGTGGCAACTCGGAGGAGCCGTTCTGGCACGCCACTGATCCGCACGGCACGCAGATGGCAAAGCTGATTAGCTCCATCAACCCGTTGTGCGAGCTTTACGTGATTAAAGTCACCGAGACCAGAACCGCCGGAGTATCGGCGAACAACGTTGCTGCCGTAAGTACATGACACACTCCTTGGAACAGTCTACCAATGCTCACCACCACCAGGCCATCGAGTGGGCGCGAGAGAAGAAGGTGGATATCATATCGCTCAGCCTCGTGGTGTACCAGGATAGTGACCAGAATCTGGCACACCAGATCAACTTAGCCAAGGACGAGGACATTGTGATACTCTCGAGCACGGCCGACGGCGGCATGCGCAAGGAGAACACAACAACGAGCGCCGACAAGTCAGCCCACATAGAGGTTATCAATATTGGAGCCTCGGACTGGAACGGCAACCTGCTCAATGAGAGCCAGAAGGCGGGCTACGACTACTGTATGGTGGGACAAAACGTTCCCGTCGGCCTTGTGCCGTTCCTCAAGTCTCGCGAGGTCGTCACCGGGAGCTCCGTGGCGACGGCGCTCGCTGCGGGTTTGGCCGCGTTGATCGTGGCCTGTTGCCGTATCTCGACAAACTGCAACACGGAATGCGATGCCACAAACTGCACCACGGAATGCGAAGCCACAAACTGCACTACGAAAGGCTATGTCACAAACTGCAACACGAAAGGCTATGCTAAGTGGCGCTATAGAATGGTCATGGCCACGATGAAGCGCATGAGCGTCGGGGAGACGCCTCCCAAGTGGGTAGACCTGGATAACTTTTGCGGTAAGGGGAAGCAGCTCGGTGGGGAATTTCAGTTTGAGCAATTTGTAAATAAAAACTTCAGATTTCCTTAGGCGCTACCATCACGTGGGAAAGTTTAACAACAATGAAGCTGCCCGGGCCCGGACAACTCAATGCAGTGAATAGGGTGCTACCTTTAGGATGTTGAGGTGGGACGGCACTGGGGCAGGCGTTGCTTCACTTGGGTATCTTTATAATTTGCACAATAGTCAAACACCACGGTTCAACTCAACTCACGTGCAAGTGGATAGTAGACTCTGTCCATTGATGGGCGAACTTGGTGACTCCGAAGCTCGGCGCCATGTACCGACAAGTACCACTTATCGAAGCAAGGTACCGGCGTAACACCAAGAAGTCTCGTATATGTAGTGTAACAACCAGCTGACTGTCTCGGAGATTGCATTAGGCCAACTGCATCCGATAATCAATGCAGTGGAAGGCGGCTTATTAGTGAGGGATGGAAGGAGATCGAAAGCGAGCAATACGGGCGTCGAAGTACGTACCCTTCATGTGGCCTTATAAGCACTTGAGCGCACACACAATCTCGCCATGGCGGCCTCGATCTGATACCGACTACCAAGCTATCCCACTACTATCTTCCTATCCCACTTCTATCCTTCTATCACACTACTATCCTACTATCCCAGTGCCATCCTGCTAGCCCACTACATCATGGCGACCGACGATTACTTCTACCAAGAGACCAATGCTGACTTCAGCCGCAACCTCGGCGAGCTGAAGACGGACAACCCTGAAGGCAACCGGTTCCAGCGACAATTCCCACACCTCTCTGACGTCAAGTCCAAGTTCAAGAAGACAGTCGAGACGGTGCTCTGCGTCCACGGGCAGAAAAGCGAGAAGGAGCCAGGTGTGCCCATGACGCTGCTGGTTCTCGGCGTGCAGCTCAACTGCCACAAGCGGGACTTCCGCTTCCAGTCGGTGAAGATCTGGCTCGAGTTCGGCGAGGACGACAAGGCGGATCCGCCGAACGCGGTGCCGGCCAATGCAAAGGTCGTCGCGTTCGCGCCGTGGGCCCAGGAGCGGCGCTGGAACGAGAACGATGGGAGCATCACGAATAAGAAAGGCGGTACAGCCGGTGTGGGCGCTGAGCAGATCGCCAAAATCGAGCTGAGCGGGACGATGGAGCACCAGATTGCCTACACGCGAAAGTATTTTGACCGGGGCACGGCAAGCCGGATTGCTGACGAACACACTGGTAGAGTCTATGGGGTCGAATGGTACTGCGAGCAGAACAAGCTGCAGAAGTTTGGCGTCAAGCCGTACTTCCTTCTCGCCGTGCTTGTCGAGCGTGCTTCCGCGGCTACCTTCAGCGCCACGTACAAAATGCGCATCGAGGCTGGTTTCATGCACGATCTGGGCCAGGGGATACGCTCCGCCTTTCGCCTCCGCCGTCCCGAGGACGCGCCGCTGTACTATGATCCGTCCCTGCCACCCCAAGCCCATGGGTTGGAGGACGAAGGCATCAGTCTACTCGCCAAAGTCGATTCGAAGAATCTTGGTGCCCTAGCTGTTGGGGATCAGTTGAGTAAATTTGTGGATCCCGATGAGGGTGCGCTTTCGGTTGCTTTTGAGCCGCTTCAACCGCCAAAGGAGGATGACGATGATGCCGAGGATGATGACGATGATGCGTGAACCTTATGTTTTTATGGTGCACGTTTATAGAAATGGAGCATCGGGGCTGAATGTCAGCGAGAGCTTATCAATCTTGCTTTAAAGAACAGAGCTGACTTTTAAGAGTCAGCTACCTAGTATTAGAGGACTACGTAGAGTAGGTACCTAAATAAGCACAGTATTGCTCTGACTAAGTTTCTTCAGAGATTTCTTCGTCTAGAGGCTCATATCTGCTGGTTGTTCCGTCATACAGCGTGGACAAGTCTCGAAGTAACCATGTACCATTCGAACTAAGGTAGGTTGCCAGTCATATCCCGTCCAGATCCAATACCTCACCTCACCGCCCTCGTAGATGTTTAAAAAAGAAAGAAGTCTGCCAATGATTGGTTAAATTATGCTGGCCTGTTCCTTGAGTAAATTGAACTTACTTGTTCTTTTCGCGCAATAGCACTTGGCTTGGACGCCCAGTTGTACGCCAGATCACACCATCCCTCAGGGCTAGAGTTTTACTGCCACCCATCATAGTTCTTCACTCGTTACGTTCCACCTTCCTATCCAAGCTGCAAATTCGAATCCATGGTATAATTCAATCGTATGTATTTCTCTTTTTCAGTTAATATGGAAAGTTATTTTAAATCAGATCGACGGTAGTAGGGTAGCTATGTAGCTGCCATATTGAGCCAAGCTAAGGCGGCCAGGACGGTGCTGTACGACAGGACCAAAGGTTGACGAAGTTGTTATTCACAGCCGTAGTAACTAATAAACATCTGGCTTCCGTTTCTGAGTCGCCAAAGCTTGCTTGGCGCAGCTTGCTCTTGCCAGAAATGAAGATCAGAGGATCCTAGTTTACAAATAAGTAGTATGAAGTCGAATGGTCATAGAGGATCATACTATGGAAGCAGTTGGGTCACATTTGATGCACAGTACAGATTTTCAGTGTAGACTTCTTGATGAAGCCCCCATATATCAGTTGCCACGTCCACATATCACGCGATAAATTCTTTCTTGGAGGATTACTCAAATTACTATCACTATACGAAAGGGTTCACAGGGCCATGTAATAACCCAGCACCTTGGTAGATGCGATATGTGAAGTTGAAAGTGGACCCGTGAGGATGCATCTGTCCTGACCAAGGTCACAACGGGATTAGCGCTCCGCAACGCGAGAAAATTTGCCATGCACTTTACTTATCACTATAAACCCTGTGAAGATATCCCGTGAGGTTTGAATAAGGGAGGCAGGAGCTATCGGCTTGATGCATAAGAGTTAACGGAGCAGGGGTTATTGCGTGATAATAACATAATACACAACCACAAGAGTTCGAATACACACACATTATTGACCCAAAAAAGCACATGTTATTATCCGTATCCGCTCAATCCAACCGATGTAATACTAACACAATAAGCAGATGAATGTGGTCAGCTTACGAGCTTACGGCCTTGCCCCTCAAAGAAAAATCTGCCTTACTAGTTTCTAGGCAACTCGCCTCTGCATTTGCAGTTTCCAAGAGGCTGTTTGACGTTCCTCGGGACTTGGACGCTTGAAATTGGACTGATGTATGACTGCTTCGCACGTTATTGAAACAATAAGGCGCAATGTCTAGCAACCAGCTGACTCACAATGATTACTCCATCGGATGGATATGCGCATTGCCAAAGGAGCAAACTGCGGCGAAGGCTATGCTGGACAAGTTCCACGGCCCTCTCAGCAAGCCTAAGGAGGACCATAACGCGTATACGCTGGGCTCAATCGGCAAACACAATATCGTCATAGCCTGCCTCCCCCGAGGGGAAGTGGGAACCAGCTCAGCGGCAGTTTCTGCGGCACATATGGCTCACACTTTTCCAGCTATCAAGGTCGGCCTTATGGTTGGGATTGGAGGCGGCGTCCCACCTCCCGTCAAACTTGGCGATGTCGTGGTTAGCACACCTGTTGATCAATATCCTGGTGTTATTCAATGGGACTTCGGAAAGGCCGAAAAAGATGGCAAGTTCAAAAGGATTGGCGCTCTTAATAAACCCCCAAGGGCGCTCTTGACCGCGTTGGCACAGGTGGAGAGCGATCATGAGATGTACGGGTCGCATATTCCTCAGTATCTGGACGAGCTGAAGGGGAAATTTCCAAAATTAGCAGCCAAGTATACCTGGTCTGACGCTAGGAAAGACCCTTTGCACGAGGAAGACGCATGTAACTCTGGCACCGAGGATATTGCTGTCCATTACGGGCTGATTGCATCTGGTAACAAGGTGATTAAGGATGTCAACACCCGTGATGAGATCAACGAGATGCTCGGAGGGAATGTCTTGTGTTTTGAGATGGAAGCAGCAGGACTAACAGATTTCCCATGTCTGGTTATTAGAGGAATATGTGACTATGCGGACTCAGGCAAGAACAACGATTGGCAAGAATATGCCGCTGCTGTAGCGGCGGCGTTTGCAAAAGAATTACTCAGCTACATCCAGCCAAACGACTTTGAGGGAGAACTACCAATGAAAGATGCTCTGGACCGTAGTGAGTATTCCTGCGGCACACGGATAGAATCGGGCTAACAATGAAGCAGTCGATGCCAATGTGGCCACCACTCAAGGAGACGTCGCGTATATCCGATCGGAGATAGAAAACAACGACGATCGAAACATTCTAGACTGGCTCACGTCGATTAATTATGGACAACAACAGAGTGACCATTTTAAAAGGCTGCAGCCGGGAACTGGGGAATGGCTAATTGACTCGAAAGAATTTCAATACTGGTTGAATACGGCTAACCAGACGCTTTTCTGCCCAGGCATCCCCGGGGCCGGCAAAACAACTCTGACCTCGATGATGATCAATCATATCAGTTCCAGGTTCAACGGTGATGCGGATATTGGAATTGCTTATATATACTGCAGTTATCGGCAGCAAGAAGAGCAAGACACCGGAAAACTGCTTGCCAGTGTGCTGAGGCAGCTTACTCAACGCGTTCATCCATTACCAGACAGCCTGAAGAATCTCTATAACACGCATAAAGCTACACTTACGAGGCCGTCCGAGGATGAACTGCTCGAAGTTCTCCATCTCGTTGTACCGAGATATTCGCGAATCTTCCTCGTGATCGATGCACTTGACGAATGTCAAACATCCAATCACCGCATTATCAACTTCCTTGATAAGCTTGTCGAACTTCAAAAGAAGCATGGAATAAACATTTTTGCCACGTCACGATACATTTCGCATATTGTCAATTACTTCGGAAGCAGCGTGTCCCTAGAGATTCGAGCTCGCCAGGATGATATTACCAGATATATCAATGGCCAGATCGGTCAATTGCCGAACCACATCCAAGCCAACGAGAAGCTGCAAGAAGAAATCAGGACCGAGATTGTAGATGCCGTAGACGGAATGTACGTATGTGAAAACTTTGAAACATGCTATGGCCACTAATTGCTACTAGGTTCCTCCTCGCGCAGATTTATGTCGGTTTTCTCAACGACAAGATGACACCCAATGATGTGAGGGTAAGTTTAGCGGAGTTTCGGAACCAACGGCAAACCCCTGGCGAAGATGGCCAGGTTCAAGTACTTTATCATGCATATAGCCAAACGATGCAGAGAATCAACAGCCAACTGGAAGGGTTTAAGAACCTCGCAATGAAGGTTTTATTCTGGACTACGTGCGCCATGAGGCGGCTTACCACGGTGGAGCTCCAGCATGCTCTTGCAACCAAACTCAAGGGAACCGAATTTGATCATGGCGATATCCCCCAGGTCGAAGACATGGTCTCCGTCTGTGCCGGATTGGTAACGTTGGATGAAGATGGCGAAATTGTTCGGCCGGTCCACTATACGACACAGATATTTCTTCAGACAACGCTAGAGTCCTCGTACCCAACTATCCAGAGCTTGGGTACAGGAATTTGCATTTCCTACCTCTCCTTTGACGAATTCAGGGCTGGACCATGCGAAACCCTGGAAGAATTTGAGGACCGATCACGGCGCAATCGGCTCTACGACTATGCTGCAAAGCATTGGGCCCATCATGCAGTCAAAGACCCGAAATCAGTTGAAATTGTGATGGAATTTCTTCAGAATACTTCCACTAGCGAGGCAGCCAGTCAAGTGTTGATGGTAGATGAGGCCATATCATGGTGGGAGTCGAAGCAAAACTTTGGCGAGACCCTCAACGGAATCCACCTGGCTGCATACTTTGGACTGAATTCGATCATGAAAGAGTTAATAGCCATCGGCCGTAGTCCCAACGAGCTGAATAATCGCGACAGGAGTCCTGTTTGGTTTGCGGCCAATAATGGAAAGGCCGACACGATGAATGTTCTCTTGGCCGCTGGAGCCGATGTGGATGGCGGGTCTGATGAGTCAACTGCTCTTTACGAAGCATGTCGCATTGGCAGCTTGGGGGCTGTGAAGTTACTTTTGACTGCAGGAGCTGATATTGAAGCTAGGAGTAGATCTTGGGAGGGATATACACCACTCCAAATCGCAGCGAACAAAGGCCATCTCGAGATTGTAGAGACCTTGCTAGCAGCTGGAGCTGATGTTCATGCGACTGCTTCCCAACTTTCGAAGGTAACAGCACTCCAAGTATCAGCCGATAGTGGTCATCTTGAAATAGTGGAGAGACTGCTCGCGTCTGGAGCTGACGTTGATGCTCTTGGTGATACGCAATATGGATACACCGCTCTCCAAGTAGCAGCACGTCGAGGTCATCTTGAGGTCGTGGAGAGATTACTAGCAGCTGGGGCTGATGTCAATGCTCCCCGCGCTGAGGATTATGGATATACATCACTTCAAGGAGCAGCCGAAGGAGGTTGGCTTGAAATTGTTGAGAGACTCATCGCTGAAGGCGCCGACCTCAATGCCCCTGCTTCCAAGTTCAACTATACCGCCCTCGCAGGAGCAACTAGGAATGGCTATTCAAAAGTCGTGCAATTATTGAAGGAAAATGGTGCTATTGAGTGATGGGGAAAGCAAAGGATTGTTAAATCAATGGCGGACTGTCACTCGCCACATCGTGCCTAGACCGATATGTTGCGAATTTACACCCCTTCCAATGCCCTCCGGCCGCCGTCGTGCTTATTCCCCGTCTCATATAGAGACAATAGCAAGGTCAATCTCATAATTCAACTCCCAACCCTCTCGGTAGACCAAAAAGAAAATATACGCATCTAGCTTGGCTCTTTCGGTATTCGTGTCTCAGTGCATGCTTCAACACACCAAGCGCAAATCTCTTCAGCAACCAACCCAGTGAGTACCAGTAGCCCCTTGGCCAGAGCACTGACACTGACACACCCGCAGCCATCACTGTATCCCAACAGTCAGGACACGTGCAAGGATGTTGAAGCCTAAGACTTGTGAAAGAGAGATCCATATGGGTAGTCTGAACCGTGTTACTAAGTACCGTGCATCCCATTTCTTAACAACATCGGAATTTAAACGCATTATTGAATAAATCTATTTGTTGAATACTTGGCGAGAAGTAACCCGTGATTTTACTGAAAATAAGGCTTGGTGGAGTTTAATAAGTGTGAAATCTAAACCTTTGAGAATGCTTTGGTTGGCCTAGATCCTCAGGTCAACCGATTAAATCATATGGGAATTAGACATGCTGAAAAGCAGGAGGCAGCCGGCCCGACATTGCTTTGGCTCGCATTATCATGGCTACCTCGAGGCTAGCCCTGTCTTTGGGTAACCTCGTAGAGTACCGATATTGATCATGGAGAAGATCGTTGAGATAATCCCTCTCATGATTTTCAGAAGCCTCATACGACGGCGCCAGTATTGTCAAGGCCCCGAATGCAAAGGCGTCATAGAGTTCGATTCGGAGAGGGATAAACATCCACAAGTCCTCGCAGGCGTCCCGGTACTCATCATACAGTGCACTCGGCGTCGGGTAACTGTACAAGTTGCTCAAATCATAGCGGATACGTGCGATGCCTACTATCAATGATTTGAATAGAGTGATAGATTCACCAAAGCGAGCGTTCTTGACTTGATAATACTCGCCGAGAAAGAAGTTTGCATCATACGCTTTCTCAAATTGCCCTATGTTCAATGCCTTCTCAAAGAGCAGACGCAGAGCGCTTTTCGCGCGGACAAAATCTCGGGCAAGGGCAGCTGAAATGTAAGCTGCTAGTTCTTGCATGTCGGGATTAAATGGGGTTTGATGGATTTTGTACACCTTGGTAAGCAACTTTGGCGTCTTCCTCAAATACTCGTAGAAGATGGAAATCATATCATGGCCATGTGGCCTCAGTTCTGGTGGGAAGAATCGTAGAGTGGCATCTGTTATTGTTTGCCGCCATGCCGGCTGATTGAAAACATGCGTCTGGGTTTTGGAAAGGGAATGGAAGAGCTGGACAGGCAGCCAGAAACAGAGGCAAGATTAGTGTTTTGTCAAAAATAGAGAGAAAGGATTGAGGCGATGATTGATCAACGGGGGGACCATACCAAATCTTCAATGCTTTGAAACAATATGTCCATATGGAACACGTCATCGGGCTTGGGATGACCCAACTTCACAATGAAGGAGGCCACTGCCTCGGCATGTGCGCGGTTGAATGGAGTCCAGTTTGGGTTGAAGACGGATTCTGCGCGGCTAAGCAAGGCGACAGACGCCAATGTCTCCAACTCTAGATCCTTGGCCTCCTCCAGCTTTTGCCGAAGCGTCCGAAGAGCCCTGCCATAATCCCTCATGATGCTCACATCCGTCGTCGGGGAGCCTCCCCTGCGAAGAGCTGAATGTGTGGAGCAAAAAAGGATAGCCACATCCCTGAGGCACGAGCTATGGGCGAGGCGAGAAGGCATATACTGCAGAAAGTTGAACAGTCTCAAGAGACTAGGATCGCCTTCGAGAGAGTTGACCAGCCGAGCACCCGCCTGATGTTCGAGAGACGTCATATTTTGAGGCATGGATACGAGCTTCATCTTTCTGTAGCCTGCATTCCCATCCACCCTGGAAAGATATCTTCCACGATGATCTGTAACCCGGGAATCGAGAAGTTGACTGCGACTTGAACTGGGCTCAGGCCCCGTTGAGAGTTCGAGCTGGCTTGCCGACGGAGCTTGACCGCTACCTCCTCCCTCGTGGACGAATTTCAGTAAACTTGTTGGCCCGGGGCATTTGAGTAGTTTCCTTCTGCACTGTCCGCATGTCGGCCAACGCTGGTCGCACTGGAAGAAGGGTCAACGAGGAACCGTTGAGCACGCGTCGTCCGCCGGAGGTGCGTGATTCGTCATCAGCTTACCTTGATCCGCCTTCTTTTACAGCTCTTGCAGGCTGTCGACTTAGCTACCCCAACCATTGAGAGGGAAGCAAACTGCCGGGAATAGACGTGCTGATACAACACCGTAGCTTGCCGCCAAAGGTCAAGAATTGCGAGGGTAGATGAGATTGAAGTTTTGAGTGAGTGATCATTTCCGACCCATGTTGGGGCTACTAGTTTGGGTCAGAGAAAGTGACAGGGATCGCAGAAGATCAATCCTCAGATTGGTATGATCCCAGACCCAGTCCATTCAGTATATCACCTGACCGCGAGCAGTCAGTCCAGTAATGTGTCAACAAAATCATTTAGATTTATTGCCTTGGAAATAGCCTATGATTTCACAAAGCGCCTCTAGCTGACTTGACCGGGAGGCTCAAGGATGCCAGTGTTGTAAACTTGTGGAGTTTCAAAAAACAATATAGCGAGAAGATAAACAATTTAGATTGACAAAAAGGCTAGTCCGAATAATCAAATACCCCTTGGGACTTGTGCTTCGAAACATTTTTGCGCCTCTCTGCAGTGTGCAGTGACGCTTCCCCCCTATCTTGAAACACACGCGATGGCGAATAACTCTCTCTTAAATCAGAATTTGTTCCCCGCAAGATGGCCTTGAATACCCGTTATGGCCAAAATACGATTGCTACCTAAACCTTGACCCAGTAAGGTTCGACGATGGTGTTTGGCGCTGCGCATCCCTTTGACGAGTTCAATGCTGGTTGCTGGTTTTATCGACAATCAGCTGCCGACTAGACCTCCACGTACTTTTTGTGGAACTTATTGTAAAATGGATTTAACCGGCCTCCAGCCCGTAGTTGCGTCGCAGTATTTGAAGGGCTTCCCTTCATCGAAACTTCACCTTGAGTGCGTTGAACTTTTTAGGAAAGCAGTTGCCGTTTAAGAAATATGGTGTGTTTTTATAAAAACGTCCGAGTAATATCATTAAACCCAAAGCGAGCATCCAGCTGTGAAAATCTGCTATGTGTCCAATCTCCAAATGAGTCAGATATTGAGTCAGCGTGGGCTTCGAGGTATTTCACGATTGCAAAGCATCGCCGTTCTCGGGCAAGCTCTATCGCTCCGTCGACTCCAGTCTTTCCTGGAGAGCCACTCCGTCCTCCAAACGTCAAGAGAAGCTGGAGCATGTCCAATCGGCCCTGCTCTGCTGCAAAGTCCAAAGCTGTTATGCCAACTCTCCGATCATCTGTATCCAATGTGTTGGGATCAGCACCACTGTGAAGTAGCATTAATGCGATTTCGAGGTCACCATTCGCGGCGGCAATCTGCAATGCAGAGAACCCATTCTTCTGCGCGGGTAGACCGTCAGCGTAGGCTCCAAGCTTGAGGAGAAATTTGACCATCCTGAGACGGGTGCCGGGCTTCCAATACTGTTCTTCGATTTGACAAGCGGCTTGGAGAGCTGTTACCCCACGGTCATTAAAACCTGGCTGATTTATGTCTGCCCCCCTTTCCAGCAACAGAGATATTCGTTCTGGATTGTTTCGATAGACTGCGGCCTGGACCGGCGAGAAGGCCTGGTCCACAACCCTAAACCCAACACCATGATCGATTGATAACTGCCGCCGTTCAATAGCATAGCTATGAACGTCTGAGCCCTTATGGATCAGCTGGTTAACCAGATCTGACTGCCCTCCGAGCCCTATGACTGCAGCCAAGGCCGATGAAGATACTGGAGCACCTTGCTCCAATAGTAGTTCGATCGCGGCAAGGCAGCAGTTGGTTTCTTCCCCCAACTGGGGATAATGTATGAAACAGGCTTCTAGAAGATCCGGGTCACCAGCATGTGGGTACCTCAAATCTGGCCCCAACGCTAAAATGACTTTGATCATCCCTAGATAGGGATTGCCGCTTGAATCTTGTCTAACCTGTGGGTACCTGCCTTGCCAGCCCAGATAGGTCCGTAGTGCACAGTGCAGGACTCGAACAAGCCTGTTTCCGCGGATTTCCACTGGAAGCCTTGCCCCATGCTGCAATAGAAGATCAAGTACTGCAGGTAGGAATGGATGCTCGGTTGCGTACAATAAAACATTCGATAGCCCGTCTGATCTGGTCCATGTGGCATTGACGTCGGCGCCAGCATCCAATAACCATCGCACAGCTTCGAGATTTCCAATAACAGCGGCACGACAAAGTGCTCTGCCATCAAGACTCCTGATATCAAAGCCAAGGGTACCCAGCAACGGTAGTATGCCCAGACTATACATACAGATAGTGGTGTCCCAGTCACTCTCGTCCCAAAGAGCACCATGCCTAAGCAGCTGTTCCTGAACCTCATTGAAGCACCGTGGCAGGGGCTCGTTTTTCTTCCCTAGCCATTGGTAGCCCCACCCTATCAGAACATTGAACATAGCTTGAATACTTAGAACTCCGCAGGCTGATGGTAATGTTGGATCGACATCGGAGAATAGAAGGTTACGGACAAGTTGCATTCTCCTCCCTATGAAGCATGAGTCTGGTGTTTCTTTGAGTGAAAACGTCTTAGCCAAGCATGACTCCAGATGCCAATTTATCTCCGATGTATCAGCAGTAATCGTTTGTAGGTACGCTCTAAGTTCTTCACAGCCCTCGACGGCTGCTTGTAGTAGTCTTGCTTGGGACAATTGTCCTTGTCGTACTCTGCTGTAACGCAAGAATTGGTTGAAAAAGTGAGGGTGTCTGTAGAAGACACTTTCGACAATCGTTGTGTGAAGTCCCGGTGGCAAATAACCTGAGCTGTAAACTGGTGTCCATTCATCAAAATCCGAAGGATCACAAGGAGCGATTGCATCCACGTCGGCACCCGCTTCAAGAAGTGTTCCCATGATCTCGCAATTGAATTCGTCAGGGACGGGTGAACATTGTCGAAGTAGATGGCAAAAGATTGAGTTGGTACCTTGATTGACACAAAAATCACAACTGTCCCACCTCCCGCACCCTCGAGAGGGCGCGTGGCAGTCTTTATTGATCTCACAATTGTCCAAGAGTAGTCGAAAGCAATTCCCATGGCGACCCTTTACAGCTGCTAGAGGAGCTGTCATTGAAGCTGCAACGAAATGACCATGGGTGTAGCGGGTGCTGATAGGGAGTATGACTTCCGTTGACGCCCCGATAGAGAGCAAACGTATGATCAAGTCTAGACATCCAAATCGAGATGCATGTATAAGGAGCTCATGCCGATAGGGAAGTATCCAGTCCATATGATTTAGGCCACATTGAACCAGATAGGAGAATTCTTCTTTGGTATCGACTAAACAAATATTGACCATCAGGGCATCCCAAGTCGCATGAATCGATGGAAACCTTAGATTGAGGACGGCAGAGAATACCCTCTGGGGTATCTTCGAAATGAGCTGTCCAATAGACTGTCCAATCCAGTCACATCGTCGATTGGACCCAATATCACTTTCCAGAAAATAAAGTCGATTCGAGAACATGTACAACAACTGTGCTAAGTAGTAGTATGTATCGAATTGTGAGCTAATTTGGCGATTCGAATTGACATGGAGAGCGTAATGTCCTAGTGTCACTAAGGGGGTGTTTGTAGCGATGGTGCTTGATGACAACTTCATGACAATATATTCCATGAACGTGGGTTGGATCTCCTGTATCTCGAAAGTAGCCATTCTACAGACTGAGACGGATACAACGGCTTGTAAAAAGGTCAGCGTGTAAGGATAGATTGATATCAAGTTTTGGGGGACATACATCGAGACTTATTCATCCAAGTGTTCCATGGGAGTGAGGCAAGGCACTCTCTTGACTGAAAAGACATACCATCGAGAGCGGCCACCAGATCTCTCAACCAAAAGGTCGGGAGAGAAGCCTCCTGACTTGCAATCTCGCCGGTTGGTCGTCCAATTTCGTTGGTCCTTGGTCTTTGCAACACAAGGGAATCGGGAGCGGCCTTGATAGGTATGCCTGGTGAGTTCGGTGGAGGTGTCCTGACCTCCACCCCTGTTGGCAAGGCAGGCAATTGTTCATTGTTAACCTGTGCTGTAGATATATCATAAGCCTCAAAGAAATGATGTTGTAGATCTGACATCTTTACCGCCCATGCGAGCGCCCTGTCTTCTGATTTCAGCCCATGCCCTCTGCGAAGGGACCGGGACTCCTTGGAGGTAGACTGCGCTTGTTTTCCCACGATGTCCGCGTTGGATACAATGCCTCCAAACTATCGGCCAATCGGTCTTTCTTAACTTCTTACGAAGACCAAGCTTGTCTCGGAGCTTGGTTTCCCAAGTACACAGCCTTGGAAAGTCCTGTTAGCAGCAACTCTGTACATCCATATCTCAACCATTATTAAGAACACTGACTTGAAATCAGGAAAGTCGTGGTCTTTCATCATGATGTTTCGCACTTCACGTAAACTCAATCTTGGCTGGCGTTGCAGATATAGTCCTCGAATGACACTGGCGTGTTGAACCCAAATGTCGTCGAGGTCCTCGACAGGAACTTGCTGCTCGCGAGACATTTCTTCTGCTGCGGCTTTCAAAGTAGCGTCTTGAAGGCGTATGGAAAACAAATTATGGATGTAATAGCTATGAGGGTCCGAAGAGGCCAGAGACGCCTATTCTTAAGCTCAAGCATCCAACGTCAAAGTGCTCATTCGACAAGCCCCGCTCGCTCAGTTTCCGAGGTGGCTGATCTGCATGTCGCCTTGCTTATGGCCGCGGAAGCAGACCATTGACCAATGGCAGTATTTCTTCCAAATGTCTCACATAATTTGATGCACATACCAGAGCACACTGTCCAAAATCCTGTGGGCCCAGAGCGTCATAGACAGAAGTATTGTCTCAGTGAGATGTAGCCAACGCATCCTTCCTGTCCGCCTCACCGGCCAAGCCCCGCCCCCCTCTTATCCAATATCTGGTGATGCCTGACTGTTGACCTTGCCCAATCTCTGTACATGCCTGCACCAAACAAAGCTGCTGCTAAGGCCGGTGCCAAGAAGACGCCAGCCAAGGCTAGTAAAACTCTCAAAGAAGACACTGCTGACGCGCACCTCGGGCATTTTTTGTCCAAAACCTGGAAGAAAATCGGAGACCATATGACACGAATGTTTTCTTGCTCAGTGTAACGTGTCTAAAGGTGCCGAGTCCAGCCTTTTTCAAGGGATTTCAACCGTGAATATGTCGGCACGAATCCTCTACCTCTGTCCTTTACTCGTCTCAAAGACATATCGACTTCAGTGACCCTTCTAATTGATAATATATCTATAGAAATTAAATAGAATTCCTGTAATTAACTAAACTTTGGATTTCTGATAATCAAACCCGTAAAGGGGGCATGCAACTATATGTTGCCTGGTTCAAATCAACCCCTGTGGCATGCACTGAAGTGTTCTTCTAGTACTGTATAGCTTGTCTACAGTGGGGGTCCAAAAGTCTGTCAAAAAACACGATACCTCTATATCTGTATTATATTTTTTAAAATATAATACTATAACCCTCTCTTTTTAAATATATATAATTTTATAAGATAATATCCAAATTAAGAGCTTTTAGTAATATTTTATCTAGAAATTATTAAGCTAATTAGGAAATTAAACCTGATATATACTTAGTAATTATTATAGTAATTATAGTTAATTAAAAGAAAAGCTATATTATATATACTTTTTATATATCTCTAAGTATAGTAATCCAGATATTTTAATACTTTAAAGAGATAAACTTATTAGATAATTCTCTAAGATCTAGATAGCCTGAGGTTCTCTTACCTTAAGAAAAGTATACTATTATTTATAGTACTTATATAGATTACTATATTATATAGAAATAGCTTATTATTAATCTAGATCTTATAGTAAGTCTTTTAATTATTAAGAAAGTTTTAAATATAAATAATATATATAAATAGAAATCTAAGAAAAGAATAGTATTATTAAAAGAAATAGCTATTTAGTAGCTTATCTTTATATATTTCTAGAGTAATAAAAAGAAAGAATTAGTAGAGATCTATATAAGTAAATATAATATATTAATCTAGCTCTAATATAACTATCTAGATTATCTTTTTAAATAAGTATATAATCTAAAATAGCTATTTAAATCCTAATAAATAGATTTAAAGATATATATATAAGGTTTATAATTCTAAATTTATTAATATTTAAGATTATATATAGCTAGAAATTAAAATAATAGTATAAATAGCTATATAGAAGAAAGATAGGAGTAAATTAGTAATTATAATATATAATAAGCTTATTAAGAAGAAGAACTTTAGCTCTACTAGTTATATTACTACTCTAGAGGAAGATCTACTTCTAATTTATAATAGTATATATTATTTTCAGTAAGATAATATCTTTATTTATTATTCTTATATAATAAAAGCTTTTCTTCTTAATAATATAATCTTACTTATTAACTAGCTTAATTATAATCTAGATCTTAACTCTATTAAATATATATAGATAATATTAAAGAGATAGCTTTATAAAATATTCCCTTAGCTAGCTAATTTATATAGAAATAAACTAAATATTAAGATATTTAAAGAATACTTATAGAAAGTATAAATAGCTATTCTTTAGAGTAAGATCTATATACTAATTAAATTATTACCCTATAGGGTAGAAATAGTATATTAGGTAAAGGGATAGTATATAAAATATTAAAATAGTACTTTAGATAAGTAAAATAAATTAAATACCTTACTTATAGCTATAAAATTAGTTATATTATATATATTTTAATTACTCAGATTATTACTCGGGTTATAGCTAATTATATTTTTTAACAGACTTTTGGACCCCCACTGTATTCATGAAGTTGGCTCCGCCGTATTTTGAAGCTACTATTATCGGAGCCATTGCTATTTCATCCTAACCGACCTAACCCAGCCTTCAGTATACGCAACAATGATGCTCTCTCCTCAGCTTCGATTCTCTCCGCGTCAATCTTTTCCAGAAACCGAACTGCAACATCCAGGGCGAAAAAGATAAAGTTGGTGACCGGACACCCAGCCTGTGGGGTGAGAAGAAAGCGAATAAATGCGGCGAGTTCGCGGCAGTAGATGACTGGGCTCGCATGTTCAGGCCAGGGAGACTCGAACGTGTCGCCAGTCATCTCCAGTATCTCATACAGCGATATGCAGGTAATCCAGTACAGTAGGGATACATTGGCCAGGGCATACTCCTCTGATGACATGGTTGTATTGGAAGAACCGGTAGAGATCTTGCTCTTCACGAATTCCCGGATCTGCAGACCGGTGGTAGCGGCCCACGTTCGCAACCGGAAGTCAAGCAGCCAGGACTTGGACGCGATAATTTCCAACTGGGCCATGCGTTCCTCGTCTTTAGGACATGCCTTGGCACTATTGAGGTCTGAGTAGAGCTCCGGCAGCTCGAGCGTGATGTCCGCGATAATGTCTTTAGGGGACTTTGGTATATCCTCGAAAGGGACTGTTTTCCACTCTTGCGAGGCGAAGGGGCACGGTTTGCATATTCTCATACCAAAGAATGCCTACAAATATTAGATGATAAGCTTCTCGATGAAGATTTAATGGACTTTTTGTTCGTTCGCCTTACTTGCACAACTCTAAGATCAGAGAAAAGCATGTGTGAATAACCATTCTTATACTCTTGCGGTTCTCGGGATAGAATGAGGGCAGCGTTCCCCGCGGTATGCGTAACCCATGCCTGGTGTGCGACTTCAACACTACCCATACTGTATTCATAACTCAACTACAAGGTATATTAGTTTCTTTCTCTTCATCGGCAAAGGACAAAAGATGCCCACCTCAAAGATTCCCAAGAGGGCGGAGGCAACGAGCATGCTTGGTTTTTTTCTCAGTGCCGGGCTCTTCATAGCGCCCGACATCACAACGAGGCTTGTTCCGTACATTCTCTGAGCTTTATACCGCAGGGACTGGTCTTTTGTTTGATGTGCCATCATCGCCACGGCGCTGGTCAACACAACCAGCTGTAGCACACTCCTCTCCCTAAATATTTCGGGTGCGTCGGTCGTCCACCCAAATTGCGAGTGCTTCACCAGGTCTTTGGATAGGGAGCGCCCATTTGGAAGGTAACTCGACCAGTAGACTCCCAGTATCTTGTCCTTGAACGCGCTTCGGTCAAGAGCCTCTGGCAGAACCATTGGCCCCACGGTGACTCGTGAGGATGACGCGTTGGTTTCTTTTGCATTGTGGGCAGTCTCGGGCAAATTTGGAGTCGAGAAGGAACCGGGCTTGCAAGAAGTATCGCCACCCACCTGATTTGTGCTGTTGGCGAGGTTAGGATTCTGGTAATAGTGGCACTGGAGAAGCATTTTTTGACATCGGCTGCAGATGGGTCGCTTTCGATCACACTAGACTTCCGATTTAGCTCATTCTTCTTCTTCTTGATTACATATTGGTGCATATAGGCGTAGTACACACTGCTTTCTTACGTCTGCGGCAATTTTCGCATGGTCTAGATCGTCCAAGGACGCCTAGCATAGAGTCTCGTGGGAAGTATTGCATTTTTATAAGAAATTTAGCTTGAAATGTCACGAAGAATAGATTTTTCACACGATTGAGGGGTAATGGTTGATCAGAGTCGTCGCTCAGGTTTGAGGTCGCATTTCTTGAAGACAGCCAAGAGTCGTCGGAGGGAGGCTTACTCAGCTTAGAATGTCACTTCTGTGAATATCTATATTCTCATATTCATACTAGCGTACCTATCTAGTGGACAAGTATATTATGGAAGTAACTGATAAAACCTACATACTGAGGGTCTCTCAATGCCACGGAGGCAATTCAGCAGGGATTCGAATCCTCGCACGATTGCACCAAAAAAATAAGAAAGCAACCTCAGCAATACCCAAACCCCGGGGTAAATAAGTTGTGCTTGCAAAAGTTGGCCTATCCTGCAGAATTCTTCAAGGTGATTTTGTTCTTAGTGGTTTCTCTATATTTGCAATAGAGAGCGTAGACAATCAGGCTACGGGTGCAGGCTCTCACGTCGGCATAAGAACACGACGAATTGGAGAAATTCTCCGTCTTCCTCAAAATTATACTGCATTTGGCTCAATAGTTCAGATGCCTTTACAGGGTGAAAATACTCGGGGCAGAGGTGGCCGAACCTACCGGTTAATTACCCCATCACTACCTGAACCAGCAACGTAGAACTCAAAAGGCGGGGAAGAATAGCCCGTGTGCGTGGCTACTGAATTTATGTATAAGACTCTGAAACCTGGAACTAGTTCACCTAATTTCACCTAAAGTTAATAAGATTTACTTAGCAATCTAACGGTCCTGATGTTGTCCAGAACTCTCGTTGCGCTTATAGCGCTTGTGCCCTTTGCCCACGCCATTTCCATCGAACATGGATCATTGAAAACAAACGGAGCATATAATCCAATCGACGTGGATACAGCCAATCCTCGGCTTACATGGCGACTAGAATCCTCGAAGAGAGGCGACATTCAGACATCTTATCAAATCCAAGTGTCACGCGATGAGAACTTCCAGGCGCCAGACGTGTGGGATTCAGGCAAAATACAATCAACTTCAGCATCTTCCATCTATGATGGTGAATCTCTTGGTTCAAGAAGCTCAGTCTTTTGGCGCGTCAAAGTATGGGATGTGGATGACAATCCGTCCGACTGGAGTTCACAAGGCCAATTTGAGATTTCCCTTCTAGACTCAGATGATTGGACGGCGTCCTGGATCACCAACAAAGACTTCGCCACTGGGTCCACGTCGCTCCCTGTGTTTGCCAAAGAATTTCAGATCGATTGTGATGTGTCCAAAGCACGGCTGTATCTTCTTGGCCTCGGTCTGCATGCTCCCGCGATCAATGGTCAAACAATTACAGACGAGGTCTTGCAGCCTGGCTACAGCACTGTCAACACAACTTTACTCTATTCGACTTACGATGTCACCAAGTTTCTGGGGCATGGAGACAATGTCATCGGTGTGGAGCTGGGAAAAGGAATATACGATGCTGAAAGACCGCTCTGGGGAAGGTACTACAAGCTAATCAAGGCGTACCAAGAGCTTCGACTTATTGCCCAACTAGAATATCAATGCGTAGGAGACAGTCGACTTACGACGATCGCTTCAGATGACACCTGGAAAACCTCACTGGAGGGCCCGTACTTGGAAGCATCTTGGTATGGCGGAGAGGAATACGATGCTCGAAAGGAACTACCGAACTGGTCAAGCCGCGAAAGTGACAGGTCTGAATGGGCTCATGCGACTAAGACGACAGGTCCTAGTGGTAGGCTAATCAGCCCGCGTTCACCTCCTCTGAAAGTAGTTGAAACTATCAAGCCCGTTTCAGTGTCCAAGGTATGTCATGAGTCGCGGTCTAGTTCTCGATGTTCGCTGATCGCCGTCACAGAATGAAAATGGATACTGGGTCTATGACTTGGGCGTTAATATTGCAGGCACTTTTGGGTTCAAGATTAAAGACAAGGTCGTAAGTAACCAGCATGGGCGAGACTCAGAATGTTCCAATTTCTAACAGCCACAGCATCTCGCTGGAACCCGCATCACCTTTTGGCCCGATGAACGGTTCGATCTACAACAAGGGACCACTGGCAAACCTATATTTAACGCGTATACCCTCTCCAACTCATCTTCTCAGACTTATTCTCCCAAATTCCTGTATCATGGCTTCCAATACTTGGGTGTCAATACCACGTGGGAGCCCTCGCTCGATGATCTTGAAGGCTTCGTCATCCGGGCTGCCAATGAAGCCAATGTCGTGTTCTCCTCAAGTAGCGATCACTTCAACAGTATCCACAAGATTATAGATCGGTCTATACAGGGCAATATGCATTCAGTGCTGACTGACTGTCCTCACCGAGAAAAGCTTGGTTGGCTAGAGCAAAACCATCTCGTCTTTGAGCCTGTCGCTTTAGGATATGATATCGAATCATATGGATATGACCATGTTCGCATCATGGCAGACGCCCAGGCGCAAGATGTCCCGGGTTTGATTCCTGATATCGCCCCAGAATACACTGTGTTTGGTGGTGGCTATCGCAATGATCCAAACTGGGGCAGGGCAATAATCAACGTCCCTTACCAGCTCTACCAATACTACGGAGATATCAATGTTCTGAAAGCGAAGCATCAGTACATGGTCGAGTATCTGGATTACCTACAGAGGCGCGCAGGAGGCCAACCGTATCTAAACGACGGCGGTCTGGGTGATTGGCTAGCCATCGATACAAAAACACCAAAAGGTGTTGCCTCCACCTTTGGATACCACCAAGCTGCACTCTACTTATCGAAGATAGAGACCATTTTAGGGAATGATGAATCGGCAAGGAGTTACGCATCGTTGGCAAACAGTATCCTGGACGGGTTCAATTCGATGTGGTTCAATAACACTGTTCCAGACTCTCCTCACTATTGCGCAACTACGACTCAGGCCTGCAACGCATTTGCTCTTGACATGGGTGCAGTTTCCGATAAGAACAAAAACGCTGTCCTCTCCACACTTATTAAATCAATCGAAAACACTCCTGGTCTCCTCACCGTCGGAGAGATTGCCCTTCCCAGTAGGTTTCATGCTTCAGGTCCTTGATAGACCGAGACTAACAGGGCTGCTTAGGTCTTTTCCGAGTACTACGCGCTGCGAAGAGAGACGATATACTACTCCGATGGATGAACTCCAAACAAGTACCAAGCTACGGACATATGTTAGAAAACGGCGCGACATCTCTTTGGGAGCATTGGGATGCGGATACCACCGGGGGCAGTCTCAACCACTTCATGCAAGCCACCTGTCTCTTCAAGATTTCCTTTTCGTCGTCATGTTGCTGAACAGAACTTGCTAGGTATGGCTATGGGGACTTGTTTTTGCTCCAACTCTCTGGGGTCTCGCAAAGAAACACCTCGGTGGCCTGGAATGAGGTTGTATTTGATCCAATCCTTCAGGGCGACCTTTCATTTGCAAGTACTTCGTACACAGCCCCATCTGGAATTGTCTCTGCAAAGTGGACATTGAATGAAAAGAGTTTCGAATATTTCATCACCGTTCCCGTGGGTAGCCAAGGCTGGGTATACCTCCCTGCCACAAATGGTATCCGGGAATCCGGAGGCGACCTAAAAGCTGGTGAGAATGGAATAATAGGACTGAAAAGAGGATGTAAAAGAACGTTGGTTAAGGTTGGCAGCGGCACTTATAAGTTCGAAGCAACTGTTTCCTTTTGACCATTGTAGCCTTAATTGATCAAACTTTCTCCATTTCACACATTGCTAAACGTAGCTTTGGTATCTGCTGTCTGAATGCTCATTGCGTACCATTATATCATGTCAATCCCCTGCGGACGTTGATATATCTAAAACTTATAATTTCAACGCAAGCAATATTACTGTCAAGCATCTTCCAGGACGTGTTTTCCAACGCGTTGTAATGTTTTAATAGGATTACAAGGGTTCATATAGGGTAAGCGTGGAGAAGGTCACTGAGCACGAGATAAAAAGGCAAAAATGGATGGTCACTACCAGGATCGAACTGGCGACGTCCGCATTACTAGGATATCGGGTAGATATATTAGTACGGCACTCTAACCAACTGAGTTAAGCGACCATGTGAGCAGGGGCTTTTAGTTGAAAACATAATCGGTCGCAAATTGGGCCTGGGACTTGACCTGTCGAACTAATTCTATCGGCACATCCTGATTTCATCGTGGTAGATGATTCCATACCCTATTTCTCTTTCTCACAGTCTACCAGGGAGATATTTATAAGGTCAACTGAAAAGGAAATATGACGTGGCGCGTCTACAACCAAACGGTTGCTTTGTCAAAAACTCAAGTATCCAAACATATTCGAAATTGGTACAGAGGTATTAGTCTCGCTATAAACTATTCTATCTTGATGAACATATCAAATCAAAGCTGTACTCTCACTATTCATTGCGTAATCTGCTCGGCATATACCCAGTGAATCTCTATAATTGATCATGATTTCTCACCAGCATACGTACTATTTTCTGCCCCAAGGTTTCCTAGAAAGCAAATCTGAGACGGCTTACCTTTGGGCAAGGTGAGATTTGCTGCGACCCCTGTTGATTAACGGGCCTGGCGGATAAGCAAGTAGCCCCTGTCAAGCCTCGCAAGGGACAGCCCTGCTCCTGTTGTTGTGAGAGCAAGGAGCTGTCTGCATGATTTCCAGGCAACCGTATACGTATGCTATTCACCATTCAAAAGACCATGTCTCCCACAGACAGACCGCAGATGCTAGACTGAGGTTGCACACGGAGTTTACATAGTATACAGGCGAGGGATATGTATAAGAATCCTGGCTAAATCATTTCAAAGGACCGCGCACGATGTGATCCTCGTTGAAAATGATGTCTAAATTACACACACTCAGTGCGTTCAGAAATGGCACCGTAGTCTGGTCAGAATAATAATGAGCAGGAAACTATGAATCTAGGGGCGTTTCTTTGGTGATGAAAAAAGATCAATCCCTTCCATGAGGCGGGTAGGGAATTCTTATGCAAATCCATCTTGCCGGCTCAATGAAGATCTAACGTACACGGAAGAGTTTATAGGGAAAGTATTAGTCCATAGGCAAGCTGCCTTAGCTTCTTAACGAACACTTCCAAGTAAGACGAATAGACGAACAAATAAATGAGGGAACAATGCATATGCGATCTTGCTGGAGGTCCTTGCTTGGCCTGTCCCTGGTCGTGCCGTTCTTACCATCGTGTTGGCTTGGGGGGCAGGGGCTTGCAGAGGCTAGGCAATGTTTTCCGATTGTTTGTTTTTTATAGAATTAATTATAAGTATAATTATTTCCTTGTGCATTGGACTAGGTCAAGACAAGTAAGCCTAGAACGTACTATCTGTAGGGCTGACAGTCCAGATTCCGCATTTAGCAGAGGCGGGCGTTGTCTTGGATGACGCGTTGGGGCCTAGATTCTCTCAGATGCCGTTTACCCGACGGTACGCCTCAGCTAACATTAACCGCCAGGGCGTAAACAAAAGATTAAGGAGGCCTCATGGTTTCGGGGACTAGGGGCGGGCTACATCCACATATTATGCATCTTTTTGTGCTTCTTTGGAGGTAGGGGCGAGATCCGTGCCCTCATATCAGTGTCGCTACAGGACCGTTGAACGTCTCCTGTTCTATTCCAGACGCTCCTCTGGGAAGATAGAACGGCGACTTAGACATGCCACGTGTTAGTGCCGGCTTCCGCATTGTAGCGAAATCACACAACATCAAAGGGGGTGCAGCGCTTACTATTGCTCTCCTTGCATGCAAGGTAAGCAAGCCACAGCAGCTGTGTCTACCCAAGGATTTGCCTAAGCATGGACGGATTCTGGGGATCTCCAGTAATAAGATCAACATGGCCAGTACGCACTAGGCCAATTGATTGCTGAGCTGCGCACTGCCGGGCTCCGTGCATAATTTGTCACTGCATTATTGGGTCATACCGGCAGAAGATTGCCGAACTGATTCAGCTGCATCATTAGGCTGACTTCAGCCAACATGGCGTCGACCTGTGGCGTTCATGGGGGCCTGCGGCAGAGAAGAGACCAGTCCAGCCAAGAATTTAACCCGTTCTCCTCCTCTCGTTGCCATGGTTTGTCATTGCATTTGGAGCTGGACGTTGTTTTTCGTGGCTTCTCCAGAGACGAAACTTGAAAACTGGTTTCGAGATCAGTGACACTACATTGCGACCATGACTGGCTCGAGCCATGACCCAGCGACACCCTCGGGTAACGACCTGAGATCCGCGCGTGGTACATTCCGACTAGCCAGCTCGAGGCTTGATTTTGCTCAGAATCCGGTACAACAGCCTGGAGAGGAGCACGGAGGCCACGGGCATCATCCAGCCCCTAGCAAACCTGAGCGCGATGACGACGGAAACTCTCTAATACAATTTACCAAAGTAGGTGTCACTGCCACTCTACGTGTATTCCTCAGCCAGGCATAGCGTTGGAAATGCTAACATTTCAATAGAGAGAGTCAGCGTCAACGTCTGAGGTGGGTTTGTTCTTTGCTAAGACAATCTACGCGCGTCCATCCACTGACCAAGCCATGCTCCTCTTGCTAGTTGTTCTATGATCTTTGGTTTGTTGCCAATCTTACTGTGTTTGCAACCGTCCACCCGATTACTGAGAAGGAAACGCTGGTATCCTTTGTTGGCTACTTCCTGTAAGCGTCTGCCCCTTTGTCGTATTGCCTCATGGCCAGAGAAGAGCTTATCAAATTCATGATCAAGAGTACTAACACGTTTTTCTTAGACTTTTGTGGAACACTTGGTTCATCACGACCGTTCACGATGCCCGATTTATCCAGGATGGCATTCTTCCTCGCCTTGCTCGTGCCTGCCATCTCGCCGTCATGATTGGTTTTGCGATTGTTGGGTCAGCCTTCGACAAAGATGATTTGATCAGGCCAATCATCAAAGCCGGGTGTGAGTCTGCTGCCATGCGTTTTGCTCCAGAAAAGAAAATGCTGACTGGGAATAGCCCTCTTCTTGACGCTATCGCGGCTTGTCTTGACTGCTCAATACTCTCTTGTCCTCTACCACGCTCGACACAACAAGAGAGGTCGAAAGGTGCTTCTTGTTTCGGTTATCCTCCATCTGCTGCCTGCGATTGCGTATCTAGTCGCTGGTGTCATTTCCAACAACAAACAAGACCAGCACCTGATTATTATTTGGTATACTGTTGGGCTGTTGGAGTTGCTTTCCATCATTGCTCATGCCACCCTCTCTAAAACACTTAGCTTTGAGGGAACCCACTTCAATGAGCGTCTGAACCTTCTGACATTGATTGTTCTGGGAGAAGGTATGTTTTATCCACCCAGTCTTATGAACAGCCATTTTTGTCAACAGCCTCTAACACAACGAAGGCGTTATTCTTCTCACAAAGAATGTTTCCAAGATCGTCAAATATACTTACCTCAAAGGCTTAGCCGACTACTGGTGTAAGTTAATGTTATGCCACGTCGAAACGAAGCAAGATCTACCTGAAAAAGTACAAAGCTGACCATTGTTTAGCCCCGGCGCTCATTGGTACATTATTCTCCGTTGGTGCTCTTCTCTTCATCACCTTCCAGCTTTACTTTGACTGGATGCATCACCACAATCACATGGCCCCATGGCGCCATGCCATCTGGACCTTCCTCCATCTGCCCTTCCACGCTGTCCTGGTCCTGCTGGCTGAAGGTAGCAGCCAATGGGCAGTATGGTGGCGAGCAATAGAAGCATACCGCGAGGCCGAGTATAAACTCCAGAAGAGCGTCACAAACAGCTTGAGAAATACCACGGCCTCTTCGATATCATCTGCTGTGGCGGATAGTCTGAAGTCCACATCGTATTATCTCATGAAGAAATATGGTACGGATATGGAAGACGGGAGCAAGAACACGGAGGAGCTCGACGCCATCTTTGAGGAGATCAGCAACCTCCCAAAGACCCTCTGGACTCAGGATATTGAGGACTCGACTGACGCTGATGTCCAAAGCTGGATTGACGACTACCTCGGAATATCCCGCGCTGTCATCAATTCAATCAGTGAAGCCTTTGGTCTTAGTGTGGAGGCCAGCAGCAAGAAGTCTGGGGCTTCGGCAAGCTGGGAAGATGCGGAACTGGCTGCAATTGAGGCTACAAATCGCCGCATCGGCACTATCGTGAGTAAAACTCTCATATCTTCTAAATCCATCACCTAACCCGTTTCCATAGTTCACTTATCTATTCATCAGCGCCGGCATTGTCCTCATGCTCCTGATGGTTATGAATATCCTCTCGAAGACCAAGGGGTGGACCCGATTCAACATGATCCGCACTGGACTTGTCTTCGCGATTGGTGCCGGTATCAGTATTCTATCTGCCATCCAGACAAATGCCAAGCTTATGTCTCGCTTTATCAACTCCCCATGGCAGCTCCCAACAATCGCCATTGCCTACTTCTGCGTTTTAATCTTGACTCACTTGCCGCACCCTTCGCAAATATCTCTGCAGCCTAGGGGAGAGAACGAGAAGGACGAGCTGAGCTTTGCCAAAGATCCCTCCCATTCCGGAGGAGTTGAGGCTGGCCATCCCCACGGATATGCCACCCAATTTCATCAAGAGCAAGCAGGTGACCAAAGTAGCAGCTCCGGTGGAACTCCCCAACATGGCCAGGTTGATATGAGTAGCTACGACGGAGGTCATTATCAGGCTGCCAGTGCCGTCCCTCAGCCTCAATACCATCACCCCAGCCAACCATATCAGACTGGATACCAGCAACCCGAAACTCGCGCGGGATGGCCTACGAGGGGTATGACGATCAGGCAGGGGATCGCTTCGATGCAGCAGGCAGCCAGGAATATTCACATTGAGCGGACACCCAACGACCCCACGTGGAGAGGACACAACGCCTACCCAGCGAACCAAAGCGGGCCATATGGCCTTTACAGAGCGGGATAGGCTTCGAGGTGGCGATGCATTGGATGTTTCAGATCTAAGTGCATTGGGTCTTCACTTTATGACTTTATTCTGCGATACAGGTGGCCTAATGGCACGTAATACACATAAACTTGACTTTTTGCAGGCGGGGGATTTTTGAGGGCAGAATGGTAACAGGAAATTTAGAATCAAGGTATACAAAAATAAATTAATCAGCCGAACTTGAATCGGTGTCAGGTGCAAAATGTAGCCATCCCAAACCAAACAATATCAGGACATGCTAGCCCTTCATCTATCCTATGCATGTAGAGTTACCGCCTGATTCGCAGATAAACTAATATACATAGGCCAATAAGTTTAGCCAAAATACATAGGATCAAGTGCACACCATTTACATATATCCTGCGCTCTGTCGACAAGTATTTCTGTTGATGTCCCTTCTCAAAACCCAGAGGTCAAGCTGTTCAGTTTCAATCACTTCGTTTGCCCGCATCTCGCATTCCATAATGTACCAGCTTGGTTGCAGCCGTTAGAGTCTCTACGATAGGCATGCTGAATGGATGGTTTATCACACGTGTCACAATGTATGAGGCATGCGATCAAACGTCACTGTGCAAATTAGAAGTCGTCGCTCCTTGTAAATTGGAAGCACTGGGAGACTACAAATCCTCTTCTCTCTACTTAAAACTCTCAGCCAATCTGCCCGATTGCTTAGATACTTCATCAGCGTCATCGCCAATTGATACAGAGTGTTCATTAGTCGCGAAAGTACGAGGGACCACCGCACTGATCCGGAATGGACAATGCATCGAAGTTGTTCCTGTTCTATAATGAGCCTCCCCAGCGAGTACTTTTTACGCCTTCTAACTCCCCAAATGATAAACTACTTTCTTAGATGCTCAGAATCTTGCTACGGTTTATTTACTCAAGGCAAGTACCTACCTATTGAGAGACACGGAGGTGCACTCGTTGTCGCTCGCATCAACACAACAATCATTTTCTGTCTTAACTACTTAAAAAAAAATTCTTGCCTCAGACAAATGGTTATTATGTATGATTGAGATAATAATGGAAATAGTCTGATATGCTGTGAGCCGTCGAATGTTGTATTAGATTACAAACTTTGGTATTTTGTCATGGGCAGAATGCTATGAGGAGTATGGAAAGCCAGGCTCAACAAAACTCCTATCTTTCTAATTTACAATTAAAAATGGCGATTTCCCCCTTTTCAGTAGGGACTTAGAACGCTTGGTCGCGTTTTTCTTTGTAGCATTTATTTTCAGTGCAATCTCACACGATGACGAGCTGTTGGTTGGTAAGAGATGTGTTGCGTTATAGGGTAGCTCAGCTCAGATGGCATGTATCGCCATGTTGAGCACGCACGGCCCGGGCAACGACAGCCAAGCCTCTTGAACTGGAGTCTTGGTTATTTCATCTTTGTCATAGAGAACCAAAGAGTGACTTCAGTTGGCAATTACAAGAGTGAGCAAAAAATCTGCCTACAGTAGATAGTCTCTGAGCTACCCACGCTGTGCACTAACACTGGCCGGTATCGCTTGCGAGCACGAGGCTAAGAGAAACAGCCCTGGGAGATGTGAACATGAACCAGCAACTCGGAGATATCAATCAGAACGAGAGTCGATGCCGTCTCCACTCCATGGATGTGAGCCAAGACCTGATGCCGGTAAAGGCGGCAGCGGAGCTTTCCGCAAGCTGCCGTGATGTTGAACCCACCCTGAATTGCATGCAGGCCAAGTGCTGTTTGAAAACCATATTCAAGGGTGCTGGAACGGCGCGGACGCGGACCCGTGATATTACGTAGGAGGACCCCGAGACACGGTTTAGTGGTCAGTTACAGCACGCCACTAATTTGACCAAAGAAAAGGTTCTGCTAGGTGCAGTAGCTATTTTCTTTATTTTCTTCTAACGCGGTCATGTTTTGACAACTACTGATGGCCGCGGGAATATCTGGATGGAACCGTGATGGGGTTGCACTGCATCTACCTCTGCCTCACATGCTGCAGAAGGGATCGAGCCAGGGGAATCTGGGGCAAGGGTGCTCAAGGCCCATCGCCACCAGAACGCATTGATCGGCGCTGTCTGTCATGAACTCGATTTCCCCTCTGCGGGCCCTCTCGATCCATGTGCTAGAGGCTAGAGAACGTATCCGGCAGAGTGTTCCCAGACGGAAACGGCATTGTGGCATGGGAATCAAAGGCTGAGTACGTGTCGTCCTTGATTGATTAGCAGAAAACTGGGCACAAAAGATTGATGAGAAGAGGAACTGCGGGTCTCCCGTGTCAGAAAGTGCCTCAGAACTACGGCCATAACCCCATCAGGCTTAAATTCCTCGTGGCCGGTGTGGATGACCCTGGCGAATTTCGATATTTGATCGGACGCCGGATCTCCAGAAGCCCGCATACCGAAGCGAAGATTTTGTTCCAGCCATTCACCCCCTGTCGCCGAACGGTTTAGGATGGATCCCTCGCCCATTCTCGGCTCGTGCGAGGCCAGCACTGGTCACATTGTCACGCTTTCTCACAGACTAGTCGACGCCTCAGGTGCCGAAACCCTTGACCGATGAAGGGTTTGCATCGAGTGGAGTTTCCGTGCAAGAGAATCTTATCAGATGGCATGATTAGATTTGACAACTTTGGGTGGCCTGATCACTTTGGACGAATGATCCGTGCTGTTCCCATATCCACCTGCTGGGCTGGGATTTTCTTCAGCCCGGCACTAGGTAATTTAGCTGGGAGTTGCTAGCGGTTACCGGCTCGTCTGTGTCGCGTTCTGAGGCCTGGGCCTGGTTTTGTTCGCGATTTGACTGTTTATAAAAGGAGGTTATCCCCTCCCCTCGTGTATCAGCCTCCCCCTCTTTTGGCATCGCATAGATCGGCTTCATCTCCATCTTAATTGCTCAGAGGGAGTCACTCACATTGACGATGACCGAAAAGAGCATTACTCCCGCCGTCGAGGCGCAGCCTGCTCACGATGTCGAGGGGCTTGAGAAGCCTGCCGCAGAGGAGCTCCAACAGGGTGTGCGCATGGCCGAGGCCGTCACACTGTCATGGACCAGAACATCGCTCATCATTGTCTACGCCTGGTAAGTAGTCTACGCGACCGACGGCAGAATCATCGCCTTTCCGGTAACTAACAATTCGTTCTAGCATGTGGATGACGTATTTTGTGCGCGCTCTCCAGTCTAGTCTGACGATGAACCTCTCGCCATATATCACGAGTTCATTCCAAGGCCACTCTTTGCTTACCGTCATTAGCACGGTGGTGAGCATCATGAGTGCTGCAACCACCATGCCGGTTGCCAAGATCCTCAACCTGTGGGATCGTACCGTTGCCTTCAGCTTCATGTTGACCCTCTCCGTAATTGGCCTTATTCTCAATGCTGCGTGCAACGACATTGCCACATACTGCGCTGCTCAAGTGTTTTACAATGTCGGCTCTGCTGGATTGATCTTTTCAGTTGATGTGCTCACAGCCGATACCTCAACTCTCCGAAACAGAGGTTTGGCATTCGCATTCACCTCCTCTCCATACATTATCACGGCATTCGCAGGATCCCCTCTCTCCGAGCGGTTCCACGAGTCTGATTGGAGATGGGCCTACGGAACCATCACTATTCTTCTGCCGCTCGTGACCCTTCCCATTATCCTCACCTGGTCACTTGCAAGGAAGAAGGCGCTTCGAAACCATGTTGTGGAGAAGGATTCCGTGCAGCGAACACTTCCCGAGGCTATTAAATATTACTTGATTGAATTTGACGGTAAGAGAAACCACCTCATCAACTCCATTTCACATGCAACAGAATAGGCGAATGACTGACTGTTTTATTTCATACAGCTGTGGGTATCTTCCTCCTGATCGCAGGTTTCTGCCTCCTGCTTCTCCCCATGACCTTGGCTACCTCGCAACCCGAGAGCTGGCGCACAGACTACATCATTGCCATGATTGTCCTTGGTGGCGTACTCGTCATCGCCTTTGCGCTATACGAGAAGTTCCTCTCGCCAAAGCCGTTCATCCCCTGGCATCTCTTGGCCAACCGAACCGTCATGGGTGCCTGCTTGGTAGACCTGATCTATCAGATCGGCTACTACTGCTGGGCCATGTACTTCACATCGTACCTGCGAGTCGTCTTTGACGTCTCAATAACCGAGGCTGGCTACATTGCCTCCATTTTCGACTTCGTCTCCCCCATCTGCCTTATCCTGGCGGGTTATCTCATGCGCGTCACCCAGCGTTTCAGATGGCTTCTCCTCGTTGCCGTGCCTCTGTACGTTCTCTTCGCCGGATTGATGATCTACTTCCGAGCCCCCGGCCGCGGAGTGGGCTTCATCGTCATGTGCGAAGTGTTCATCGGAATTGCTGGCGGTGTCATGATCCTCTGCCAGCAGATTGCTGTCATGGCTGCCTCCAAGCACGAGGACTACGCTGCCATGCTGGCCCTCCTGGGTCTCTTCGGTAACATTGGTGGCGCCATTGGAAACAGTGTCTCCGGTGCTGTCTGGACCAACACCCTCCCTCAGAAGCTTGCAGAGTACCTCCCCGTGGACGATCTTCCAGACCTGGATGCGATCTACGAAGACCTCGAAGTGCAGATGAGCTATGCTATTGGTACCCCCACCAGAGATGCCATCATTGCCGCGTACGTGGACGCTCAGAGGAACATGTTGATTGCTGGAACGGCCATCATGGTTTTGGCTTTGGCCTTTGTCTTCCTGATTAAGAATATCAAGCTGACAGATACCCGATCCCTGGGCATGGTTTTCTAAACTGCTGGGTTGCAGTAGTGCTCATGATCATGGGCAGCCATCTCAGAACCATAGACTCAAGAGTGGAACGATTGAAGAAGCAGATTTTACTAATTTTGATACCACTCAGATACCACTCAAATAATAAAGCAATGAATACCTGAAAATTTACCAAACGCCCGTGAAATGTTCCATGCTAAGGTCTTAATCGGTCGATGGATCAATTGAGTTTCTTAATACCCAATGATGAAGTCGCTA